GTGTTTTTTGGGGGGGGCGAATCATTGGTGACTGGGCTTGAGAACCCGGTTTAATCACGTGCAGCTGCATACGATTAATTCATTACACCAACACCAACCACGGGCGTGTTTCCAGTGCGGGTCTTGTGAGGACGGTTTGTGGACACTGATAATCCCACTGGCCCTCCTCTACTAGGCCCAAGCTGATCACAAGGCGCCCCCAGCGAAATTTAAGACCCAAAGAATCTAAATTTATCCGGTGCTTTTTTGTTGTTTTGTTTGATGGGACGATGGCCCAGTGGTTTGGCCACTTGCGCTATGAAACCGGGCGGCACGCGACTCCCCGGCGCTACCGGGAGGCTCACGCTGCCACTGGACGAAGCGTGCGCAGAGATATCGGCACGCATCCACCATTCATCATCCGCGCTCCTTACCCCGCACCGCTGAGCCCACCAGTGGACCCACTAACATGGCTTGTGTGGTTAATGATTAACGGTTCTCCTCCAGGAGTACTCCATGAATTGGCACGATGCACGACGACGCTTTGATTCAAGGGTCGTTTTCTCTCTCGTTTTGCCATCTCGTTTGCACTTTTTTAATATTCCGTGGTCATGTTTGTCTAGTTCTGTGCAGCCCACCAGTGTAAATGTTACATTAATTATAATTTCAATAGTATATTATTTGCATAAAGCATAAGTAACTGATGCTTAAATGCGCCAATCGAATGAAAGTATCATGAGCCGTAAAAAGTAATTGTAAAACCCATAAAATGCTGGCTCACCTACCCCAACCCACCTAACCTCACTCACCTGGCCCCACTCACCTAACCCACTAAGCAAGCCTCACTGACCTCGCCTCACTGACCTCGCCCCACTCACCAAGCCCCACTCATCTAGCCCCACTGACCTAGCCCCACTCACATAACGCCACTCACCTAATCTCACTCAGCTTACCCCACTCACATACCTCAACTCACCTAACCTCACTCACCCAGCCCCACTTACCTAACCCCACTCACCGAGCCCCACTCACCGAGCCCCACTCCCCTACCCTCACTCACCTAACTTCACCTACCCCACTCAGCCAACCGCACTCTGCGTTGCTTGTTTAATCTGGCTTAGCTGCATCTCGGTTTTTTTCAAGATGAATTCCACATGCAGAGCTATCGTCAAATGAATCCCAGCTCCTGAGAAAAGGTCAGAAGAAAATGCAATACGTTTACAGATGCATAATAAATGACGGCACAAGCCAGTTTTAGATCAAACGCAGAAGGTATTATTTAACATGCACATACATTATCACGAATAACAACGATAGAACAATGCTGATAGTTTTACACTGTCATGCATCAAGTCCGCTATCCCAGACCGCGACAGTAAATAAGTAATGAATTTATATTTTCGCGTTTTGTAATTTATGCAAATTGAATCGCACAATGCTGCATAATTGATGACGCGCACGGCTTTCGCACAGAGGCGCGGAAATCCACAGACGTGGGTCCGGGACGCCAGCCAGAGAAGGCGCACCAACAACTTTCCCGAGATCTGTAATCCTAGATTTGGGGGATGTTTGGCAAATTATCAATCGTCGACTTGCGATGAGAGTTTTCACCCTGCGAGGCCTTACGACCGCCGGGGTGGACCGCTACCATTTAAATTAAACGCTTTGAACACGTCCGCGGTTTTTCCTTTTACTCCAAATTTCAAATTAAACCCGAAACACCGAATTTTAGTTTCGCTCTTAATAATTCATGCATGAAAAAGGGTTAAATGAGAATATATATGAAAATTATTATGAAAAGCTATATTTAAGACCCGGTCATAATCCATATGGTGCTTGTCATTAATCATTTCAAAAGGGGCTTATAAATCCCAGGTGCATTGTGACACTCGCACCAGCCGACGACAACATCGACTGGTATTGAGTTAACGCTTCGCACAAACTAATTACACAACACCGCACCGGCACGTACACGCACAAAGACAAAGATCCCCTGTGTAGCTCACACTGACTGTTGGGGCAAGTGCTGTCAGACAAGCACCTGTGAAAACCTGCACGGCACACGAGCGGATTAGATGGCTAGCACCACGCCCGACCGCATTTGTCTCCCCAGGGTCGATGTTTTTTCCACATCACACCAGGTACTTATTCTGACGCTGAGTCGACCTCGGGATGACGCCCAGGACCGATTCAGATAATCGTCACAGGTATCGCTCAGCTCGGTGGGTTCGTGGCGCGGCACGCTGAACGCGAGGCTACCACTCCCCACGCACACACGCACAGCCACAAAGACAAAGATCCCCCTTATAGCCTTCCCAGACTGTTGGCACAAGTGCTGTTCGCGAGTAGCACCTAGAAAGCCTTCTAGGTGGGGGTGGGTGGCCAGCATCACGCGCGACACGCACATGCATAACACAGACAAGTAAACATTTAAAAAAAAAACACAACTGCTGCCTACACACACGTCCACAGTGGCAATGATCCTCCGCCAGCAAGCTCGCCTTGGCACGGCTAGGCGGGCTTCACAAGACGCCTTCGCATTTCGCCGTTGGGTGTGTGCCTCTCTAATTTCCCGATCGTCTGGTCCACCCGCATATTGCCTTTCAAACCCAAATGACGTCCCGTTTGCACACGCGGAGACCTGTTGCGTATGTTTCGAGGCTGTACTCGCTCAGAAGAGCAGGGGAAGCCTTCTTCCTCTTTCGTTAGGCAGAGGGGGAGGGGGGTGAGTTGATCAGCAGGGTCGAGGTTGAAGAGTGAGCCAGCAGATGGCTTCAGGGGTAGCCCGGTGAATTAATAGACGTACACGGGTATCCACAGACTCACATTGACACCCATAGCCTCAGAGAATCAAAACACTTACATAGAGACACATAGACTTACATAGAGACCTATAGATTCCCACTGAACAACACACTAAGAGACCAAAACACTTACACAGAGACCCATAGACTTACATAGAGACTTATAGACTCTCACTGACCAACACAACTAAGAGATCAAAACACTTACACAGAGACCCATAGACTTACATAGAGACCTATAGACTCTCACTGACCAACACACTAAGAGACCAAAACACTTACACAGAGACCCATAGACTTACATAGAGACCTATAGACTCTCACTGACCAACACACTAAGAGACCAAAACACTTACACAAAGACCCATAGGCTTACATAGAGACCTATAGACTCTCACTGACCAACACACTAAGAGACCATAACACTTACACAGAGACCCATAGACTTACACTGAAACCCATAAACGCACACTGGACACCCATAGACTCAGAAACCCATCGTCTGAAACGATGAACAATTATGGAATTGGACAGTGGTGGTACAATGTGGGCCACCCTTCGAGATTGGTGACCAAGCCTGCACTTGGAGCTAACTCATTGTTCGGGGCAGTCGGGGGCGGCTGGGCGGGTTCCTCCCTCCGTAACGCGCTGACGATGTACATTCAATAGTATTTTTCGCGAAAGCCATACGTGTGCAACTAATGCGCATTCAGCTCCCCTTCGCTGTCTGGACCGCAGCAGCGGAGACAATGAGTGGCAGAAACCTCATTGGACGACTTAAAATTCTTAAATGTGAAATTCTCTTTCAGGCGCCCCAAGCTGAAGCCAGATTCAGCATTCCCCCTCGAGAGAGAGAGAGTGAGTGAGTGAGCGGTCCCCCCAGCCCAGTGGCAATGTCACTTCACAAATAAAAAAAAATCGCTCGCGAGTCTTCATCATTAGCGTTGGCCAATTATTAGGATGTTTACGCTCGTTTTGTTGTGACAGCGTCGCTCCATCGTTAGTGGCAAACAAAAACAACAAACGTCACAACAGCAGCGCGCCCACTAATTGTGAATTCTGAACTCCCCAGTGCTGAGATGGAAAGCCGTTGCTGTTGACACGGGCAGTCAAAACAGCACAATAACGAGCACACACAAAAGAGGACAACTACGACACGCGATCATCTTCACGCAAAGACAAAAAACCCCTAACAACAGTCTGTTAACAGACTGTTGTTAGCGAGCGCTTAGGAAGGCCGGGACGGTACACAAGGGGGTGGCTGGCCAGAACCACGCCCGACCGTTTTTGTCTCCCTAGCGACGAAGTTTACACGTCACACCAGGTACTCATTTGAGGTTGTGTCGACCTAGGAGAGGCCCAATGCTGGTTCAGATAATCATCACTGTTGTTGGCAGTGAGCGGGAATCAAACTCAAGTCGCTAGGTTCGTCACGCAGCGCGCTAACCATTGCACTGCCACTCCCCAGGTGAGCCACACACACACGCTGATCCCCCATGCAACCTGTTGGGGTGAGTGCTGGTAGCAAGCTCCTATAAAGGCCGGCACGGCAAGCGAGCAGGTGGTGTGTGGCGAGCCCCAGGCACGGCCACCTTTATCTCTCCTCACCGCTGATGTTTACGTGTAAAAAACCATTTAAGAAACCCAACATCACGCGAACAGCATCTCTCATGCGCTGCAGCAGCAGTGCCGTCTCGTCGCGCCGTGGACATGGACCGCCTCTTCAGGTTTCGCCTCACGTGGCTGAGCTCATTGCGCCTGAATTTGTCTGACAGAGCGTTCCACGTGACGATGAAAACACGTCAACCGCACGTTACGAGGTCACCACCACCGCGAGCAGCTGACCCCGAGTGCGTCGTATCGGGCGCTCGGCGAGAGGCTCGCATAGCTCCGAGCAATAGCGACGAGGTTGCAGTCCTGCGTGGACTCTTGTTTACGGTCAGGCAGCGTTTATTCATCGCACATCGTACCAGATTCTCATTAAAGACTGAGTCGAGGAAGGGGAGGCCCCAGGGCCGGCTCAGATATTCGCCACTGAAGTTGAACCTTGAACGGGAATCGATCTCGTGTGGCCGGCTTCACAGCTCGGTGTAATAACCACTGCACTGTCGCTGCCCACACATTCAAGAGCCGAATGGCTCACAGGGCTATACCAAATAAATGAAACTGAAAACTGAAAACACGCACGCGCACACAATGATGGCCGAGCTGCTTTGCGTGCCCAGGATTCGACAACGCCCTGGGGCATCTTTGGTCTCCGCGTCCCCGAGTAAACACAATCGCTAGGGAAGGGCGGCCCATCCCTCTCGCGCCCAAGTATTATCAGCCACGTGTGTGTCAACCGCAGCAAGGTGCAGCTGCGTTCACCTGCCCGCCGAGCCACACAGGTGTGCCACAGGCACGCACCGCGCCTGGCTGAACAACGCCACAACGCCCGCCCGGCGATATTTAACCGAGCGACGTCGCCGGCGCTGGTGGTGTCGACGCCCGATGGAATGCGCATTACGCACGCCGGCGACTTGAGCGGCCGGTCGCACGAGTGTCGCCGGCGAGCTCGGAGTCTTGCCCCGAGCCGCAGGGAGAGGCGGAGGCATGTTCCACCGTTCCGCGACGCACCTCTCGCTCATCGTTTCCTGAGTGCGCTCCCCGTTCTCGCGAGCTCGCACGCTCCGTCCCCCGTCGCTTCCCGCGACACCGCAAAGCTCCGCGTGAACCCCAGCGTCGAGTCGGACGGGACCCTCTCTGCTCGTCGCCTGACCGGCTGTGTGACTCACAGCGGGCAAAGATGACGTCCGAATCGCAGAACATTTACATGCAGCCCATCTCGGCCACGCTGCCGCTGGGCTCCAAGGTCTTCTGGAGGCTCAGTGGAAACATCATCATAGCAGAGGTGGTAAGTGAACGTGCATCGTCCATGTGCTGTGGTGCACCAGCACTCGAGCGCCTGGTGGTGGTGATGGTGGAGGTGCAGGAGGCGCTGGTGTTCTGGGCCCCAAGTATTTAATGCAGGTGGTGTGTGGTGGTGGTGAAGATAATGGTGGGGAGCGGTAGTGGAGTGGTTAGTGCCCTGCGCTATGAATCCGGAAAACTAAGTTCGGTCCCGGCTCACGGCCAATACCAGTGAAGATTATCTGAACCGGTCCTGGCCCTCCCCTAGGTCGACTAGGCCTCAAATGAGTACCTGGTGCAATGTTTAAACACGGCCACTATGGAGACAAAGGCGGCCGGGCATGGTGCTGGCCACGCACCCCCTCGTGTGCCGTTCCAGCCTTCATAGGTGCTACTCGCTAACAGCACTTGCCCCAAAGGTATAATAATGATATACGGTGGATCTTTGTCTTTGGTGACGATAATGGCAGTCATGGTGGTGGAAATGATTTCGGTGGTAATAGGTAGTGCTAGTCATAGTGATTGTTGTAAACCATAGTTGCTGAGCACAGGCCTAGAAACCTACAAACACAGCACAAAGGAGAGTCCCGCAGAGGAGAACCAACCTGTTCTGTGAACTGATCACGATTATAAGACATTACGGGGGGTCTTTGGTGGTGATGATGACAGTAGTGATGATAGCTATACCGGTAGTGGTGATATTGGAGGTGGTGGTGGTTAATGGTGGAGATAGGGAAGATGATGGTGGAGTTAGTGGTGGGTGGTAATATTGGGCAAGTTGGTGGCGTTGGTAGTGCGCAGTGATATTAGTCGAATTGGTAGCAGTAGTTAATAGTGGTGGTGGTGATGGTGGCGCTGATGTTTGGAACTGATAGTGCTGGTGCTGCCTTTTCCCTGTGCCTCCAGTTAGCACGGTTGGCTACGTACAGTGCGAAAGAAGTTCAACATAGTCATACGTGGCAATGGCATTAACTCTGCCCTGACACCCAGCTAGCTAATGGAAACTGAGCCATGTGAGGACGTGGCAGCAGCTATTACCCCGTAGCGTGTCTGGGGCTCCAAATTGTTTGCATGTCACTGGATCCCATCTCGCGGAGTCTCGAGCGTGAATCAATTGGCCGAGGAGACACGGAGAGATCTCAAGCCATCTTAATTTTCCTTACTTTCTCACCCACGTGGTAGAAGATGCGTGCCCGTGCGGAGTAGTCGCGCCGTTTGTGCAGTTTTTTGTTATTGTTATTGCGGAGTTACCCTCACGGAGTTACTCTCACGGCGTTACTCTCACGGCGTTACCCTCACGGCGTTACCCTCACGGCGTTACTCTCACGGCGTTACTCTCGTGGCGTTACCCTCATGGCGTTACTCTCACGAGGGCACTCAATCACGCGACGCGTCCATTTCATCCCAGATGAAGGCGACACACAAACAGGGCTCTTCACTCCTTTTCAGAAGGGGATGGAGGGCATTGTCGTCGCTAAGTCGTCGTCAGTGTGAGGACGGCCACGCAGCTGAAACCAATGGGGGTTTGACAGCAGCACCACGACGATGATGATGTGGTGGGGGGGGGGGTCACGTGTCGTGCATTGTGGGGGGCCGCACGTCAGGGCGCCGCACCAAAAGGCAACCAGGGGCCGCCAGTGACCCGCGAGCCCTTTGCAACGAAGAACGCCGCGCTGGCATTTGGAGTCGCCGCTAGCAGGAGGGGGCTGCCGTCCTCCTCGAAGGCACTGGTGGCGTGACCAGCATCCACACCGTGAACGGGAAACTAAAGACGAGCCAAGGTCGTGCGCTTGTGGCCATGCAACCCAAACTGCGGACCATATAGTAAGCCCATACAGATACACAGAGATGTATAGACATACACAGAGACCCGTAGAGGTGCGTGAAGATGCATGCAACCCAAACTATGGACCTAAAGTCACCCCACTGTGGTCCGCGTTCCTTCAGCGGAGGAGGGAACAGCAAAAACTGCACGAACTCTCCCTCAGCTGAGGCTCTCTTGTTGTGGCCAGCAGACCTCGACATTGCCACTTAGCTCCTGATCATATTCTTGTTGCTGCTGCTGCTGAATCACGCGCAACAATGAAATACAGAGATGTCTGAGAGAGACAGAATACAAATTTCGTCTCGGGCCGCAGGGAATGTGCACAACGCGCTGCACTTCACACGCGGCGACTTGGGATTGCTCTGCCTTGTGCGAAACGTAAAACAAACACATCCTGCGTTTAAAAAAAAAACTAAAAATAAGGATTTTGAATTTAATTTCCAAACAGCATGGAAACTGCGCGTGCGGTATCGAGCACCAAACCCCACGTGGCCACGCGGCAGCTCCGAGAGGGACATTTTTGACATCGCCGCCGCTGCTGGCGAGTGTTTTAATTTTGTTCGATATCAGAATGTTCTAGCTTCTTCCACGATGTTTGTTTACAAGTTTCACGTGGGAGGGAGTGGGGTTGGGGGGGGCGGCGTAAGGGGAGGTGGGGGGGTGATCTAATCGCGAGAGAGGTTGGCAGTGTACGGCACGGTGCCCGTGCAGGTCAAGAGCCATCGCCAATCAAGGGGAGGGGGAGCGAGCCAGAGATCAATGCGCTTCCTCGACGGAAATATTCCGCGAAAAAGTCACCGACATTCACATTCATCGATGTATTAACCACAGAATACGGAATTAATTGTATGTATATGAGAGAGAGAGAAACAACTATAATTGGAATGTCATTTCTAAAAATGATGTTTAAGAGACCTTGTGCCTTTAGGGCACTGTCTGGGAAATTATTGGTGGCGAACGTCACTGCCAGGGCCGTGGCTAAGCCAAGGGTTTTTTTTTTACTTCGCCGCAACGCAGGGCAGCGAGAGACGCTGACAGCTTGGGGATGACTTCAAACAACAGCAGTGGATGGAGCGTGGCCGATGGTTCATATATACGTGTATGATTCATGTAAACTATATATGCATCATCAGTCACGTGACTTTACCGAAAGAACCAACGAGTATTTTTGCAGTCACGAAAGCTTCAAATCAAGTCATCATATATTTATATGAATCATGTTGTTATTGAAAGGAGATTCACAAACATCCCGAAATATCCTTCCAAGCACGATGGGTATTTCATGGTATGCCTGGTTGTTATAGGCTGCTGCGTAAGCGGTGCCACCGTGGTGATTAAGCAGAGGGCAGTACAGCAACATCTATCGTTGGACTTTGCTTCTATGTTTCCGCATCTGTTCTGACCGCTTTCACAAAACCGCACTGACCAGCGTGCTGAAGTATGACCAGATCCTCATCGGATTATTCCAGTATAAATATTATAATTCTGAATACAAGCTTGATACAATTGACTATGGGAGATTGTTTAATGTGTGTACAATATTTGCATCGGTATGTTTGACCTGTGTACGTGTTACTTGACGCCCTGGATAGCATAGACGAGACGTTTCCATCTCAAGGGAGAATCCAGGAATAGAGAGCCTCATAAATATGAAAATAAATAAATATCCAATGTTACTTGCGGTTTACCAATTCCGATTATCCACTTTATCTATCTGTCTCATGAAGAAGCGCCATTGCCCGAAACGTCACCTGCGATGTATCAGAATCCTTATTTATGCTGGAGGAATCCGATGAGCTGCAGAGCTCACTATATTTCACACATGTCCAGTCAGGGCGGGTAAGGACGTTACAACAACGAAGTGCAAAGTACACGACAGGTAAACAAAACACATACAAATACAACTAATCTAGTTTTGAAGTTCTCCTCCGTGGCTGACCATTGCTACAACGCTGTGGGCTCTCATGATATTATTTTTTTCCCGAGACCAAGGTGCTCTGCAAACCTTCGGGCTACTATCAAAGGTTTGTTCATGAAGCCATCCAGATATATAAACATAGACATAACTTCAACCGAGAAGATGGATATAAATTGAGCAATCATTGGAAGGATGTTATTAACCAGGTAAAACTTAAATGCTTTATGGTATTGCCTTCATATCCGCATCTCCCCTTTTGCTTTTGCTTCTCCGTTTGCCCTTTGATCCTTTTTCTAGCTGCTCTTCATCTGGCAGCACTCCGCTCCCCCTCTCTCTTACTTATATAACCTCGTATTACGGGAGTCCTTCGATCCACTTCAGCAGTTGTTTCCTGCTGTGATTGTTCCACCTGATGACGGACGCTTGTGTTGCGCCCGAAACGTCGTGATTTTTTGTTATTTCATTTTCACCTACGTGACTTTACCCAATAGAACCAAAGAGTATGACCAGATCGCCCGTGCCACGGCCCGCACGCTCTAGCGGAGTCCCTCATCCAGCAGTGGATTGACACTGAACACTGTACTCGTGTAGTGCACATTTCAAGCGTGTGTTGAACCTCTTTCGCACCGTACGTAGCCAAAATCGTTATTTAATCGGAGGTTGCGGGAAAGGACACGCGGACGGCGTCTCGAGGTCACGACGGCCGAACAACAACAGCCGGAGGCGTTCGCATTTGCCGGGACCATGCCCACAGTGCGAGACAAAGCCCCCTCGGAGCGCCGGGGCGGCACCCGGCAGCCAGCGATCGCGATGAGGGCACGGGCGCTGAGACATTTGGCCTCCCACGTTGGTCACAGTGCGAGTAGAATTCTTCTTCTAATTACCATTTTTTTTCTCTCCAGGGGGATTAAACTGCAACATTATACCTTGAAGTCATGAGTCAGTTAGATAAAGACTGTCCCACCTTCCAAGCCGGAAGCGCATCAGGGAGCCGTACAGCACAACCGCGACAGCCTCCACAGCGTTTGTTTGGAATGTTGTTGTCGTGACGGGACATCGCCGGGCGGTCGCGTGCTCGCCGCCCTGGCTAACATTGCGCTTGTATTAACATCGATGGCGAAATGTTAACTACCTCGCCTGGTATACAGCAGGTCGTGGGTTCGACCCGATGCCTGTATATTTGGAGTTTGGTTGTCTCTCTCCCCGTGGTCGCGTGTATTTTTCTCCGGCTCCTCCGGTTTTTCCCTCCACATTTAGAGTCAGTACGCGTTTAGAGTATTTGGCTGCTATAAATATCCACGTAATAAGCCACTTCGTTGAGCTATAATTTGTGGCCAGGTCGAATCTGAAAAAGAGCCACATAGCTCAGTGGGCCTTACCTGGTAAAATAAAAAGTAACGTTTTTAGTTTTAATCGTGAGAATACTTCACGCGCTCCGCTTCACAGTGGACGTCCAAGATCCCGTGAGGTTATTTGAAACAGGGTAGGCCATCCGGAAAAAAAAAAACGTAATCACAATTATAATTACGAACACACAGTGGCCAGGAAGACCCCACGCTATGTTTACTTCATCGGGAAACCCTGTCAGCTCGTAGCAGGCGCAGCGCGTGCCACGTCCAGCGAGTGACACTCCCCTGCACTATCCATAGAGCCACCGCACACTCGCGCACGCGCGCGCATGCCAGGGCACCACATCACCCCAGCCCGTGCCTGCAGAGGGGACGCGTCCCGAATGCGTAAAGCAGCAGCCTCGAGGGAGCGCCGCGAGCCAGCAGCGAGTGCCCTCACCCTGGCCCACATTCTGCCCGCGCCTGACGTAGCAGGACGCGCGTGCCCTCCTCCTGGAACCGCCGTCACACAAAACAAATATAAACGAACGGATGAGGTTGGTAACCGGGGAATCAAACCGTGGTCGATTTGGTGTGGTCAATAGCCATGACGCTTGTGATGGATTCAGAATCAGAAAATATATTCATGCTGGAGGAATCCGATGAGCTATCGAGATTATTTTTTCCCACAGGCGCCTAGTAGAATCACCTACTCCCCCACAGTGCTTCAATGAATCGTCATAATTCAAGAATCGCGGTTGTCATGATTCTGTCCCGTGTGTAGCGCCGGTCTCGTACGCTCTGTCGTGTTTGTCCCATAATGTTCACTCCGTGACCATAAATATACCAAGAGCTCCGCATGCACAGCCACGCATCAATCCACTGCTGTATTAACGCCCTCCCATACCGTATCTGCTGTGAGGATGTTTTTTTTATCATACTTGGCCACGCTGGCCGTTGCATGTTGGTGAACGACAGGGGGGACGGGTTACAGGTTCACACGTGACTCGCCACTGATCTGAGTCGTGACATAGAGTCGCATTCAGGTGGCCAGTTTTGTAGAGCAGCGCGCTAACCACTGCGCCACCACTCACACTGCCCTATCCCTCTTGCCTAAATACGAGAAAATAATCATTACATTCAACATGGGACCTTTCTTGCCGCTATCAAAGTATAAGAATAGGTTTTACCCTTTCTGTCAATAAAACGGTTTGCGTGAAGATGTTCAGACACCAAAGAGAAACCTTTGGCAAGGAATCGTGTCCGCATTAACCACACACGGTACTTGTGGTGAACATGCAAACAAAACAAACACGCTCTGGTAATATATGGCATTGCCTTCTTTAGGGCCGAGTCCAAACCAGTGTTAGACCAGAGGAAGCAAAAAGGAGTAATTACAAAAATAATTACATAATTTGCATAAATCATTACAAATATATTCTTGGACAAACAATGCAGTGAATGTATCAGCATGTTAATGTATGAATCATAACGTGTCTGATGATAATCACCTTGACATCACTCCCCACAACAAAGACCCCCCAAAATATTTATGGATAATATTGGTCGCGAAATCATACTACGTGTTAAACTGGCTTTATACCGTGCGCCAAGAGTGAGAATCCTGTTGAGATTCTATAGGAATAAATTACTTGGAGGGAGGTTTATGCCAACATATTGTGCGGTTTGAACGAATATTAAATCTCGCGCGACAATGAAATGAACCGCCTGTTGCTTGACAATTGTGAATGTTTGAAGCGTTCGCGACCAGCGGTGCCTCGCTTTCTCCCTCTCCCGTGGGGCTCCTCGGCCCGCAGACGCTGGGAGCCCTCGTGTGGATCCTGGTGGCGGCCACGGGGATGACCCAAAACCTCCACCAGGGTTGGGTGATGTTCGTCGCCGTCACTTTCTGCTTCTGCTCCATCGTGCAGTTCTTCCTCTACGGGACGAGCGTGCCCGAGTCCCTCGACCTGCCCTGGCTACTCATGGTGAGCGATCATTGTTATTGTTGTTGTTATAATAGTGCCAAGAATAATTGTCACCGATAACAATGCAATTATACGACGCTTGCTTCGAGGTATCAGCAACTCGAAGTGGCCTTACATCGGCATCTCATCTCGCACGTTTTAAGGGCACTCCCCTCTATGTTTGCTGAACTTCTTTTGCACCCTACGTAGTCAACCGTGCTCATCGGAGGTGGTAGCTGCCACCTCCGATTAGCCCCTGGTGGCAGCTGCCCCTGTGCGGCACGATGCGACTCAGCACCAGGCCTGCAAGCGGACGAGCGTCTGCCAGTAGGGGGAGGGGAGGAGAGGGGGCGATGTGCGCACTGTAACCCCCATTTGGAGAAACTGCGGTGTCATTGATCGAATTTGGCAAAGTTTGTAGCGTTGCTTCGGCGCACAACGGCCGTCTCACTTTAAATAACGCGGCGGGATCTTTACCGTCCACTGTGAAGCGGGCGGCGCGTATTGTTACGGGCGATTCACCCGCAGCGTGAACCAGAAGTGAACTCCGCGTTCAAAGCCACTCCTCCACACCAACTAAATAGCGCACAATTCTCAACTGAAATAAAACATCCAACAAAATAACAAAAATAACTCGTGTTACATTTTATGAACTTTTACTAAATTGTTAGAAAAATGAAGTGCACAGTTGTGGTTGACATCTCGAGCGAGTGATCACTTTGAGACATGAAAAAGTATCGTTCAGTTGAACGCGCGGTGCATCTCGCGAAACCACGAAGACAAATTCAACACGCGGTGCAGAGGATGTGCAGCGGGTAAAGATGCAGCCCCGCAATTCTCTGCTCACATCGCTGCTGGTGGATGGGCTGAAACTGGACAGAGCTCGGAGAAGGTCTCTCGAGGGTATGTGGCCTCGTCTTTCCACACTGGTCAATCGTCTTGTAAGAGGTGGGCATACCCACACTTCACCCCACCACACGCGACCTGTCGACCCATCACTGTGGTGCAAATCATTTATAGTGCTGGGTGGACAGAGGCGGCTTAAGAAACTGGCCCCATTGTGTTAACTGCCGCGCCGGGAGATTGCAAGTCCTGTGCGATTACAACCATGACATCACGGTAGCATCCCTGTCTCAATATACTTCGCATTCATTGTGGGTTTTTTTTGTTTCAATTCATTGTGTCAGGCCACAAATTAACCTCATCCCCGTGTGCCGATATGTCCACAAAGTAAACGCAGTAAAGATGGGACATGTGAGAGGCATCGAATTCCTGCCCGAGAAAGGTCAGGGCTGGCTGCGCGGGCTCTGACGGCAACAGCCGTCCGCGTGTGGGCAGAGACAGCAGCGCAACATAGAGCGTGAGGGCCTCATCACACCTTCGCCCCGAGTTGCGATGACGGCGATCATTCCCTTCCCCACCACCACCAGCAGCAGCAGCCCACCCCACCAGCAGCAGCCCACCCCACCAGCAGCAGCCCACCCCACCACCAGCAGCCCACCCCACCACCAGCAGCCCACCTCACCACCACCAGCCCACCCCACCACCAGCAGCCCACCCCACCACCACCAGCCCACCCCACCAGCAGCAGCCCACCCTACCACCAGCAGCCCACCCCACCAAAGCGGCAATAACGAGCACCGCGCTCACATTTCGCGATCTCGCGACGATCGAGGTCTCGGCTTGACGTCAGAGGCACGCGGGGAGACGGCGGAGTGGCGGCGGCGACGCCAGGAGCGCGCACGCTGCTCCGCCGCCCGCCACTCTCCGCTGGCATTTTGGCTACGAGCGAAAAATGCCAGCGGAGAGGGGAGGGGTGAAGAAAGAACAACAACAACAAGAGGAAGAAGAAGAAGGAGAAGAAGAAGAAGATGAAGAAGAAGGAGCTGGCGTCTAAAATATGACAAGAGGGGCGACGATCGTGCGGGAGTTAAGCGAGGGCCACTTCAGCGAGCAGTCCTCGAGCCCCGTCCGCCACGAGGCCCGGAGGAGCGCCACGCGACGCCAGCGGAGAGGGCGGCGGCGTTCGTCGTCGGCGAGCGCCGTTCCGTCACCGCTCGCATCGCATCGTCCGGCTCCCTGCGATTTCACAAACGTTCAGAAAGCCCTCGGTGCTGGCTTCCTGTTTATTTTTCGGAGGTAATTAAAAGGCCAGAGGCGCAGTGGAATGGGAATCGTCGAGTGTCCGTGCTCGAGCAGGGTGGATAATGCCCCTACCCCACCCCGGAATCATGCGGCGAGCAATTTTATTAAAAAGCCTGCAGGTTTTTTTTATTTCGCTGTTATTTCGTGATGCATCCAAAAATATGAATCGTGTGTAAAACCTCATTATTCAATTTGAGGGTCGCCTCCAATCGCACTCCTCCCTCATCATCTGCTCCACGTGATTCTGTGCTCATGGGGTTTTGACGCGAAATAGTTTTAATTTATTGATTACAAAACCAAGCTCGGAAAAAAGTGCCCTCCCCACGTTCCTCGTGAAAAGTGTCCGCGACGCATCTCGGATTGCCACGGAGAGTGGCTGATCTCACCAAATGTACCAGACCGCGTGCAAGTAGTCCAGTAATGCCTATTTACATTGGGGTACAAACCCCCAGTCACTCCACTGTTGGATGAAGGCCTCCCTCCATGCCTTTTGGTCAACAGGGTTGTTTGACCATACTTCACCACGCTGGTCGGTGCGTGTGATGAAGGCAGGTGCCCTGGGCTGGTTCGAAAACCACTCGCCACTGGTTTCAGCCGTGGCCATGGATCGAACTCAGGTGACAGGGTTCATAGCCATATGCGCTAACCACTGCGCCACGTGTGATTAACATATTTTGGCGTGTGTTATCTTGAGCGCAATAATCCATTTAAACCGACGAATGAATAGACAATCCCTCTTCACCACCCCACGTGGGCAATTTGAATGCAAGTGATAACCGCCGCTGCGTCTCTACCGGAGGAACATCTGCGGCGGGCGATAAGCAAAACGCGGAGCGGTGGTTGTGGCGCCGTCCCCACAGACACGGGCCGCACGGGGCTCCTGCCGTGCGCCGAGTTCCATGATGGGGACCCAAACCCCCCCCCCGTTCCCTCCTGCCCCCAGGTCGTGCCCATTGAGCCGCGAGGCGGCTGTGAGACGCCGCGTGCCTCAAGACGCCTCGCCAGTGCGGCACATCCAATAGGGGGCGGGGCATTGGGGGGGATGATCGACCCCCCCCCCCCACCCCACCCCACCTTAAGAATCCACAGATTGGTGTTTTATTGATTTTTTTCCAGAGGCAAAAATATTGAATGTTTGTATACTAATTATTATTAATGTAGGGCCCGAATTAGAATCAGGACCCCCCCCCCCCCCATTGGAAGTTGCTAGATCCACATATGTCGAAATACAACTGAAGAAACACAATTACTTTGATGTTTAAATAACGCCCTGCATGTATCCAGGAAATCCTCACCTGAGTCTTGAGTACATTGTTCAGGAGGGACCCTACGTTGGGATTTTTGGCCGATTCCACTTCTGAGTGCCAGGTCATGCCCACTCACAAAAAAAACAAGTTGCATTTTTGAAAACAGAATTTTATTCACACGTGTGTACAGTATCAATGTATATATTTCTTAATGGATTGATCATCAAACGTCATAATACAGGCGGCGTAACGACCTGCTCACCAAACAAAAGCCAAGAAAACGACGAATATCCGAGAGACGGCACAGAGACGGTGTTCATGTCGCCCCCTCTCCCAGGAGTGCGTCTACAACATACTTGCCTTCTCCATGTACCTGAGCGCCGCCGTGCTGCTGGCAAACCTCTGCGTCCTGCTGGGCAAACAGGACATGCTCGTCATCATGGACAACTACATCTACGGGCTAAGCGTCGCGGCCGTGGTGAGTGTGGATCGACTGATGTTTCCGTGTTTCATCATCATTATCATCACCAATCATTATGCATCTTTGTGTATGTATGTTGAACTTCTTTTGCACCGTGCGTAGCCAACCGTGTTCATCGGAGGTGCGGGGGAAGGACAACAAACTAAACACAAAAAACTGTTCAATCTTGATTTGAAGCTTTCGTGACCACAGGAATCCATACTCTTTGGTTCTTTCGGTAAAGTCACGTAGGTAGAAAAATAAAATAAAATAAAAAATGAGAAATCACGACGTTTCGATCGCATCACAAGCGGTCGTCCTCAGGCGGAAAAAATAATCCAGCAGTGGAACTGCTGAACGAGGAAGAACACAGCGAGAGAGCAGCTACAACAACAAGGAGGTTATATATGTGGCGAAGGGCAAGCAGGCGGGGTCTGAGCTGGAAAGGAATTCCATCCCCGCACGCAAGCACGCCAGTTGTGTATAAAAAAAACACTGCTCTAAAGAAGGTAAAGCGGGATGTGGCACGTGACGACGGGCGGTCACAGTAGAGTGGAGGCCATCCAGGCCGGCAGCAATTGCAGGGCTGCGCCTTTAACATTTTAAAAAAAATATCTGAACACGCGTGCCGCCTCGGTGGCCACGCACGCACGCACAGCGACGCTGAATGACTGGGCACGGCCTCCCGGTGACTCTCGCACGAGAACACCGCCACGACCATCGCACAAACATCGCGCCTCGTGCGAGCACGCGGCGGTGAATGGCAGCTGTCCCGAGACTGATCATGACTGATGACTTCTCACAAGCACCGTCATCCTGGGTGATGGCAGCTCCTCCGCTAAAGGGAAACAAATTATTAGTGACCATTGGTGAATTCCTTTTGAAGGCGACTTGAGAGAGGAGTGGGTTTTCCTTTTATCTCTCAGTAGTAAAAAAATACATTGCTTAAAAGTTCAAACCCGTGTCCTCACCTGCCCAGACCTTTTAGCCAATAATAAAAAAAACTCTTAAGCCTTTTTGTTCCCTACAAAGACAATGTTCGTACAGATGACGTTCAAAATAAAAAAAAACAATTATTAATCATCACCAGGCATGACCTATCTACTGCTGGACATAGGCCTTCTGCTCAAGCCTTCGCCCCTCCCTTCAATGTGACCGAGTGAAATACACCAGCCAACACTGCCACGCTAAGTGTTCCACGGGGATGCCTCTCTGAGTCTTGAGACTCTATTTCAGGAAGGTCATGTCTTGGGTGTGTGGACAACACCATTCCTTCTCGATCCTCCTCTTTGGCACGAGTATCTGCAGAAACCCGACGCATATACGGGGGATACCACTCAAAGCTGCACACAGATGGATTCACACGACCGTGGCTTGTGTATCTTTATAGGTATCTAAATGAGTTTATAGTGTATCTCTGTGTCTCGATGTATCTATTTCGATACAATGTGTCTCTCTATGTATCTCTACGGGTGTCTATGGGTTCTCCGTGTCTCTATCTATCTCGATGCGTCTCTGTGTATCTCTAGCTTCGTTTACTTCCGTTTGGCAATACGTTCAGGAGCTCGATGGCAATGTGGAGATCTGCTGCTGCCGGCCATAACGAGAGGGCTTCGGCAGAGGGACAGTTCGTGGGGTTTCTCCTTGTGGGGGGGAGAGGGCAGCCCCCTTCTGGCGGTGCTCCCCCCCGCCACGTGGCTCCGTGTCGCCATCAACACGACGAATGAACACGACGAATGCCAGATTTGAAGCTTTCGTGACTGCAAGGATCCATACTCTTTGGTTCTATTCGGTAAAGTCACGTAGGTAAAAAATGAAACAACAAAAATCACGACGTTTCGGCCACAACACAAGTGGCCTTCATCAGGTGAATGGGCCGTACTGTCACGAGGACAGCGTTGATGAAGGCCGCTTGTGTTGTGGCCGAAACGTCGTGAGTTTTGTTGTTTTATTTTTTTACCAACGTGACTTTACCGAATAGAACCAAAGAGTACGACGAATGCCGTCGATGTGAGCGAATCGGTCCTGCTCCGCTCGCCCATGCACAGTGACTACAGCCGCCAACGATGACATCGTTGGCGGAGCGCATTAAGCAGATCAATATATCCCTGGCATTTGAAGCTTTGTGGGCATCTCAAGGGACCTGGAAGCACGCGGTCTATAAGACGAGCGGAGGTCCTGCGCTGATGCTGCAACCGTGACGCCAACAGCCTTTATGAATTAAATATGTAACCGGTGACAGAGGAGGAGAGAGAGGAATGGGAGGGAGAAGCGTGCGTGGACACGCGTGGCGCCGAGGGCAGGGACTCAACAATCAAGGGAGATTTGCTCATCTCTCTCCACAAAAATAGCCCCCCGCCCTTCTGGAACCTAAACACCGTCTGTAGACCGCAACAATTCGTTTAAATTATCCGCCCTCCCCCACCCCATGTTTTGCAATCTTTGTGGGGGTTTTTTGTGTGAGTGTTCACACTTAGTAGTGAGAACACTGGCGTCAAAAGTTGTCAGAGAGACGTTGATGAGTCGCCCTGGGTGGGGTGGACATTATCTGTACTGTACCGGCAACCTCCCTCCCCCTGTGAGCGAACAATAAAACTGAACTCGCTAGTCAGGCTGAACACGGCCCTAAAATGATAACACAAACACGACTCACCGTTTCGAGCAAAATGTATGTTGAACTTCTTTCGCACCGTACGTAGCCAACCGCGCGAAATGGCCCTTCGTCGTCGCATATGTCAACAAAACGCGTTTTATTTTTCCTTTGTAGGATATTGTTGTTTACACATGTGTTGAGTTTGTGCTTAGGAAAAAAAACAATCATTAAATGTAACTGGTATTAACCAAACATCACAATGCTGAACAATTGCCTGCAAGTTAAACCATCGGGGTTACACAGCAGCAGCAGTCACAACATCGACCCCCATACGACGACAACACTAGCAGCACGCTCGTGAAACTGAACCTTTAGACTCACTGAGGCTTTCCTCGGTTCATGAAGTCAAAAATAATACAAATCCACCACTGCCAATGGTGCATTTCCCGCACCTCCGGTTAGCACGGTTGGCTACGTACGGTGCGAAAGAAGTCCAACATACGTACATGCAATGCGGTGTCACTTAAACACGTGTTCAGAAGATGAACTGCGGATAGACAACCGAGCGAGAGCCCTGTTCAGCCGAATCAGCTCTGCGTGTCGTCTCACTACAGGCATCTGCTGCTTGATAGTCACTCGGGCTGTGTGTCTCGTCTCTCTACAGGCACCTGCTGTCTGTTAGTCACTCGGGCTGTGTGTCTCGTCTCACTACAGGCACCTGCTGCCTGTTAGTCACTCGGGCTGTGTGTCTCGTCTCTCTACAGACACCTGCAGCCTGTTAGTCACTGGGGATGTGTGTCTCGTCTCGCTACAGGCACCTGCTGCCTGTTAGTCACTGGGGCTGTGTGTCTCGTCTCTCTACAGGCACCTGCTGCCTGTTAGTCACTCGGGCTGTGTGTCTCGTCTCACTACAGGCACCTGCTGTCTGTTAGTCACTCGGGCTGTGTGTCTCGTCTCGCTACAGGCACCTGCTGCCTGTTAGTCACTCGGGCTGTGTGTCCCGTCTCTCTACAGGCACCTGCTGCCTGTTAGTCACTCGGGCTGTGAGTCTCGTCTCGCTACAGGCAGCAGGTCTGCCTGTTAGTCACTCGGGCTGTGTGTCTCGTCTCTCTACAGACACCTGCTGCCTGTTAGTCACTCGGGCTGTGTGTCTCGTCTCACTACAGGCACCTGCTGCCTGTTAGTCACTCGGGCTGTGTGTCTCGTCTCTCTACAGGCACCTGCTGTCTGTTAGTCACTCGGGCTGTGTGTCTCGTCTCACTACAGGCACCTGCTGCCTGTTAGTCACTGGGGCTGTGTGTCTCGTCTCTCTACAGGCACCTGCTGTCTGGTAGTCACTCGGGCTGTGTGTCCCGTCTCTCTACAGGCACCAGCTGCCTGTTAGTCACTCGGGCTGTGAGTCTCGTCTCCCTACAGGCACCTGCTGACTGTTAGTCACTCGGGCTGTGTGTCTCGTCTCTCTACAGGCACCTGCTGCCTGTTAGTCACTCGGGCTGTGAGTCTCGTCTCTCTACAGGCACCTGCTGCCTGTTAGTCACTCGGGCTGTGTGTCTCGTCTCTCTACAGGCACCTGCTGCCTGTTAGTCACTCGGGCTGTGTGTCTCGTCTCTCTACAGGCACCTGCTGCCTGTTAGTCACTCGGGCTGTGTGTCTCGTCTCTCTACAGGCACCTGCTGCCTGTTAGTCACTCGGGCTGTGTGTCTCGTCTCTCTACAGGCACCTGCTGCCTGTTAGTCACTCGGGCTGTGTGTCTCGTCTCGCTACAGGCAGCAGGTCTGCCTGTTAGTCACTGGGGCTGTGTGTCTCATCTCACTACAGGCACCTGCTGCCTGATAGTCACTGGGGCTGTGTGTCTCGTCTCTCTACAGGCACCTGCTGTCTGGTAGTCACTCGGGCTGTGTGTCTCGTCTCACTACAGGCACCTGCTGCCTGTTAGTCACTCGGGCTGTGTGTCTCGTCTCTCTACAGGCACCTGCTGTCTGTTAGTCACTCGGGCTGTGTGTCTCGTCTCCCTACAGGCACCTCCTGCCTGTTAGTCACTCGGGCTGTGTGTCTCGTCTCTCTACAGGCAGCTGCTGCCTGTTAGTCACTGGGGCTGTGTGTCTCGTCTCACTACAGGCACCAGCTGCCTGTTAGTCACTGGGGCTGTGTGTCTCGTCTCACTACAGGCACCAGCTGCCTGATAGTCACTCGGGCTGTGTGTCTCGTCTCTCTACAGGCACCTGCTGCCTGTTAGTCACTCGGGCTGTGTGTCTCGTCTCTCTACAGGCACCTGCTGTCTGTTAGTCACTCGGGCTTTGTGTCTCGTCTCTCTACAGGCACCTGCTGTCTGTTAGTGACTCGGGCTGTGTGTCTCGTCTCTCTACAGGCACCTGCTGTCTGTTAGTCACTCGGGCTGTGTGTCTCGTCTCTCTACAGGCACCTGCTGCCTGTTAGTCACTCGGGCTGTGTGTCTCGTCTCTCTACAGGCACCTGCTGCCTGTTAGTCATTCGGGCTGTGTGTCTCGTCTCTCTACAGGCACCTGCTGTCTGTTAGTCACTCGGGCTGTGTGTCTCGTCTCTCTACAGGCACCTGCTGTCTGTTAGTCACTCGGGCTGTGTGTGTCGTCTCTCTACAGGCACCTGCTGCCTGTTAGTCACTCGGGCTGTGTGTCTCGTCTCTCTACAGGCACCTGCTGCCTGTTAGTCACTCGGGATGTGTGTCTCGTCTCTCTACAGGCACCTCCTGCCTGTTAGTCACTCGGGCTGTGTGTCTCGTCTCTCTACAGGCACCTGCTGCCTGTTAGTCACTGGGGCCGTGTGTCTCGTCTCTCTACAGGCACCTGCTGTCTGCCTGTTAGTCACTCGGGCTGTGTTTCTCGTCTCCCTACAGGCACCTGCTGCCTGTTAGTCACTGGGGCTGTGTGCCTCGTCTCTCTACAGGCACCTGCTGCCTGTTAGTCACTCGGGCTGTGTGTCTCGTCTCGCTACAGGCAGCAGGTCTGCCTGTTAATCACTCGGGCTGTGTGTCTCGTCTCACTACAGGCACCTGCTGCCTGTTAGTCACTCGGGCTGTGTGTCTCGTCTCTCTACAGGCACCTGCTGTCTGTTAGTCACTCGGGCTGTGTGTCTCGTCTCTCTACAGGCACCTGCTGCCTGTTAGTCACTCGGGCTGTGTGTCTCGTCTCTCTACAGGCGCCTGCTGTCTGTTAGTCACTCGGGCTGTGTGTGTACGCGTTGGCTCGGGCTGGCCGGGTCAATGCGCAGCAGCAGTCGTCGTCGGTGTTTGTTGATTTATTCATCGCGTCCCGAGGCGTTCCGCGGGATCGCCGTGCGGGATTACGAACCCAGGCGCCGGAGCCTTCATATCGGCCGGGATCGAAGCACGCGGATACAGAGACAACAGCAGCAGCAGAAGCCGCCACTCGCCACGACGTGGCGGTGACGTCACCGTGGCGCTCGTGCCAGGCTAGGTGCACCTTGAGGCCACCACGTGAAGCGAGGAAGGATCTCCGCTGGCAAGCCACGGGACAGATCCAGCAGGTGCCACGGGTTGGCTGCCTGACGTGACCGACTAATCTCCCCACGGTGCCAACTCGCCGCGTTCAATGTGCCCGGCGCTCCGCTCGTTGACGTGAGGGTCGCTTCCTCTGCCCTCCGCTATTGCTGGAGGGCGACTGCCTCCAAATGCCGAGTAGCAGCGTCCTTGACGAGCCTCCTCCTCCGCAGGGGCCGATCTTGACACCCTGGTACCGGTCAATGGCAAGTCCACTCAGCTCCACATCCTGCTGTACCACATCAGCCCATCTCTTCTCTAGCCCGTGCCTCAGAGACAACACAGACATACACACCGGGCCAGATGTAGAAACCCTGAAAATGAAGCTTTGTAAATCGAGCCTCTACGTAAGAAAATTCATTCAGTGTATTTGCTATGGAAAATACAAATAGAATGTTCTAGATCTCATGTGGGCGGCGCAGTCACCGCCCTCCCCCTCCCGCCGGATCCGCCTCTGCTGTAAACCCGGGCACCTAAGTTCGATTCCCGGCCACGGCCGCAATGAACGGCGAGCGCTGTCCGAACCGGTCCTGCAGCACCTCTCACTTTAAGCGGACTGACACTCGTGGTGAAGTATGGTCAAACAGTCGCCATGACTGACGCGATGTCGGGGAGGCTGACTGGGCGCTAACTCTAGAGGTTCTCGACAGTAACAACGGTAAAGGCGCAGCCCTGAAATTTCTCGCTCACGCCACTGCTGGCGGAAGGGCCTCCGCCGAAGGGAACTCGAGAGAGTGCGCTTAATGAGAAAATGTCTTCGGCCGCTCCTCCACCACGCGCACAAACCTGCCCATCGACGAACTGTGGTGGTACCCCAGTGCGCTGCTGGCGGGACAGAGGTTTTAAGAACCGTTCCCCGTTGTTTCAGCAGCTGTCGCGCCGGGAAATGGAATGTAACCGGCGAACCGATGGAATTACAAATCCAGCGCGCTGACCGCCACACCACGGTGGCAGCGGCCGATGTTTTTTTAATCTTTCACGCGATATCAAATAATTTGCCGGCGTATTGTTTAAAGTACGTGGATCATGAGAGCCCCCCCCCCCCCCCCCCCCACACACACACCCCCAGACTGCCCCTTTCCCTGGGGGGCGCAGGGCTGCCAGTAATGAGCTGGGATGGGAGGCGCTTGTGAAGCACGCGAGTGTTTGTACGTCTGGCCAGAATGAGGAGAATGAGGAGTTGAGCTACGCACGTTCGTGCGCTCTCCACGTTTGATGTTTTTTTTTCTTTATTTAACGAGGTCGAGATAATTACAAAAATAAAAGCCCGCTCACATGTTTTTTTTGGGGGGGTGGGGGGGGGTGGGAAACGTTGCACTGCGTGGTGGAGTGAGGGTAAAGTGTGAGCACGCCCACCGCTTACAAGATGCCTGCCCAGCGTGGAGGAGTAGGCCAAAAAATACCCCCCAGAGGGGGGCTCTCTGCAGCTCTCGAGAGAGGAGGCCCCTTCCGCCAGCAGTGGCGCGAGCGATCAATTGCAGGGCTCCGCCTTTAGCTTTTACATATTTAAAGACGGCAGTCATTGAAGGGCCCATGCTCACGTGGGAGCCGCCGCTTGGCTTTTTGTTGTGTTGGGCTCTGGGACGACCCCTTCCATAATTGGGCTCCACGGCCTGGCTCTCCCCCGTCAATCCCGAAGGATGCTCGCGCTGCGTCAACGTGTTACAGATTTCCTATCCTGCTCCTGCGGGCTGAAGTCCGCTCGCCGGCAGAGAAATATGGCTACGGCGCCTTCCTTTAAACGTCAAGGAGCGCTCGCTGTTGTGCTCTCGGGTTGTACCGCGTGTCATTCGGCGTGTCGTCCCGACGTTTCGCTCCGCGCGTTGAAAGCTTCTTCCGTACCTGAAGAAGCTCCAAGGACGAGGAGCGAAACGTCGGACATCACGCCAAATGACGCGTGGTACAACCCTGTACAACCTCGAAAACCTAAGCAGTACGGTTCACGGACCGCTCTAACCAGCAGCGGGAACAAGGGTTAAGTCGTCAAATGGAAATGATCAATATTGTGGTGCTGAAGGAGTTGACAGCATGACCCAGCTAATGGATCGGTTAAATTAGGCTTGATCCAGCAACAGGACTGACCAAGGCTGATAATGATAATGATGATAAGGGATAGTTTTCGAACGTCAGAGATGTGGAGACTTAAAATTGAGCGACAGGAAGAGGAGGAAGACGTGGCTTAAAGAGCATACTCGGGCTAATGGCATCATTCAAACTGGGAGGAAAAGCTAAAGTGGCCTGCAGGCTGGAGATGTCACGGCGGGAATGGATGGACGCTGCTCACGGACAGTGATGGAGCTGGCTGGACTGTTATCTCAGGATGGTGAGATGGTGACGGTTCGGGGAGGTCTTCATCCAGCAGTGGATTGACCATGGCTGCTGCTGATGATGATCCCATTTGTCTGACCTCAATTCTATCCGGCCACAAATAACGTGCCCTATTTTTTACGGTCGTTTGCGGAAATATACAATTTGACCCTTTGAGCCATGCACATGACACGGAATTAGGTTTTTGGTGTTTTTTTCCCCCCTTCCCAACGAGACCACAAAACCGTAGCGTGGAAACAGCCGCGGCTTTAACCCACCCAGAGGGTGGTGGCAAGAACTGGCGCGATTCGCCGAAACTGGGTTCCCACCCACACTTCTACTTTCACATCGCGCTGCTGTTGTTGTTGTTTTCATTTATGAAACGCGTCTTGGGTATGCCGTTGCATTTAGACACCGCATGACTGTAAAATCGCTGCAGATGTTGTTGTTGCTGCTGCTGCTACCTATTATTCGAGGCAAGGCAACACAAGGGGCCTAATTATTTGAGCCGGTCGTCAGGTGTCTTCTGCCGAAATGTTTCATGACACGAGATGATCGTACAAGTGGGATACAATGGGGAAGGGTGGGTGGGGGAAATGATGAAGCTATAAATAATAATGTGAGAGAGAAAGAGGGGGGGGGGACAGAAGCCCCGGGGATGGACACGGTTGACCTCCACCCGTCCCCTCAAGTGGCGAGCGTTTGCGTCACGCCGCGTTGCGCTGTCGTCCGCAGTTGTTCGCCCACCTCGTCACGCTCCTCTACGGCATCAGCGCCGTCATCAGCGTCCGCCGGCTGCGCTTCAACTGAAGGAGCAACCACGCTTCTCTGGGCGGCCGTCACTCGCTCGCTGCGGAACCCCCCTGCCACGCTCGCCCGCTCTCTCTCTCTCGCCTGCCGCCGGTCTTAATTTCCACGAGAGAATTAGTGACGGGAATGTTTGTTTTGTGTTTTTTGAGACAACGGTGACTTTGATTGAACGGAAACCCGAACCCCCACGACTGCAGTTTGATGTCCCCCCCCCCTCACTCTGTTGTCCCCCCTTCCCCACTCTGTTGTCCTTCCCCCGCACCTGCGATTAGCGCGGTTGGCTACGTACGGTGCGAAAGAAGTTGAACGCGCGTGCGTGCTGCCCAGCACTGACCGTAGCGAGACCGTGACGAGACGGCGTGAGCCGAGTCTGTGTGAAGACGCAGACTCAGACCTTCTCGGTCACGTTACGGGAGGGCGCAGGGCACCGCGGAAGACCACGCGTGGTAATTGGCTGCACGCTTACATTTCTTATTTGCTGGGCTCACTACTCAGCTCACAGCTGACCGTCTTCGGGGAGCAGTGGTGGGGTGGTTTGCGTGCCTCTCACACCAGCTCGTCGGCTCAGAGAATGACCAGTCGGCAGGCAAGGCCTCAGCGCAGATGCCAGGTTGTCGGGTTGTCGCCGACGAGGCTAAGATTGTGACCAAAATAAAATGAATAGAAATTGCGACCGCACGAGGATGGCGAGCGAGCGTTCGGTGGGGGTGCAGCGGGGGGGGTCCGGGCCAGGCGTGGCGTCGCCGTTCCATCAATCGATGGATTTAGCGCGGCGCTGCCTCGACATCGGCTCTAATTCCGGAGCGGGATTCACCGCGGTCTCATCCCCTCCCTCGAGGGGTGGATGAGGCCCCGCAGCATCTCGCTCACGCCAGCGCTCTCCAATAAACCCCTTCCGCTGTTTCCACAAAGACCGATTTAGCCCATATCCAGCTTGATTTCGCATTGCAAACGATACGAAAAATATATTTTAAAACAAATTTTACGCGTCTAAAATTTGGAGGAAAAATAACAACCCATCACCGAAACCGCTGAAGTTCGTAAGCCAATTCCAGAACCAGGACCCACGACGCCATGGCGACGGAAATCGTCGCTGCGCGGTGCCGAACTCAAGCGGTCCTGTGCGGTGCGTGGCCTTGACCCGGCGGCTGTTCCACTTTTGAGCTTTGGGACAGCGATTTCCATCTTTTCTCATTTCAGTTTGTCGTCTTCTCTACCAGCTCGTTAGAATGTGGGCTCACGGGATACCCCCCCCCTCCACCCCCCACGTTATGTCGACGGCCACGCTGTGTCGTTGATGGGCAGAATATACAGCGAGTAAAGCAATGCCATGGATATTCTTAGTTGAAGTTTTTGGTTTGTTCGCTATTGCAATTAGTGTAATCGTGGGGTTATTAGTTACAAGAGCACGGGGATCACGGTGAGAACGGAAATCGTGAATTAATTATACTCCGTGAAATCTTTTAAATAAAGAAATTGGAGGAGCGGCGGTGGGGGGGGGCACTTTGGGTGACCGTTATACTCGCAACTCACAATCACCACGCCAAGTTCACATCCCGGGTCGTGACCTCGTGCTGCTGCGAAGATTTCGCCGTCGCTCCGAACCGAAAAGGCACCGCGTGTGATCGCGGCCGCTGCTGACGCGATAGGAATCTGTACAGCTGCAAATGAAATGTACGCCTTGTCTGCTTTAATAGGCATGTATGTTGCTGTAGTAGCCTCGCTCGAGTTACGCAAAAAAAAAACAATAATCAGTAAATGTAATACACGGCCTGCTGTATTTGTATAGGATAAATGAATGCAATTCGTAGCCTAATGTAACCCGTATGGCGACATCACATTGCAGTAAGACCACATTAAAATATGGGATGTGAAATCAAAATAAGTCCGCGTATTACCGTCACACAAGTTAACGTAATAAAGAAATGCCCCGTGAACGCGAGCATGTGACTGGATTATTTTACCGCTACGATTGTTCAAGGAATGCAGCCCCAATATATTTAATCATGGGCGCCGGTTTGCGAATGTTCTGCCGGAAATTGACCAGCGGCTATTTGTGTCCTCCGCTCTGCCTCGCCTCAAGTCCCAGGGGGAAACTTCTGTGGCAGCCTCTCATCCTCTCCGCTTCTCACTTCCGTGGCCACAACTTGGAGCTTAAAAAAACCCAACTCCGCCACCACGACCAACACCGCCGCCACCACATCACCGCCGCCACCACTACTACCAAAGCCACTACCACAACCAACACCGCCACCACTACCACCGCCACTACCAACCCCGCCTCCACCATTACCACCACCGTCCCAGCACGAACAGCCGCATGACAATGAGAACCGCTGCTCACTGTCGCGTTCACTACCGCGGCGCGGTTCGATTCCATCTCCCGTCGCGTTCGGCAGGTGAAGTAAGGGGAACATTTGTTTTAATCCCAGCCCACCCTCTCACCCCACGTCTGTTGACCCAGGAGTATAAATCCCAACACGACAGTCGATTGACAGGTCACGTATGGTGAATTAAAGTGTCTGGCTAGCATGAAAGAGCAGGCCGAGTGTCAGTCGAGAGAGGGAGTGAAGGCCGTTCTGCCAGCAGTGGCTCTGACCGAGCAATTTGCAGGGCTGCACGTTTACCTGCGGGAGCGCAGGTTGCTTCCTGCCACGGTCACACACGGGAGCCATTAGCGGGTTCACGTCGCTCCTTCTTCGCTGGCTCGCAGTGGGAGAGAAATGCGGGCTCATTAGCACCCAGACATCGGCTGTTATGCCTCCCTGTGCACGTGCATGGGCCCATTTAACAAAACGTCCGTCCCGGCGGAAGGCTTAGCTTAATGAGCAACATTCGCAGGAGCCGTCTCAAGGCGAAGTGAAACCCAGTGCAGACACAGGGGGTTGGCGCAGACAGAAACGAAGAGACGCGGAGATGGATAGTAATGTAGAGATGCAGAGATGCAGCGGAGAGATACAGACTCGGAATCTTTATTTGAGACTGGAAGAATCCGATAAGCTATGAAGGTTTTTTTTTTGTCTTTCACTGACGTCCAGTCGGGCGGGTCAGAAAGTTTACAACAACAAACACTGCGAAAGCACCGATAAATTAGTCACGATATAAAAGGCAAAGTTGTAAATATGTGTCTGTTCAAAATGTTTAGCGTACTTCCCGACATGCAACAAACTTTAAATTTGCCATGTGGGTACTTTCCAGACGGTACACCATGCAAACATTATAAAAATACACTTTCGGTTTTTTTTGGTGGGGGAGGCTCAGTAATGCATGGATTTTTTTGCACGGCACGTCAGCTGTGACGTCAAATCTGTCACGTGACCCGCGCATGTGGAAGCGTAACGCATTGTAGTGTAGTGGTTAGCGCTACGCTGTGCTCCGAACCCGGCGACCCGAGTTCGATTCCCGCTCACGGCCACCACCGGTGACGATTATTTTAACCGGTCCTGGGCCTCCCCTACATCGACTAAGCCTCAAAACGAGTAACTGCTGTGGTATGTGAACATCGCCACTGGGGAGACAAAAGCGGCCGGGCGTGGTAGATCCAAGTCCCGGGCGAAGCCGGGTACTACAGCTAGTGTAATATAAATGCAAATTGAATAAGTTAATCAATTCCTGCCGATTTTTCAACACCAAGGCAGCAAAACAAAAACAGTTTAGACCACGCCAAGACACGACACAGCAGTCTCTCAATAAAACTGTACATTCAAATTGAAATTACAAAACATGTGTAAGGAACAAAGTTACAAATTACATTTGTAAATGTGGTTGTATCCAGCACAGAGGCAGCTGGATACATACTACAAAAAACGAGACAAAAAGACAGACACACAGATACAGATACACACAGAGACACACAGAGACAAACACACAGACACACACATATACAAAGAGACAGACACACACAGAGACACACAGAGACAAACACACACACAAATATACAAAGAGACAGACACACACAGAGACACACAGAGACACACACACACATACAAAGAGACAGAGACAGAGACACACAGAGACACAGAGACAGATACACACAGAGACAGACACACACAGAGACACAGAGACAGACACACACATAGACACAGATACAGAGACACACAGAGACAGAGACACACAGAGACACAGAGACAGACACACACATATACAAAGAGACAGACAGAGACAGAAACACAGAGACAGACACACAGACATACACAGACAGATATAAACACACAGAGACAGACACACACAGAGACACAGAGACAGACACACACAGAGACACACAGAGACAGCCACACACAGACATACACAGACAGAAACACACAGAGACAGACACACACAGAGACACAGAGACAGACACACACAGAGACACAGAGACAGCCACACACAGACATACACAGACAGAAACACACAGAGACAGACACACAGACACACACAGAGACACAGAGACAGACACACACAGAGACACAGAGACAGCCACACACAGACATACACAGACATAAACGCACAGAGACAGACACACACAGAGACAGACACACACAGAGACACAGAGACAGACACAGAGACAGACACACACAGAGACACACAGAGACAGCCACACACAGACATACACAGACAGAAACACACAGAGACAGACACACACAGAGAGACAGACACACACAGAGACACAGAGACAGCCACACACAGACATACACAGACAGAAACACACAGAGACAGACACACAGACACACACAGAGACACAGAGACAGACACACACAGAGACACAGAGACAGCCACACACAGACATACACAGACATAAACGCACAGAGACAGACACACACAGAGACAGACACACACAGAGACACAGAGACAGACACACAGACATACACAGACAGAAACACACAGAGACAGCCACACACAGACATACACAGACATAAACACACAGAGACAGACACACACATGGGCACAGAGACAAAGGATGAGATTGAGAGGAGTAAATGCACAGCGAGGCAGACACTTTGGCATGGAGAACGGACAGGCAGACTTGTATGAGGTTGCACTCATGACACACAAAGTGCTTGCCTCAAATGAACCACAATACCTCGCTATCTCGTCAAGAAGCCGCGGCTTTTGGCTGCGAACCATCGAACAAAGACGGTGGTCACCGCCTCGCGCGCTTTTAGATGCGCTTCTGCGGCCGTCTGGAACGCTCTTCCGACATTAGCGATGCACTTAGATTGAAACGCTTTTAGTGTTTTAGTTTATTGTCCTTCCCACGCACCTCCGATTCACACGGTTGGCTACGTACGGTGCGAAATATGTTGAACATACAACACAAAGACGCAGACGTCGACAGAGTAAAACACTGAGAATATTGAGACACGCGTTGAGACGGCGCCGCGTGCAGCAAGATGACACCCCTGCTGGCTAACTCATTAATCCCAGCGTCAGAATCGTCGCCTCTGACACACACAGGGAGCAATGAAGACACTTCTAATCTGGGAGCTGATGAGCGCATCTCAGAGTGTCACCTTCCAATTATGACATTAGCGTCGATCGGGGCACCGCCCAGGCACACGGAGCTTAAGAAGGCCGAGCGCGGCGCAAGCGAGTGAGGAGACCGCGGGCGACGAGGCTCAGGTGGGAGTTCAACTCGCTCAGGCGCTCGGCCATGGATCACGAAACGTCACCCAAGAGGCAGCCGCCCGGCTACGTTCCGTGGCTGCCGCTGGGTCAAAAGGTGTTCACGAGCAAGACTGGCCTCCTCATCTTACTGGAAATCGTGAGCTGTGCCTTCGAGGCCTTCACCCCCCACACCCCGTCCTGTGGCGCAGAGGCTCGGGGTTGTTGACGCAACGCGCGCGGCTCCATGCCGGGGCCGCGTGGCCACGGCCGCCGGTGAGAGAGACGGAAATAAACACGGGATAAAGAGCCACCGGTGTAACACGTAGTGGTGGTCGTAGTAGGGCTTTGGCGACCGATATTATCGACAAGAGGGTTTTAGTGGGGTTAGATCGCGTGCATATAATTGTGTCGTTAAACCCACCACCACCCGACACAGCCAATTAGTAAGGCTTGTCACGTAAACACAACCTGAAAATGAGTTACTACTTCAGCACACCAGTGTGCTGTGTCGGGTGGTGGCGAGTTTAACGACACATTCATTATGGAAAGATCCACCAGACGGGATCCTTTCACATGGCGGCGGTGTCAGGTTCATGGAATCGCTGTGATTTGCCGACGCATCCATGAGCACACGAAGCCAGCCTCGTGGCTCATCGTGACCGCTCCTTCGTTTGGATGTCTGAACGAGCTAAATTTTAATTAAATAATAACTATTGAGGGCTGCTGCCACAGGCGGTGTAAAATGGTTCGCAGCGCACTGGACTTGCAATGCGGAGTTCGCCGGTTCGACTCCCAGCTCCTGGGCGCCGTAGTTCAAACACTGGGGCAAGTTTCTGAAATCTTCACCTCCGTCCACCCGAACGGGTAGAGGACAGCTCGGTGATGGCAATTCGCGGGTAGGCCTATCTCTTCCAATACACCTGCCCACTATGGAAGAGTAGGCCAAGTACCGTCTGGGGTCGGCTCTCAAAAGCTCCGTCTAGCAGTCCCTTGCCCCAGCAGTGCAGTGAATAAGCAATTGCATGGCTGCGCCTTTGCCATTAAAGCACGTTGCTGAGATGTATTCACTGCCCCGAGTTGTCCAAAAGGCTTCCGCTATCGTTTATTTGTGATTACTTTCCTGGCGTTTGCCAAACGAAATTTCATCAAAAGCGTAACGGAGGGCGGCAACTCGCCGTTCGCTCGCTCGGTTTCACTCAAACCGCTTTTGCCTAAGCCACATAAAAAGTTTTGCAGGACCCCAATATCAGGGAGCAAACATTTTTTAATTAAATCCAATAGACGCTCTGCTCTCCCACTTCTAAATTTGCTTCCTCGGTCTTTTCGGCAATGCTCTATTCTTGAGAGACATATCTCGATTTGAGCACCAGACAAAATTAATGGCTCTGCAGTCTATCAGCTTATGGGAAATCAATCACTGAGCCCAGCATAACCTGCACTCTGGCCACATTTACCAGTATTTCATTAACGTTTGGCATAGAAAAATATAAATGACTTCTGCGAAAGCTTGTAACAGCATCAGCATCACCGTCTCATCATCACCACCATCATTCACCAGCATTTCGTTAACTCCTGGTATAGAGAAATAATATATCCATGGAAGTTTATTACATCGTGATCATCATCGTTATTACCAGCATCAACATCATCATCATTATTTGGAATGATTAAATGACTACACAAGTCTCTACGTGCATCTCTGACACACGCCGGCAGATGCAGACGCAGAGCGACGCTCACAACAACATTCAGGGCGCATAAAGCACAGAGGGATGACACAGTGGGGAGGGCACAGGTGGTGCATCTGTCAGTCATCTCAGTCAACCCGCAACGCCCGGCCTGTCCTGTGACCTCTTGCCAGCGAGTATTTGATGCTTCACACGTGGTCTTAAGTGAACCGAGCCTAGCATAAGCGCCCTATTGACGTTACTTTCAATTTTGCGGTAAATAGCGGATGTTGTTTTTTTTGTCGTGGTGGACGCATCGTGCTATGGACCCAGTGGTCCGAGCTCACGGCGAACATCAGTGGCAGATAATTGAACCGGTTTTGGGCCTCCCCTTGATCGACTCGGCTTTCAAATTAGTACCTGGCATTGTGTGCAAAGCCAGCACTGGGTGTTGGACACATAGGGTGCTGCCTGGTACACAGGGGTCGTAGGTTCAACCCTGGCACCTGTATATTTGGAGTTTGCTCGTCTTTCTCTCCCCGTGATCGCGTGGATTTTTCTCCTGATCCTCCGGGTTTTCTCTCCACATTTAGAAACGCGCATTCGTAATATATTGCTGCTATAAATTTCCACGTGATAAGCCACTTCGTTGAGCTTTCATTTGTGGTCAGGTCGTTTCTGAAAAAATCAGTACAGTTCAGTGGGCCTTACCTGGTAAAATAATAATTTTAAAAAGGTGTAGTTTATAGGTGCGTGCCGTGCCGGCCCTCGCCGTCGCTGACCAGCAGCACTTGCCCGAACCACCCTGCAGCGACTGTACGGGTGACCTTTACCTTGCGTGTGTTTGCCGCGCAGCTGTGCTGCGCCGTGGTGTGGGCGCTGCTCGCCGCCTCGCGGCTGCCGCGCGCCTTCCACGCGTACCAGGGCTTCTGCATGTTCGTGCCGGTGTTCCTCTTCGTCGCCTCCCTCGTGCAGCTGCTGCTCTACGCGACGCGTGTGCCCGAGCGCGCCCAGCTGCCCTGGTCCTTCCTGGTGCGTCGCCCAGATGGCTGGGTAGTTGGGAGAGGCATCTGGGCGGGTTGCAGCTGGGTGGGTAGTTGGGCGAGTGGCTGCGTGGATGGCTGGGTGGTTGATTGGGTAGCTGGGTGGGTGGTTGGTAGCTGGGTGGGTGGTTGGGTAGCTGGATGGGTGGTTGGGTAACCGGGTGGCTGGTTTGGTACTTGGGTAGCTGGGTGGCTGGGTAGATAGGTACACGGCAGGGTGAGTGGCTGAATGGGTGATTGTCACCTCTGATATAAATACATAGAAACCACGACACGTCTCAGGAAGACGACTGCCTCACAATGCTGGGAGGGGGAGGAGTGGCCATAGTCGCGCTGTCCTGAGCGAGCGGTGGCATTGTGATGCGACTGACTAAACTAGGTTTTCCGAAAGCGAAGTGGCCGACTGCTCTGAGCCACCAACAATGAGATCCTCGGTTCAAATCTGGGGTTCAACTGCCCGCGGTTAATTGGGATAAATGTCTAGAGCAAAAAAAAAAACCCTAAATATTCGTAGGAAAAGTGAGAAGTGTCCGTGTTCAATTCCCAGGACGCCGTCTTCTACATTGTGGCAACCTTCCTGTTCTTCGGTGCCTCCGTGCTGCAGGCCAACCTGATGGTCTTCAACGACGTCGAGTCGTACTCCGCCATCGTCTACAATCTCAACATCGCCGCCTCGGTGGGGCCCGCACGCGCGTGACCGTGGGCGCGTGCGTGCGTGCGAGCGCAGTGCTGCCGGCGAGCATCACCGCAGTCGGATGTGAAAACCTCTCTGACTTCTCGCTGTTTCGATTCGATCGTATGGCGCGGCGGTTGAAAGAATAACGGGGCGATGTTTGGCCAATTCAATTGTCACTGGTGGTTTGGGCATGGAAAAAAAGCAGAAAATCTGGACACCCGTAGACTGCAAGTCAACAATGTAGCCTGTGATTGCCAGAGAACCAGGCCCGAAGGCCCACAACGTCACACTGTCAGCAACAAAAAGCACCATCATAGTTGTAAAATGTACAGAGTTAACCTGAGTTTGAATTGAGAAAGGTATTTTTTTTATTATAACAGCTTGGGGTAAAAAAACGCTGGAAGGGAATTACAAACTGGCGCAGTGCGAGGAAAGAAGCAGAAAGAGAAGTGAAGTGACTTGCAGTGTGGTGAGTGGGTGATTGAGTGGGTGGGTGAGTGGGTGAGTGGGTGAGTGGGTGGGTGAGTGGGTGAGTGGGTGAATGAGTGGGTGAGTGAGTGGGTGAGTGGGTGAGTGAGTGGGTGAATGAGTGGCTGAGTGAGTGGCTGAGTGAGTGGGAGAATGAGTGGGTGAGTAGATGAGTGGGTGAGTGGGTGGGTGAGTGTTTTTGTGACCTGCAGTGTGGTGAGTGGACACAGTGTGGTGGAGGAGACGACACAGTGTATGGTAGACCGTTTCCTCAACGTGGGCGGAGGAATCAACGAGTGAAGTTCACGGGCAGTCGTAGCGATAGAAGATTGATACGGAGGCAACTGACTGCCTGTGAGCGAGCAACTGGAGTGAGACGAGGGCGCCTTGATCTCTGTGTGACCCACCAACCCCTTAGCTTGCAACACGCTGGATCACTCGCGTACGCCGCCACGTGAATAAAGCGATTCCGCGAGATTGGTCGAGGAAGGGGAAGCGTGTCTCGCCGCCACTGAAGATAAACCGCCAAAGGCGCGATTTACCGGTTGCCGGCGTTCTAAAATAGCTCGCACGCACACGGAGAGGGATAACTTTGCATTTGTACATCACAATGAGGCTCGTGACGGCTTCGGGGTAATATATATACACACAGCGACGCGTTGGGCCGTAGCTCGCATCCTCCAGGGCAGGAGAGGAGTCGGGAGGGCTTACAGTCTCACGGTGCACACGTGGGAATGTTGGCACGGGATGTCGCCAATGCGCAACGCTCGGCCTGCTTGCTTTTGGTCAGAGAAGAAGAAGACAACGGATGCTCGATTTTTTATTTATTTGAGTACTTTTTTCGTTAAAATGTAATGCCCTCGGAAAGGTCTGAAATCGTTCCTAACAAAGAAAAGTTTTTATTAAAATAAACAGAGACACACGCAAAACGGTGGAATGTGTCGGACTATGTGATGTTAAGGGCATGACGCACTATTTCAAAATGTCAAAGAATGAGACAAAGACAAAATCCCCCGTGTAGCCTTTAACAGATTGCTGGGGCAAGTGATTTTAGTGAGCACCTTTGAATACATACACACATAGGGCGATCCATTTACAGATGCCCCACTGATTCCGATGACCCCTCTGACTTTCATCTCAAAAGCTGATTGAATATTGTGAAAGCGATGGCTCCGTGTCACACAGAGGTGGAGAGAGCGTTAATGGATTTGATACAAAGTCCATTGAGATCGAGGGGAGACGGCTGAATGCTTTGGAATACACCTTGGAGTTCTGTATAATCTCTGGATACTGTTTCAGTGGGTATTGTATATTTTAATGGCACGGGACGTGGGTATAATATTCACAACGTAACATTGTCTAAACGGTGCCAGCGAAGATGAGTCTGGACATTCAGCGAGGCATTCCCGTGGACATAAGAGATATGTCCTTGCATGCAAACGGTTAACCGGCTCAGATTCTTTATTTAGACTGCAGGAGAAATCCGATGAGCTATGAAGCTCTTTTTCACACATGTCCACTATGTCCAGCGGTAGAGCGAGCGGCTTGGGTGGTTGACTCAGCCCATCATCTCCCTCTGGGGGTCGATACAATTAGTACCAACATAGGTTGACATCAACAATGGGTAGACTCGGCCCCCGCCATAGGAACGTGGTATTCCCACCATTGGCTCAGGACTGTGAGCAGGAGGTTAGTACTGCGTCTGCTCATGTGAGCAAGAAATGTCAGGTACATCTTTCTTGGCTTGCGGATTCTGACCCAGATAGAGCACTTGCAATGTATGATGAATATTTCATAGCAGAGGCGCGGGCAAATCTGCACAGATGCACGTCCTCTTGGACTTGAATTAACACGGGGGGATGCATAAGATGAGAGCTAAACACGTCTGTGGCTGCGCTGAATGAATAATGTCTAGAAAAATAGGCAAAAGGTGCAGCCCTGCACACTGCTTGCTCAAGGCAGTGTTATAGATCACACTCCTGCGTGGGTGTTTCCGGATGCCTCGCGCATGGAGCAACACGACATAGGAGAGTGTATGAACCGTGATTGGTGACGAGGTTTGATGATGAAGATAGTTTTGTTTTGCTTGTTGGAGGTCTCAGTTAAAAACAAAAATCTATTGACGTTGGCCAAGTCGACCGCATTCTCTTAAGAAGTCCACTAGGAATGTGTCCAGAGCATGTGGAGTGAAGGAGAGGAGCGTCTTCAGGGCGCTTTCCTCTGGGTTGAACTGCAGGTGCTGGGTAGCGTGGGACGCGTGGGTGGTTCATATATTGACGTCAGGTGCTGTCGGCGGCCCTGGTTATCGGCGTCTATTGCCGATGGGGCACTTGATGAAATGATGATGGCATTAATGTGTTCTCTCCTGTGTGCAGGTGATCTCATTTTACACGACTCTTCTCTACTTCATCAGTGCCGTGGTCAGCGTCAAGAGGCGAACTTTCTACTGAGATTGACCCCGCCCCGCCCCCGGCTCTTGGCTAAAGATCAGTTCCACGTCGCAGCCTTCGTCAGCCACTTCACGCACCACGCGCACAGTGACACATTGTACCCGGACTCCCAAGGCATTCGGTCAAGACTCAAGCCTAACACGGTTTCCTAGTTCCACGTGGAAATTAATATCAGTTAATACAACTCTCAAGAGCTCAGTGAAGTGCATCATCCCACTGGGTTAATAATTTGTTATTGCCACGCTTGTTTACCCAGGAAAGCCTCACTGAGTTTAATGACTCTTTTTCAGGAGGGTCCTGATTCGTGTGTTGTACATTCCAATTCAGTAAATTTGCGGTGTGTAATTCATAACATTTGGCAAATTTAGAACAAGACTGTGGCATAGAATGACCCACTCTTGCGAATGACGTCACGGAATCTTTAACGCCCACTGTGCAGCAGATGGCGCGTACTATTTATACGGTCAATGCACACGCGGCATTGACCAGGGCGGGCGCTGGAATCGAACCGCGGGATCTCTGCAACAACGAGCAGAGAATTTGGCAACCGTTGGGCTGCGACATTGTCCCAATTCTCATTGAGACTCGATCTCAAGCATCACTGCTTTGAGTTTAAAAAGGAAAACTGTTTGGATGGATGCATTTTTTTAAAATATATACGCTATCTGTCATAAGACTACATGTAGAGTACAAGAATAAACACTGATTATTCTTCATCACTGATTAGTCTTTATCATTCCCAGCTATCCGTGCAACAGAGGCGAATCGTTCTACATGTCCCCAGTACTTCTCTTAGACTGCTCCTCCGCTAAGTTCCATTGAGCGAGGAGGTCTACGACGAGGTCTATGCAGCCGAGGTGAACATTTCCATAATTTTGACCGATGCTGTTGCTGCGGCCGCATTTTATGCTAATCGGCCGTGGGCAATGCTTATGAGCTCTGCTGTTTACAAAAGTAAGATGTGAACCTCGTTTCAAAATCATACAACGGATCGGCGTACATTTCGCGTGCGCTTCTCTTGCAAGGAACACACTTGCCCCGCGGACATGGATTGTTGCAGTAGTAATGATGGCCACACTCGCACAAATAAACAAGCCTCATTATTCTCACTCGGAGGCTTGCCAAATGCGTTTACAGCAACGGCTTGCAGAGGCGTTCATCCACAAGTGGATAGATAAATTGCTGATTACAATGAAGTCACATTGTGAACACTCAAATATATAAAACTTTAATTATATTTAACAGCCTCTTTGTCAATCCACTGTTGGATGAAGGCTTGCCTTACCCACGCCGTGTCGTTCCTGCGGGCTGTTTGACCATACTTCACCGTGCTGGTCAGTGTGGGGTGATTAAGGGGGCAGTATTGGCCTAGGACCTGTTGATACATCACTGATGCTGATGGGTACGCACACCGCACAATGTGCTCATTTAAGGCTGAGTCGATCTAAGGGTTACTGCCAAGCACAGGTCGGATCTCCACCAGGTGTCGAACCCAGGTTTAACCGGAACAGTGCAGCACGATTACGCGAACTCCCTCCTTGAAGCCCTCTCGTCGTGGCTATCAGCCCTCGGTATTGGCATTTAGCTCCTGAACCACATTGCCATCATACCCAAGAATAGAATAGTGCATTTTGCAAACCACTCCCATCGTAAAACCAAGACAAATGTCCCCGTGTAAAAGTATGGATTGTTGGGTTAAGGGCTGGTAGCAAGCCCCAATTAAGATTGATGCATCACACGAGGGGGTTACCGTGGCCAGAGCCGCCTGTTTCCCCAGAATTCTGTACACACCTCACCATGAACTTACTCATTTGAGGCCGAGTTAACCTTGGGAAAGCCCGTGGCCGATTCAGATAGTGGCCAATGATGTTAGCCGTGGCGGGGAGTCGAACCCAGGTTTGCCGGAGCATGAATTTGAGCAGTTTGCAAACCACTGGCATACCAACACACGCAGAGAGCGTGAGAGAGAGAGACGCACCTGGTCACGACAAACGCCTCCAGAACAATGGGGAAACAGGCGGCCACACCTACTCTGTGATAAAGAGGTAAAGGCGCAGCCCTGCAATTGTTCGCCCACGCCACTGCTGGTGGAAGGGCTTCCACTAGAGGAAGCTCTGGAGACCGCTCTCGAAGTTATCTGGGCCTACTCTTCCACAGATCGGCCACGGCAAAGGGTCATTGCAGTGACAGGAGCGACTGAGCGACGGATTAAGATAAAACAGTGCCGTTTTAAAGGCGTACAATTGACGCCCTCTAGTGCCCAATGAGTGCGGCTATGCTGCGTGCAGTGACGGCTTGGGATCGCGTGGCGGCCCACGGACACGGCGGGCCTCTTGCGGCCGCGCTTCCACACCCCTCGCTCGAGTCGGTGCTCAACCCTATCGCGACAGACCTGAGTCCAGCGGTGAAAATTCCACATTCCTATGGCAGAGGCGAGTCCAATCGTGACTTGCCACAAACAGATATTGTGTTATCGACCTAGAAATATTTGTTGAGCAAATAAATCATGGACGTGGCAGCTGCCCGTGTTTTGTTTCGTGTCGTGTTTTGTTTCGTGTCGTGTTTTGTTTCGTGTAGGATCACCGCTCACGGAGGGAGACTGCCCTCTGCTGGACGACCCAACTCTTGAACATGTCTCCCGCACCCCACACCGTCACTCGTCTCCACCCCTCACCACCAAATAAAAGATACGTGATGACTGAGACCGGTGACGAAATTTCTCTCGAAGTCGCCCAACTTGATCGCAAATAAAGTTACGCAACTGATCGTCCGGGTGGACAAGCGTGTCCGCGTGCCACCGACCCGCGTGTCTGCGTGCCACGGACCCGCGTGTCCGCGTGCCACGGACCCGCGTGTCCGCGTGCCACGGACCCGCGTGTCCGCGTGCCACGGACCCGCGTGTCCGCGTGCCACGGACCCGCGTGTCCGCGTGCCATGGACCTGCGTGTCTGCGTGCCACGGACCCGCGTGTCCGCGTGCCACGGACCCGCGTGTCCGCGTGCCACGGACCTGCGTGTCTGCGTGCCACGGACCCGCGTGTCCGCGTGCCACGGACCCGCGTGTCTGCGTGCCACGGACCCGCGTGTCCGCGTGCCACGGACCTGCGTGTCTGCGTGCCACGGACCCGCGTGTCCGCGTGCCACGGACCCGCGTGTCCGCGTGTCACCGACCCGCGTGTCCGCATGCCACCGACCGGCGTGTCGGAGCGGGGTGGGGATTTAAGAAACTCGGTACTGCGCGTCTCTACTACTAGCTTTACTACCCGGCTTCGCCCGGGACTTGGATTCACCCAGGACTTGGATTCACCACGCCCGGCCGCCTTTGTCCCCCCAGTGGCGATGTTCACACACCACACCAGTTACTCGTTTGAGGCTGAGCCACCGGTGGTGGCCGTGAGCGGGAATCAAACTCTGGTCGCCGGGTTCGTAGCACAGCGTAGCGCTAACCACTACACTACCGCTCCCCCCACACACACACACGCGCGCGTCCATAGGTACACATACACGCGCTTGCTGCAGACACACCACGCAACTTTCAGGGTGCGTACGGCAGTAAACGACTCAAATAGTAAAGCAATGCTGCGCGAAGAACGCCTTCGACCTGCAACACATTTGTATTTCACTTTACCCGCGGAGGGTTGAGGGGGGAGTGTGACATGAGCAGGCACACTCCGTTACGCTTCCGCACACGGGTCACATGACAGATGTGACGTCACAGCTCACTTGCCGTGCAATATAAATGCATTATTGCGCCCCCCACCCGGCCAAAGAAAATACAAAAGTCTATTTTATAATTTTTCCATGGTGTACAGTCTGCAAAGTACCCACATGACAAATTCAAAGTTTGTTGCATGTCGGGAAGTACGCTAAACATTGTGAGCAGACACACATTCACAAATTTCCCTTTTATATATATAGATGTACAGAACATTAACATGCTGATCCATTGATAGAATGACAATACAACACAACAATCTATAATGGCATGAACCAAAATACATGTGGCATACAGCCCAACTAAAATATTTACAAAAATATGATAATGTCCATCGTATAGATTTTTTGTTCCTGCTGTCATATGTAGTTTGTAAGCTAAGTAAACTTTAACGCTTGTTCAATGGTTTACACTGGCAAGGGCCAACATACACGCAAGTTTCGCGAGAGTAATTAGGTTTACAAACTTGCGAGGCGGATCGCTATAAAATAATAATACTTTAACAGGCTAACGCGGAAGATTTACGACTTCTGACACCTGTCCTGATGATGCTTGACGCAGCTCCAAGCCAAACGTCACATGTGCCGTTGGTGCTACGTTCCGTTGTGACAACTGTGACAACTGCTTGTGCTCAAATAATTATTATAATTGGAGCGGCGCTTCAATTTGTTTGGTTGCGTCGGGTGGTGGAGGATCTTACCGACACAAACGGTGGCGAGAGACTGGCCACAGTGGAGAGATGTTAACTACCTCGCCTGGTATGCATGAGGTCGTGGGTTTGATCCCGACCCTGACGCCTGCTGAATATTTGGAGTCTACGTGTCTCTCTCCCCGTGATCAAGTGGATTTTTCTCCGCGTCTTTCGGTGTTTCTCTCCACATTTAGAATCAACATCACCACGCGTTTAGAGTATTTGACTGCCATAAATGTGCGCATTATGATAAGCCAACTTCGTTGAACTATAATTTGTGGCCAGGTCGCTTCTGAAAAAAGAGCTATATTATAGCTCAGTGGGCCTTACCTGGTTAAAAAAAAAAGTTGAGTTTAAATGCATCCAGATAATGATCACACGGCCTCAATGAAAGAGCGATTAGGAGGAGGATGCCCTCTGCTGGACAGTGAACTCCTGAACATGTCTCCCGGACCCGCACCGTCACTCATCTCCAGTTCTCACCGCCAAATGAAAGATAAGTGATGACTGAGACGGGTGACGAAATTGCTCTCGAAGTCGCCCAACTTGACCGCAAACAAAGTCACACAACTGATCGTCCGGGTGGACAAGCGGATCCGCGTGTCCACGTGCCACGGACCCGCGCAAGGCTCCACCGACTACAGCGCCCCCGCACGGGTGCACGGTGCATCAACATCGAAGGCCAGCCCTTCTCAAACCATCCACGGTTCTGTCTCGCAAGTGTCAAATTTGCAATCGACCCAATTAACGGTTCGCGGTTTCGTTATGGGCACATTTAACCCCGCACACGGACCCTGAATTTCTACGCGGTTAATGTTGCTCTCTGAGCGCGCGACAGCGGGGTCCTCCCGCGCGTTCCGGCCGGACGCGTCGCGGGACCGGCGACGATAACGGCGGTGAGGACGGCGGCGCCGCTGCTGCCCATCACCGCGGGGCGGGTGAAGCGTCGCTACCTGGCCACGGGGCCGTGCGCCGTGGCAGGCGGAGCGAGGAGACGGCGGCGGCGGTTACCAGCGGCGCCGAAGAGCGCTGGGCCGGGCTGGCCGGCGAGGCCACGCGGGCGACGCGCTCACCACTCGAGCCGCATGTCGGCCTTGCTCCACACGTACTTGCCGCCCCGCTGGAGGAACATGCGCTCGTCGAAGCCGCTGTGCTGGATGGCGCTCTCCACGCCCACGTCCAGCACGGAGCACGTGGGCTCCTTGGCACCGCCCGTGCAGTTCAGGAAGCGCATCTGTGTGAGAGCGAGAGGGAGAGAATGTGTGTCTCCTCCACGCTAAGATGTGTTGTCTCTCTCTCTCTCTCTGCTTGTGTGTCTGTCTGTGTGTCTCCGTGTCTGTGTTTTGTCTCTCTCTCAAATTTGAAGTTCTACTTGATGACGATTGTTTGTGTTGCAATCGAAACGTCGTATGCTATTATTTAATTTATTTTCTTTCTACGTGACTTTAGCGAAAGAACCAAAGAGAGATTGGTGACAACAAATATTCATCGACAAAGAGGGTTTTGATTTATACAACGATGATCGTGAGCGGGGTGACATCATCGAGCGTGACGATGACTGCGGCTGCCCCCCTTCTCCCCCCCCCCCCTCCCACCACAACAGAGACCAGCGTGCGGCTGAACCGATGCGACTGAGCATCCCCGATACGCCTCGTCCACACTCATCACCCACAACGCTCGCTAGGAGCCACGCGCTTTTAGACCATCTCATCTCCGGCCACTTACGTATTCATCCAGAATGAGGTACGAGTCCCGCATCTGTAAAGACACAAATCGCTTCGGATTACCGCGCTGGCACGTAGACACGCTGCCCGCGTCCGCTCACGCGACTCCAGTCCCGGCTGCGCCAGGCTCCCCTGGACCTGGCAAATAAGCACCTCACTACGACCCCACCACAACACGCCGCTGGTTTCAAACTCCCCAGGTCTCAGTGGAGGCCTCCCTCACCCTCAACGCAGCATGACTGGAAGCAACCGCTTTGCTTAGGGACTTTGCATTCGCTAAATAAATAAATAAGATGGGCGACCAGACAAACCTCCTCAGGCGTCCTCTAAATTCTCGTTCCACCGATGCTGCCACACAGACGGCATGCGGGACATCTCTCTCTGTGTCCATACTGACTATGAAGGTAATTGCCTACGGACGATAGCGAGGGTGTACGACTTGGAACTCTCGGGGGGGGGGGGGGGGGCACAGACGAGCGGGAAGGCAGCGGCCAGGCAACGGGCCGGTGCCGTCGCTTCCCAAGTCTTGCGGCCCTCTATATACGAAGGTGTTATCGGCGAATTAATGAGCGTTCATGCATATGGGAGGGCTCTGGAGTGCCCGGAGAAAAACACACGCATGCGAGGGACGACACTCTACCCGCGCAGATGGAACAGATGGAGATGGATCCATTTGCTGTACCGCCATCTTCTGGCGAACCAGGGTACAGCGACCCCGAAGGCCACAACATCTGTGTGTGTGTGCGGTGATCCACCAAGCCTCACTGCTGCTGCTGCTGCTGCCTCCTCCACAGTGCGGGGTTACAGGCAGCCACGTGCAGCAGCAGCAGCAGCAGCGTAGCCACCTCCGCCTGACGATGCCTACGACGTCATGTTCTAGCCCGACTCGTTCGTGACTAAGAGCGAATGTACGTTGAACTTCTCTCGCACCGTACGTTTAACAACCGTGCTCATCGGAGATGCGGGGGTAAGGACAACAGAGATGATACGGGACAATCAACGCGGGTTGCAACTCAGGCTGTCAACAGCGGCGGCTCAGTGACTCCGACACGGCCATTATGCGCCCCACGGCTCGCGCGAGGTGGTGGCACCTTCTCGTTGGACTCGGGGACGAGGCAGCTCACGTGGCGGTGCCGCTCCAGGAAGCTCTGGAAGTCGCGGTCGGCGATGAGGAAGGGCTGCACCTGGCGCAGGCTTTCCTTGCCGCTGTTCTCTCCGTCGATGAGCAGACACTGGAACACCTGGGCCCACGGGCAGGGATGGCAGAGAGCCACAGCACCGGATCAAGTTACGTCGGGGGCCCGGGGCTGTTTGAGTTGTGGGGGGGGGCGCTCTTTGTGTCCAGTTCGTCCAATTCCTTTCGGCTTGCTGTCTCCCCACCACCCGGAGGTGATGATGCCCAGCGCCCATATTTTTATTCACATGGCTCATTTCACTTGCCGTGTTTATTTTACGTGATTTAACGAACTGTAAAACGAATTCAAGGTGAAAACTAACAAAGGTCGTTTAATGTGTTTAATTACCATATTAATCATATGATTTCCTTATACCTATTATTGGGGGTCCCTCAAAATCCGAGCCCCCCAGGATGCATCCCCTTAAACCCCTGTGCTAAATCGACCCTAGGGCGACTCAGCCTCAAATTAGTACCTAGTGCGGTAAGCATCAGCACTGGGGAGACAAAGGCGGCCGGGCGTAGTGTTGGCCACCACCCCCTGGCGTGCCATGCCGGCCTTCATAGGTTCTCGCTAACAGCTTTTGACCCAACAGTCTGTTCAGTCTCTACAGGGGATCTTTGCTGGCGGCGGTGGTGGTGGCGGTGGTGGTGGTGGTGGCAGCGGTCGGCCTGGTCACGCTGCGTGCGGGCAACTCGGGCGCGGCACCTTCCAGCGCACGGGCCTGAGTTCCGTGATGTAGTCGGCGAGGTCCTCGTGCACGTTGTAGCTGTTGACCACGGTGTTGATCTTGAACGCGATCTTGTACGCCAAGCACCAGTCGCGCACGCGTCGCATCGTCTCCACGTGGTTCCGCCGCCCGGCGCCGCGCCCGATCTGCCGGTTCGTGTCCTCGTCGAAGCTGTCGCACGACACCGCCAGGATGTCCACGTGCTCGCCTGCGCGCGCCGCGACAAGCCAACAGTGGAGAAGTCACGATTGCGATAAGAGCCGTAATAATAGTCGCGTGCTTTTGCCGACACCGCCACGGACTCGCGGGTGAAGTGCTTTGTGGCAAAGGTGCAGAAAGTCCCCGAAGTTAAACTCTGCCCCTGAGGTCTCACCCACTGGGTTACACCCCAAACTAAGGGGAAAGATCACTTAAGATGTCTCTTGCCAACGAACACTGGCCCTCCCTTGGTGGATGCCCCGGGGAAATAGTCGGTGCTGCCCTTGCTGCCCCGGCTGCCCCGTGGGGCTCGTTGCTATACGTGCCGGACACACGTCTCTGAAGAGGTGGCAGTACCCACGATTTATGCCACCAAAATGTCACCGCCGCCAGGGACATTGGCAACGGGTGCGGCTCGGTGGACACCTGTGGAAAAAAGGGCATCATCGCTCATCGGATTCCTCCGGTATGAATAAATATTTATATTCCGGGTGCCCCGCGGCAGGTACCGTAGGTGGCGAGCCACCGCTCGGTGATGAGGCTGCCGTTGCTGACGATGCTGACGCTGGGCAAGCGCAGCTGGCGCTTGCAGTGCGTCACCATCTCGCCCAGGTAGCGGCCGCGCTCCGGCAGGAAGGGCTCCCCGCCGGAGAAGTTGATCTTCACCATGCCTGGGGAACGAGGATGGAAAATGACGCGTGAGCACGCGGGCAGGCACCCTTCCACCGCGTCCGACGGAGCGTTCTTGTCCACGGAAGCGCTTCGATCCATGCCGTTGATTTCGGTTTTTTTTTGTCGAGGCTTTGCCAGCCGAGGTGGTGACATTCGCGCGACGGTTGTCATCTTAGCTCGCGGCAACGATGTTGATGCTTCAAGTCGCACGGCTAGGTGATGTCACGCGTCATGGCGAGGTCATTGGGAACGGAGTGTGACGGAAGGTGGCCGCGCCTTCACTGCTCACGCGCAAAACGCCGACGGCGAACCTCCTCCTCCTCCCGAGTTTTGAGCAACCTTCTGATTAATTTGGTCGGTTTGCTCCAGGGCGAGTCCCTGACAGCAAGGCAACTTTAAACAACAAAATTAATGTATAATGGCATCGTCACACATCGGACCGTCTTTGTCAAGAGTTATCGTGACCCCCCCCCCCTCCATGTTTCCCCTCTCTCACCCGCGTCCCGCAACATCGTGAGCCCCCTCTTGGCCTCCTCCAGCGGCAGCATGAAGGACGTCTTGGCCGTGTGAAAGCAGAAGCCGCACTTATAGTTGCAGGCGCGCGTGAAGTGGTAGTTCACGCTGGTGGGCACCACGGGTGCGCCCAGCGGGATGGAGCTCGGGTCGGCAGGGCCCTCTCCGTCTGCAGGCCACAAGGCAGGGCCCTCTCCGTCTGCAGGCCACACGGCGGTAGGAGGGGGGGGGGGGGGCGTGCAGGGCCGCGTGGACGCTGTGAGGGCCTTCGAAGCTTATAGGAGGGAAGGGCCGAACAACGTATCGCATATAGTGTTGCACGGATTTTATATATATAAAGTCATCAAACAGATATATTTACGTTGTAAAATCAACACATTTGTTTGACTCGTCGGACATTTAGCATGGCCATGCTACCTTTTTCTCAGCTGTTCAGTATTCAATGTATGTCCATGCCCTGCATGTTGAACATATTTGGTACCGCACGTAGCCAACCGTGGCTAATAGGGAGGTGCCAGCGACTTACGGGTGATGATCAGTACCAGCGGTGTCAACAAGATCTGCCTAAGTGGCACGATGGTTCGTACACAGTCGGTGCATCTGGTAAACAGCTCAGGAATTCAACCAACGGGGTCTGCCCGGTGGCCTGTCAGCGAGCCTTCGACACGTCACGTTGCCTCGATGTGCACTTAGCCTGGCACAAATGCCACGGTGATGTCACCGCCACTTTGTGTTGAATGGCGGCTGTTGTCAGTGGTGAGCGCTCTGCGCTACGAACCAGGCAACCCGATTTCAATTCCCGCTCACTTCCAATAACAGTGGCAAATATATAAACCGCTCCTGACCCTCCCCTAGATCGACTCAGCTTTAAATTAGTACATGGTGCGGTGTGTAAACAGCACTGGAGAGACAAACACGGCCGTGATTGGTGCTGGCTACCCAACCCCTCGTGTGAGTGGGTTGTATGAGTAGGTGTGTGAATGGGTGGATGTGTGATTGTGTGAGTGTGTCGGTGGGTGGGTGAATGAGTGGGTGATAGTGTGAGTGAGTGTGTGAGTGGGTAGATTAATGTGAGTGGGTGAGTGAGTTTGTGAGTGAGTGCGTGAGTGGGTGGGTGGGTGAATGAGTGGGTGATTGTGTGAGTGTGTGAGTGGGTAGATGAATGTGTGAGTGGGTAAGTGTGTGAGTGAGTGTGTGGGTGAGTGCGTGAGTGGGTGGGTGGATGAATGTGTGAGTGGGTGAGTGAGTGTGTGGGTGAGTGGGTGAGTGAGTGTGTGAGTGCGTGATTGGGTGGGTGGCTGGATTAATGTGTGGGTAAATGGGTGAGTGTGTGAGTGAGTGCGTGAGTGGGTGGATGGATGAATGTGTGCGCGAGTGGGTGGATGAATGTGTGAGTGGGTAAGTGTGTGAGTGAGTGTGTGGGTGAGTGCGTGAGTGGGTGGGTGGTTTAATGTGTGGGTGAGGTGTCGTGACACGCAGGGTGCTGGTTGACACACAGTAAGAGTCCTCAACGTGGGGCTGAGGAATCAATGAGTGACGTTCACGGGAATAGCAGCCATGGTAGAAGCCATGGAAGAGTGATAGGGAGGCGACTGCACGACTATTCTCTCACGGGCGTGTGTGCCCAGGTGGGCGAACGAAACTTCCCGTGCCATACTTCACCACGCTGGTCAGCACGGCTTGGTGAAGGCGGGGGGGGGGAGATAAGCCCTTATCAGGGCACTCGCGACAATAACCTCACGGATATCGCCATCACCACGTCTCCTCACCTGGTAAGTCGGCGATCTGACGATCACCTCGAAGGTCCGGAGGGCACTTGGCGTGCGGGTGGCTGCCGAGTGGAGGGGTGACCACCGCCACCACGAAGTGGCGCAGGAGCGACACGAGGTTGAGGAGGAGGAGGACGCTGGACTTGCACAGGGTCACGATGAAGTCCAACATCTTTGTTTTTATTTTTCTCCGTACTCCTCCTGGCACCGCCGACTGCTAAGCGTGGCGCAATCCGGCGTGCAGTGAGCTGGAGCGCAGACGACAACTTCCCCCAGCTGTGTCTCGCCCCGATCACCATCGACAGACGCCTGTGTGTGTATATATAGCAGCGTGGCCGTGCGTGCGTGCGGCACAGCGAGTTGCAACGCCGTAACCACACAAACACACAGGGACCCCCCCGCCCCGTCTCGTCACGCCGCCCTGACGAGAACTTGCGTGTTTCTAACCCCCACCCCACGTCTGTTCACAGCCCCCCCCCCCCGAATCTTCCTCCTTCCCTGACGCAGCCCTTGTCATGAAGCCCACGCGATGACGCAAGCGCTCGCGTGCGATGATCGCCGGGAGGCTCGATGCGACTCGCGACTTCATTTCACACGGCTCGTAATTTTATTCGGGCACCAATGTGGCTGGGAGATGTTAACTATCTCGCCTTGTATGTAGGAGGTCGTGGGTTCGATCCCGACCCTGACGATGCCTGCTGCTGCTGTATATTTGGAGTTTGCGTGCCTCTGACGCCGTGGTCGCGTGGATTTTTCTCCGGGTCCTTCGGTTTTTTTCCCACGGCACCTGGGTGGCTGCGAGACTTCGGCACTTCACGTGGCCTCAAAGCGGCACGTAGCCTGGCACAAGCGTCGTGGTGACGTCACCGACACTTAGTGGTGAACGGCGGTTGTTGTTGTTGGGTCGTCATTGTTGTTGTTGTGTCGTTGTTGTGACACCGCGGCTGCGTGGGTTCCAGGAAGGGGCTTGCCCTGCCGCGCGTGCCGCGCCGTGACTGACCACGTGACTGACCACTCCCCCCCCCCATCCAATTATCGTGAACATCCACTCCTTGTAGAGTGTACCTGGTCACTACACCTCGTCACCCGCCGGTTGTACACTACACCTCGTCACCCGCGGGTTGTACACTACACCTCGTCACCCGGCGGTTGTACACTACACCTAGCCACCCGCGGGTTGTACACTACACCTCGTCACCCGCGGGTTGTACACTACACCTCGTCACCCGCGGGTTGTACACTACACCTCGTCACCCGCGGGTTGTACACTACACCTAGCCACCCGCTTCGTACATCACGACAGAAAGTCATCAAGTAGCGGTGTCCGTCAGAGCTCAAAACGACCGTGCGAGCGTTGATTTTTTTCACCGTCGGTGGTGGAAATTCCACATTCCCATGACGGTGAGCACACTCGAAATGAACCGCTTCTCCGTCAAGAAGGATCGTTGCTAGGAACCGTTGGTTTGTGTATTTGTAATAAAAAAGCTGTGTGTTTTTTTTATGAATACGGCGGTAAAGTACCATAAACTTCCACGACACGAGTTGTTTTCAGAACCCTTAATGTGCACGGACCGTCAGGTGGCCAGCACGTGTCTAGTTGGGGTCACGATTAGCACGTTTGGCTTCAACACACATACATACATGAGTTGCTATGTAGAAATTTCTCGAATCCATCTGTGCGGAGTTTTGAGTGCTTACCCCCCTTCGCATGCGTGGTTGGGTTTTCTCCCGGGTTCTGCGGGGTCTTCCCACAAGGAGACACGCGACTCTGATTAATGACAATGGCCAAACCTTTCACTACTTTTTATTTTACCAGGTAAGGCCCACTGAGCTGTGTAGCTCGTTTTCAGAAGCGTTTAGCCACAAATGATCGCTCAACGAAGTGGCTTGTCACGTGGAAGTGGAAAGCAGCCAAATAATATAAACGCGTGATGTTGATTCTAAATGTCGAGGGAAAAACCGGAGGACCCGGAGAAAAATCCACTCGACCACGGGGAGAGACACGCAAACTCCAAATATACAGCAGCAGGCGTCATGTTCGGGATAGAACCCACGGCCTCCTGTATACCAGGCGAGGTAGTTAACATCTCCTAGCCACCGTGGGTCTCATGTAGCAAACCTCCCCATGTAGCAGCACCCTCTTTAACGAGACGTGTTGAGACTCCGTGAGCATTCATATGGCGGGGATTTTGTTGTATTGATCATACAGGGAGAAGTGGAGCAGTGTTCCACGCTGCGCTATGAACTCCACAACCCGACTTTCATTTTTGATTCCCGGCCAACATCAGTGGTGAGTGCCTTGCGGCGGCGGTGCAGCACAATGCCTTGTTGTATTGTACTGTGCTCCATGAAACGTCTATGCGCCCTGCCCTCCACGCTCAACAAAACACGGTCAGGACAAACAAAACTCCACGCAGCAAAGGCACCCGAGTCAGGAATCGAACCCATTGATCTTGTTGCACGAGTTTTAACCACTCGTCCACCCTGTTGGCCAGAGTTCCACATCGGCGGCTTGACGAACCGACTCGTTGGACTGCCACCTCTTGACCACGGCCACCATGCAGCAGGTCAGCACGCAGCTGGGGAGGGGGGGGCAAGGGGGGGCTTACAAATGTCGGTGTGATCCACCAACCCCTCCCTTTAAAAAGCACGCGCTGCTGGTTTCCCGAGTGAGGGGCCCCCTCCTTCTCTTCCGCGCAGTGACGTCGCCGGAGGCGATGCCGTCGAGATGGAGGGGCACGCATCGATTCCAGGAACGACCACGCGTGGTGGTGGTGGTGGTACGGGTGGTTTAATCAATAACCAGACCGCACACGCTGCTGGCATGTTGCCTCAACAGCAGCCCCTCCCAACCCCTCCCCCCGATAGCCCCGCTCCCACCCCGAAAGCCGAAACCCGAAAGCCAGCGACCGCCCCCCGCCACCACCACCCCCCGCCACCACCACCACCACCACGCAGGACGCGCTGACGGAGGAATCTCCACAATGCGGAGGCGGCGGGGCCGAGGAGGCAGAGAACGAGCGGGCACGACAGGCGGCAGCACGGCAGGTGAGTGATGTCAGGTGAGTGACGTCAGGTGAGTGATGTCAGGTGAGTGAGGCACGGCTGGTGAGTGATGTCAGGTGAGTGATGTCAGGTGAGTGACGTCAGGTGAGTGATGTCAGGTGAGTGAGGCACGGCTGGTGAGTGATGTCAGGTGAGTGATGTCAGGTGAGTGACGTCAGGTGAGTGACGTCAGGTGAGTGATGTCAGGTGAGTGTGGCACGGCTGGTGAGTGATGTCAGGTGAGTGATGTCAGGTGAGTGACGTCAGGTGAGTGACGTCAGGTGAGTGAGGCACGGCTGGTGAGTGATGTCAGGTGAGTGATGTCAGGTGAGTGATGTCAGGTGAGTGTGGCACGGCAGGTGAGTGTGGCACGGCAGGTGAGTGACGTCAGGTGAGTGATGTCAGGTGAGTGTGGCACGGCAGGTGAGTGATGTCAGGTGAGTGATGTCAGGTGAGTGTGGCACGGCAGGTGAGTGATGTCAGGTGAGTGATGTCAGGTGAGTGTGGCACGGCAGGTGAGTGATATCAGGTGAGTGATGTCAGATGAGTGTGGCACGGCTGGTGAGTGATGTCAGGTGAGTGATGTCAGATGAGTGTGGCACGGCTGGTGAGTGATGTCAGGTGAGTGTGGCACGGCTGGTGAGTGATGTCAGGTGAGTGATGTCAGGTGAGTGACGTCAGGTTAATGATGTCAGGTGAGTGTGGCACGGCTGGTGAGTGATGTCAGGTGAGTGATGTCAGATGAGTGACGTCAGGTGAGTGATGTCAGGTGAGTCAGGCACGGCTGGTGAGTGATGTCAGGTGAGTGATGTCAGGTGAGTGACGTCAGGTGAGTGACGTCAGGTGAGTGAGGCACGGCAGATGAGTGATGTCAGGTGAGTGATGTCAGGTGAGTGACGTCAGGTGAGTGATGTCAGGTGAGTGAGGCACGGCTGGTGACTGATGTCAGGTGAGTGACGTCAGGTGACTGATGTCAGGTGAGTGAGGCACGGCTGGTGAGTGATGTCAGGTGAGTGACGTCAGGTGAGTGATGTCAGGTGAGTGATGTCAGGTGAGTGTGGTACGGCTGGTGAGTGATGTCAGGTGAGTGACGTCAGGTGAGTGATGTCAGGTGAGTGATGTCAGGTGAGTGTGGCACGGCTGGTGAGTGATGTCAGGTGAGTGATGTCAGGTGAGTGTGGCACTGCTGGTGAGTGCTGTCAGGTGAGTGTGGCACTGCTGGTGAGTGATGTCAGGTGAGTGTGGCACGGCTGGTGAGTGACGTCAGGTGAGTGATGTCCGGTGAGTGTGGCACTGCTGGTGAGTGCTGTCAGGTGAGTGACGTCAGGTGAGTGATGTCAGGTGAGTGTGGCACTGCTGGTGAGTGCTGTCAGGTGAGTGATGTCAGGTGAGTGTGGCACGGCAAGTGAGTGTGGCACGGCAAGTGAGTGTGGCACTGCTGGTGAGTGCTGGCAGGTGAGTGTGGCACGGCTGGTGAGTGTGGCACGGCTGGTGAGTGTGGCACTGCTGGTGAGTGTGGCACGGCTGGTGAGTGTGGCACTGCTGGTGAGTGTGGCACGGCAAGTGAGTGTGGCACGGCAAGTGAGTGTGGCACTGCAGGTGAGTGCTGTCAGGTGAGTGTGGCACTGCTGGTCAGTGCTGTCAGGTGAGTGTGGCACGGCAGGTGAGTGTGGCACGGCAGGTGAGTGTGGCACTGCTGGTGAGTGTGGCACTGCTGGTGAGTGTGGCACGGCAAGTGAGTGTGGCACTGCTGGTGAGTGTGGCACTGCTGGTGAGTGTGGCACTGCTGGTGAGTGTGGCACTGCTGGTGAGTGTGGCACTGCTGGTGAGTGTGGCACTGCTGGTGAGTGTGGCACTGCTGGTGAGTGTGGCACTGCTGGTGAGTGCTGGCAGGTGAGTGCTGAGTGCCAGGCGAGGGCTAAGCGTCGTGGGGAGCGGCAGTGGAGTTCGATTCCCGTTCACGGCCAATAACAGTGACGATTATCTGAACCGGTCCTGGGCCTCCCCTAGGTCGACTCAGCCTCAAATGGGTGCCTGGCGCGGTGTGTAAACATCGCCACTGGGGAGACAAAGGCGGTCGGGCGTGGTGCTGCCCACCCACCCCCTCGTGTTGCGTTCCGGCCTCCAAAGGTGCAGATCGCTAACAGCACTTGCCCTTACAGTCTGTTAAGGCTATACGGGGATCTCTATATTTGTGGCTGGCTGATGAATGTCGCCAGGTGAGTGCCGGGTGAGTGTTGAGTGCCAGGTGACGGACTGAGTGTGGTTAGGTGAGTGTGGTTAGGTGAGTGTGGTTAGGTGAGTGTGGTTAGGTGAGTGTGATTAGGTGAGTGGTTAGGTGAGTGTGGTTAGGTGAGTGTGGTTAGGTGAGTGTGGTTAGGTGAGTGCCAGGTGACGGGCTGAGTGTTTTATATATATTTTATTATTTTGTTGTTTCCCTTCAACGTGACTTTACCGAAAGAACTAAGAATATGAATTACTGCAGTCACGAAAGCTTTAAATCAAAATTTGGGCTGGTGACGGACTGAGTGTGGTTAGGTGAGTGTGGTTAGGTGAGTGTGGTTAGGTGAGTGTGGTTAGGTGTGGTTAGGTGAGTGTGGTTAGGTGAGTGTGGTTCGGAGAGTGTGGTTAGGTGAGTGTGGTTAGGTGAGTGTGGTTAGGTGAGTGTGCCACGTGTTGGGGTGTGCCAGGTGAGTGATGTCGGCTGTGCCAGGGGTTAATGGAGCGGTGAGTATCGGGTGAGTTGTACTACAACGTACAGCGGACATGGCATCGCGTCTCAGAGCAAATATCCCCCCGTATAGCCTTGGACAGACTTTTTATGTTTAACTTATTTCGCACCGTACGTAACCAACCGTGCTAATCGGGAAAGTGCTGTCAGCGAGCACCTATGCAGACTGGAACGGCACGGGAGAGGTGGCCAACAACACGTCCAGCCGCCTTTGTCTTCCCAGTGCTGATGTCTCCACAAGTAAAGCAAATATAGTGGCGATGTAAGTAGATGTTACGTGCCGTCCGCGCCGTGTTCTACAGTGAGGGAAAAAAGTATTTGATCCCCTGTTGATTTTGTACGTTTGCCCACTGACATAGAAATGATCAGTCTATAATTATAATGGTATGTTTATTTGAACAGTGAGAGACAGAATAACAACAAAAACATCCAGAAAAACGCATTTCAAAAATGTTATAAATTGATTTGCATCTTAATGAGGGAAATGCGTATTTGACCCCTCTGCAAAACATGACTTAGTACTTGGTGGCAAAACCCTTGTTGGCAATCACAGAGGTCAGAGGTTTCTTGTAGTTGGCCACCAGGTTTGCACACATCTCAGTAGGGATTTTGTCCCACTCCTCTTTGCAGATCTTCTCCAAGTCATTAAGGTTTCGAGGCTGACGTTTGGCAACTCGAACCTTCAGCTCCCTCCACAGATTTTCTATGGGATTAAGGTCTGGAGACTGGCTAGGCCACTCCAGGACCTTAATGTGCTTCTTCTTGAGCCACTCCTTTGTTGCCTTGGCCGTGTGTTTTGGGTCATTGTCATGCTGGAATACCCATCCATGACCCATTTTCAATGCCCTGGCTGAGGGAAGGAGGTTCTCACCCAAGATTTGACGGTACATGGCCCCATCCATCATCCCTTTGATGCGGTGAAGTTGTCCTGTCCCCTTAGCAGAAAAATACCCCCAAAGCATAATGTGTCCACCTCCATGTATGACGGTGGGGATGGTGTTCTTGGGGTCATAGGCAGCATTCCTCCTCCTCCAAACACGGAGAGTTTGGAATCTGATTGATTGATTGCTTGTGGACGGGTGTCTTTTATACAAGTAACAAGCTGAGATTAGGAGCACTCCCTTTAAGAGTGTGCTCCTAATCTCAGCTCGTTACCTGTATAAAAGACACCTGGGAGCCAGAAATCTTTCTGATTGAGAGGGAGTCAAATACTTATTTCCCTCATTAAAATGCAAATCAATTTATAACATTTTTGACATGCGTTTTTCTGGATTTTTTTGTTGTTATGCTGTCTCTCACTGTTCAAATAAACCTACCATTAAAATTATAGACTGATAATTTCTTTGTCAGTGGGCAAACGTACAAAATCAGCAGGGGATCAAATACTTTTTTTCCCACTGTATGACAATGTAGAGACTGCCAGGGTAGAAGTTGACGCCGTCTGTGGTGAGTGGCTGGTGAGTGTTCACACGCGAGTGGCCAGGGGGAGTCGGGTGAACGCTTTCGTGAGAACTTTATATTCGTCGAGTGTCAAGTTACCGCATTCTCCTGGTTACAAGACCAAACCTGTCAACCCCTTATCAGTGCCCTACTTTATTACAGACCAATTCAGACCTTATTGGTCACCCCGTGCCCTTATAAATCTCAACGTTCATCCTATACACTACACTATGCACCACACTATACACTACTACAAACCTGTCAACCCTTATCAGTGCCCTACCTATTAGAGACCAAATCAGACCTTATTGGTCACCCCGTGCCCTTATAAATCTCAACGTTCATCCTATACACTACACTATGCACCACACTATACACTACTACAAACCTGTCAACCCTTATCAGTGCCCTACCTATTAGAGACCAAATCAGACCTTATTGGTCACCCCGTGCCCTTATAAATCTCAACGTTCATCCTACAAAGTCCCATCACAAGGAATAAACAAATAGACTACAACATTTGTGCCCGTATTGAAACGTCTGTACGCCCCGTATGGACCTGAAAACTCACTATCCCTCTACAAGAACACGGGGTGAAAAAGTTTGGGTGGACACGGTGTGCGATACGCGACCCTCACTAACACGTTTGTTTAAAAATACAGGGCGGAAGAGGAAGTGCATCTTAGAATCTGGAGATTACGCTAAAGCCTAGAGCTGTGATGCATTATTCCTGTATTTTACATGTACGCACACCGATAGTTTATGCAGTATTTACACAGTATGTGTACAGGTCCCCCTCGCTTTATGCGGTAGTCGTAGAAAAAAAGGCGCACAAAGCGAAACCGCACGAGGTGACAGCTGCCTGCCGAGTAGCGCACTCAGTAAACACATAGTATATACATAGTACATACAATACATACATAGTACATACATAGTACACACATAGCATACACAATACACACATAGTACACGCATAGTACACACATAGTACACACAATACACACATAGTACACACATAGTAAACACAGTACGCACCCAGCACACACATAGTATATACATAGTACACACATAGTACACACAATACATACATAGTACACACATAGTACACACATAGTATACACACATAGTACACACAGTACACACATATCACACACAATACACGCATAGTACACGCATAGTACACACATAGTGCACACAATACACACATAGTACACACATATCACACACAATACATGCATAGTACACGCATAGTACGCACATAGTACACACATATCACACACAATACACACATAGTACACACATAGTACACACATCACACACAATACACGCATAGTACACACATATCACACACAATACACGTATAGTACACACATAGTACATACATAGTACACACATATAACACACAATACACACATAGTACGCGCATAGTACACACATAGTACACACAATACACACATAGTACACACATAGTACACACAATACACACATAGTACACACATAGTACACACATATCACACACAATACACACATAGTACACACATAGTACACACATATCACACACAATACACGTATAGTACACACATAGTACACACATAGTACACACAATACACACATAGTACGCGCATAGTACACACATATCACACACAATACACACATAGTACTCGCATAGTACACACATAATACACACAATACACACATAGTACACACATAGTAAACACAGTACGTACGCAGCACACACATAGTATATACATAGTACACACATAGTACACACAATACACACATAGTACACACATAGTACACACAATACACGCATAGTACACACATATCACACACAATACACGTATAGTACACACATAGTACACACAATACACGTATATTACACACAGAGTACACACAATACACGCATAGTACACACATATCACACACAATATACACATAGTACACGCATAGTACACACAATACACACATAGTACACACATAGTACACACATAGTACACACAATACACGTATAGTACACACAGAGTACACACAATACACGCATAGTACACACATATCACACACAATACACACATAGTACACGCATAGTACACACATAGTACACACAATACACACATAGTACACATATAGTACACACATAGTACACACAATACACACATAGTACACACATAGTAAACACAGTACGCACCCAGCACACACATAGTACATACAATACACACATAGTACACACATAGTACACACATATCACACATAGTACACACATAGTACACACATAGTACATACATAGTACACACATAGTACACACAATACACACATAGTACACACATAGTACACACATATCACACACAATACACGCATAGTACACACATAGTACACACATATCACACACAATAAACACATAGTACACACATAGTACACACAATACACACATAGTACACACATATCACACACAATACACACATAGTACACACATAGTACACACATATCACACACAATACACATATTACACACATAATACACACATATCACACACAATACACACATAGTACACACATAGCACACACAATACACACATAGTACACAAATAGTACATACATATCACACACAATATACGCATAGTACACACATAGTACACACATATCACACACAATACATACATAGTACACACATAGTGCGCCCATATCACACAATACATACATAGTACACACATAGTACACACATATCACACACAATACACACGTAGTACATACATAGTACACACATAGTACACACATATCACACACAATACACATATAGTACACACATAGTACACACATATCACACACAATACACGCATAGTACACGCATAGTACACACATAGTACACACAATACACACATAGTACATACATAGTACACACATAGTACACACATATCACACATAGTACACACAATACACACATAGTACACACATAGTACACACATATCACACACAATACACACATAGTACACACATATCACACACAATACACACATAGTACACACATATCAAACACAATACACACATAGTACACACATAGTACACACAATACACACACAATACACACATAGTACACACATAGTACACACAATACACACATAGTACACACATAGTACACACTTATCACGCACAATACACGCATAGTACACACATAGTACACACATATCACACACAATACATACATTGTACACACACAGTACACACATATCACACACAATACACACATAGTACACACATAGTACACACAATACACGCATAGTACATACATAGTACACACATAGTACACACATAGTACACACATATCACGCACAATACACGCATAGTACACACATAGTACACACATATCACACACAATACATACATAGTACACACACAGTACACACATATCACACACAATACACACATAGTACACACATAGTACACACAATACACGCATAGTACATACATAGTACACACATAGTACACACAATAGTACACACATATCACACACAATACACGCATAGTACACACACAAGGTTGTCTCACACCCGACCGCGTAACCGCATATGACTGAATTCGAACCGCATAGAGCGAATTTTGTGTCGAAATAGGTAAGCCGCACAGACGCTAAATCGCACAAACATCCCCACAAACATCCCCGCAAACATCCCCGCAAACATCCACGCAAACAACCCCGCAAAAATCCACGCAAACATCCCCGCAAACATCCCCGCAAACATCCCCACAAACATCCACGCAAACAACCCCGCAAACATCCACACAAACAACCCCGCAAACATCCACGCAAACATCCACACAAACATCCACGCAAACAACCCCGCAAACAACCCCACAAACATCCACACAAACAACCCCACAAACATCCACGCAAACAACCCCGCAAACAACCCCGCAAAAAACCCTGCAAACATCCACGCAAACATCCACCCTTGGGCACAACCTTCATTATCAGCCAGAGCTGCCACGCGCTCACCCAGAGCGCGCTGCAACGAGCCACCGACCGTTCCACGCGGTCCTGCGAAACCTGGAGGTGCAGGCGGCTGGAGATTTAGTTTCTCCAGACAAGTTGATTTTATTTTATTTCTCCCCAAACAAGATTCTCCAGATTTCCCAACGAGCACCTCCTCGGCTCATACTACTCTTGCTGATGATACTGCTGCTGATACTGCTGCTGGTACTGCTGCTGGTACTACTGCTGATACTGCTGCTGGTACTGCTGCCGTTGCCAGAATTCTGATGGCCCAAGACGACCCTCAGGGCGCCCCCGGGCATCTCGCCTGGGCCTTTTGCGTGGCCGGAGCCCCCCTAAAGGAGCCCTTCCACTTCACGGTGCTGCCCGTGGCCTCGGAGCCCCATGCGGGGCTCCACGCGGGGGCCCTGCCGGCCGAGGCATGCTCCGTGTTTCACGGCTCCGTCTCCGTGAGTATCGCCGGGAGGTCGCGGGTCGGCGCGGCCCGTCTCCTCGCCGAGTTGGAGGACAGGCTGCTGCTGCTCCTGCGGTCACGCGGCAGCAGCCTCCTCGCCTTCATGGCCCACAGGTGACGGGGCTGGCGGGGGTCGTGGCGAGAGCTCGAGTGCATCGTACGATGAGGATCCGCGATAACCGCATCGTATCAGGATACATCGCAAAATTATCGTCGCTGGTTCTATTTGAAATGCATGTTTTTCATATGTAATAACAATGATTAAACGGTTCTGATAACAATAATAATAATTAAAAAATCTATATTTTTTTTTTTTAAGCTGGTCCAGAGTTTGTTTATATCGAACCAATAGAGCTGAAAGAATGCACTGCCAGAAAGGCCGTCGTGTAGGGATGTGTAAAATAACACGTACTGTATTTGTGGAGACGTGAATCGTCTGCTTGTCTCTTTTAGTACGAATCGAATTGTCCGTGTTGTAAAACGCGCTTAGATGGACGGCTTGTCGATCTGCGTGGTGTCGGCTTCATACTCATTGTGACGTCACAGGCATGCGAAGCCTCGTGGCAGCGTCGTGTTGACGATGTCGCGTGCGCCGAGCTACCAAAGCGATCCCTGCTCGTAGTTGAATCTTCTTGGTGCAGTACGTCAGGGCACAAACAAACCGAGACGAGCGCACATGAAATACTCTTTGGTTCTATTGGGTAAAGTCACGTAGGTAAAAAAAAATATATAACAAAAATCACGACGTTTCGGCCACAACACAAGCGGCCTTCATCAGGTGAAGGGACGAGACTGTCTGGAGGACAGCGCTGGAGTAAAAAAAGCCAAGCTCAGATCACGACCTTTAAGCTTTTTGAGGAAGGTCAGCGTCATGAAATAGTCGCAGAGTTAAGGTGATTATATGTCGCGATAAGATTACCGTATCGTGAAAAATTATATCGCCACAATCTTATTCAATTTGCTTTTGACTCGTGTCTTTGTCTCTTTAGATACGAGTGCAATCGTCACCCTAAATCTGTTTAACGTTGCTGTACCTTATTCTGAAATTGTACTGTGATCAGTCTCAACATAATCTGCCTGAGCAAACATTGGCTACGTGGAATTTATCTATGAACGTTGATTTGCGTTTGAGCAATATTTTAGATGTATCACGTAAGACGAGGTTGTTTTTTGCTCTGATTTCTAATTGCTTATTTGCTGTACTTTATTTTATTTTCGCAACCTCGTGGGACTCCTGTCCCGCTCTCTCGAGTTCTCACCTGATCACACAGATTCACATTGACACTCGCAGGCAGCCGGGAGCACCTGGAGCTCACCTGCGCACGGGATACCTGGTGTCCTGCGATGAACACGTGGACACGTTGATAAAAGGTACAAAGACAAATATCCCCCATGTAATATTTATCAAGACTGTCGGGCCACGTGCTGTTAGCAAGCACCTACAGAGGCTGGCACGGCACACGAGGGAACTGAAACCGCAAATCGGAGAGCTCTCGACAATCTACGCCAGTGGTGGGAAACCTGCTGCCCTTTGTGCCGCATGCGTTCCGTGCAGTCCCTCGTGGTTGCGTGGTCTCAATGCGTCCAGGGTCACGCGCGGGGGTCACGGTGAGCGCACGGGCGCGGTGTGAAGCTTGCGGCCCACTGGGGTGGAGGAGGGCCGCTCGCATGGCCCACCGACGTCGTCTGGGCCGCCCATCACCGATCTCAGTGATCCATTTAACTCGTCGCCGCACCTCCCGCCGTCTCCTCCGCAGAAATGAGCGCGGACAGCGACGCGGAGTGGCAGGTGTGTCGCTACGAGGCGCTGGCCGACGGCTGCGTGCGGCAGACGGTGCAGCGCGGAGGCGGCGGCGGCGGCCTCACGGGCGGCACGGTGGTCCCCGCGGAGGCCCCGCCGCTCCACCCGGCCTTCCTGAGCGGCGACACCTACCCCGTGTTCCATCGCTACGAGGAGGCGCGAGCCGTCATGGAGGAGGTGCGGGCTGGGCTACGTCTGGGTTTGGGCTGGGTTATGGTTAGGACTACGGCAAAAAGCGCGCCCTCGCTCACGGTGAGTGTACCGCGCTCTTGCAGTGTGTGGAGTTCCTGCCCGAGGCGGCGGAGCTGCTGAAGCTGAGTGAGGAGTGGAGGAAGGTGAGCGCGGATCGCGGCAGCGGCATGGCCGCCTCCGCCTCCTCGTCTCTGCACCCCATCGTGGTGCTCGAGGGTCTGGACGCAACAGGTTTGACCCACGTGGACCCCGTCAGCTGCTCGCAACCTTCACCCGCCACCCCGCGCCGGGCGGCGTCGCTTCGGGTCGCCGCTGCGTCCATGGCGAGTGCCACCGCAGCAGCAGCAGCAACAACAACAAAGAACCCTCGCCTTATTTTCCAACACAGGCAAATCGACGGTGACGCGAGGTTTGCAGCGGAGCCTCGGCGCCACCCTCCTGCCTCTGCCGGCCGACCACCTGGACTCGTACCTGCCGCTCTTCGTCAACCAGCCGAACTTCATCCGGCGAGCCTACTACTGCCTCCGCAACTACATCCTCGACGGCCAGGCGTCCCAGGCGGCCCGCAAGGGCCCCGTCGTCCTAGACAGGTAACCCCACGGCGCGCTGCGTCGGCCGGACCAGAGTGAATGAGTCACTTGCACGAGGGTCTAATGCGCCGATTTCCGTTGTTTGAGCTCAAGCGCCGGTGAGTTGAAGGGAAATTCTCACAACCACCATTGAGAAACAACTTAAGAAACAATGATCACTGGCGTGTGGAATGCTTGCACACCGCGCGACGAATTTCATTTGTTTGGCTGTGCTGGGTGGTGGAGGGTCTCACGACAACCTCTCAACCTAATTAGCCGAGCTCAGTTTGCAATATTTGCCTCTTAAAGCCTCTCCGAGTCACCATGACAAATCCTTTTTTTTAATTGGCAGGACAAGCCGGTTATATAAGAACATTTTTATAGATTTAAGAACTCACCTAGGAACGTGGAGAATCCCAGGTAGTTACTTTTAAACAGCATTGAGTGCTGCCGCAGGAGAGTTTTAAAACAGTTGAGGAACGCATTAAAAATATAAAAAGGTATTTAAAAAAAGCTAGCGCCCGAACAGGGACTTGAACCCTGGACCCTCAGATTAAAAGTCTGATGCTCTACCGACTGAGCTATCCGGGCTCGTGTAGACCTAAGTGGTCACAACACACACATATGGTACTGCATGGTCACACACACATACGGTACTGCATTATCTCTCTCCACAGGGGCAGGGAAACGAACACTGCCACCCGTCATTGTTCCATGAATTAAACACACTATTTGGTGAATAATAATGCCTGAAAATAGAATTTACGTAATAGGCGACGGTTATGAATTTAGAATGCCTCCCAATTGCTGCCTCTGACCCCAGAACACGTCAGCACCCTGCACACCTCATTTCTCGAGAACTACTTATTGTGTTCAGTGTGTTGCCCTTCCCCCGCACCCCCAATTAGCACGGTTTGGCTACGTCCGGTGCGAAAGAAGTTCAAGGTGCATACAATCACCCAGTTTTCTTCTCGTTGTGGTCTCTCTGGCTCCTCGCGCTGTGCCAGCCACCGCAGACCACCAGCTGTAACACGCTCCGTACAGGTGTGCCACGTTGTTGTTGTGTCGGTGTCACCGTTTGTGGTTTTGCTCGGGAGCGGGGGGGCGTGCGGTGGTGAGCTCACCCCGCTGAACGAGTCCGTCGACCCCAGCCACCAACATTGGCGAGGAACATCTTGAACCTATCCTGGGGCGTCGTCTCGCTCGACTCGGCCTCAAACGAGTACCCGGGGCGGTGTGTAAACATCAACGTTGGGGAGAGACACAGACGTCAGGGCATTCGCGTCGGCCAACCCGACCGTGTGGTTGCACCGTGCCGACCTTCGACGGTGCTCCTCGCTAACAGCACTTGCCCCAACAGTCCGTGAAGGCTACGCGGGGGATCTTTGTCTTTGTTTTTGCCCTGACAGGTTCTGGCACAGCACGGCAGCCTACGCCGTGGCCACGGAGGATAGCGGCGGCGGCGGCGTGCCCGTGGGCGCCCTGCCTCCCGAGGGACACCCCGTGTACCGCTGGCCGTGGGACCTGCTGGCGCCCAGCGTGGCGGTGATGCTCACGCTGAGCCCCGCGGAGCGCCAGCGCCGGCTGCTGGGCCGCGGCGAGGACATCACGCGGGAGGAGAGGCGCCTGCAGGAGGACGCCGCCTTCAGGGAGCGGTGGGTCGCGCCCAACCAGCGCGGGCGCTTGGAATTTCGCTCCGAATTGTTTTGTTCGTCGTCGTTATCGATCCACTGCTGGATGCAGGGCATCCCCGTCAAGCCCATCGCTCGCGGCCCCGTAGTAATCCAGTGAGCGCCTGCACACCGGCTGATTTCATCGCTCCATCTCCCACCAACGAGGCCAATGCAGTCCACAGCATCGTAACGTGGCACTAGCAGTTACTGCAATGTGCATAACACACTGCACCACGATTCAACATCATCAACATCGGCCATTGTTTATCCACTGCTGGATGAAGGCACTCCCACGCCGTAGGCCATCGACCACGCTCCAGTTACCGCTACCATCCATCTCCTGCTCGCGAGCTGACCTCGCCGTGATGTCATCGCTCCATCCCCGCGCCGAGGGTCCTCCCGGCGGGTGCATCCCCTCCCTCGGCGGCCACTCGGTCGCCCGTCTCTCCCGCCGGTCCGTCGCTCCCCTCCCGTCGGTGCGTCCCGCACCGGCTCTCTCGACGGCGCGTTGCGAGCGTTCGTTCTCCCGGTGGCTGACCGTGGTCTGCCGTGTCGCCGCCGCTGCGCGCAGGGTGGAAGAGGCCTACCGGCGCATGCGGGAGCCGCGCTGCATTCCCATCGACGCGTCCGACACCCCGGCGGGCGTTCTGCAGAAAGTCATGGACATCATCCTCCAGCACCACGAGCACCTCAAGCCCTGCTGAGCGACAGGCCCGGTGGCGGCACAAGGCAAAAGCAAAGCAAAGCCAAGCAGGCTTCGTTAGACCCGCAGCTCGGGATCAACGCCTAATAAACGTCACAAGAGAATTTACATTAACACCAATTAGTCTGTCTTCTCTCGCCGGACGATATCTCGCTATTGTCTCATCCTTTCTTTAATTCCACGACATCTCTTTTGTTTAGACATCGGTGCAAATCCTAATCCTAGTGGACCCGTGGAACCAGTCCATTACCAAATGTGAGAATGGATGAATCTACGTATTAAATCTACGTATTTAAATACATTCCAGTTCCAAAACACAAACCCCACATTAAATGTTTTGCCGGCTGGAACACTGTTTGTCTGCTGGCTTTATACGGAGTGTTGGGATTGGTTTACCAGCAAAAAGCTTTTTTCTGTGATGCAACAAGAGATAGGCAAATTATATAAACACAACTTGTCTAAAGTTTCCCCAAATGTTTATCCCAATTCACCCTTTCAGGTCTGGCCGAGCAGGGCAACCCACCACGAGTTAGAGAACAGCCCACAGAAGTGGATATCGCAGAGCTACTCCTGAGATCCATTCAAGTGCCTTCTGCTCCACACAGAAGCGAGGAGCAACACTGACAAGGCGATACTTTTAAATTTTCAGAGCTGAATTTCGCCAAATTACGCACAGAGCCAAATTTACTCCGACGTGTTTTTGTGCAGTAATTGGTGACCGGGCTGAGGCCATCAACTCGCTACGCTTGAGGCCCGGTTCAATCACAACTGCCTGAAACCCGGATTCGAACCCAGGCACTCCGGGATTCCGGCTCAACGTCTCTGACCTATGAGCCGGCCACCGCCGAGTTAAAACAACAACAACAACAACAGACTTTGAAGTCTGTGATTCGACCCCCGCCCAAACGATCACTCACTCCACTCTTCCCCACTGCTCACAAACACAACCTGCACGGGCTGTTAAGCATTCAACGCGCGCCCTCTGCTCTTGACCCACGAAAGTCACGGTGAATGGAGAGTTTGCACAGCACCGTTACCGAGTGCACAAACTTAACAATGCCCCCTTCGTAGAGCCCGCGCGAGCCTGCATTGTTAAGGGCTGGTGAACCAATGTACATCGCTTGCAATCCATCTGCGCGCTGTGCCTCGGGCTGGCGTGGCACGGGCGTGGAATGAGCGCGGCGAGCCATCGCTGCTGAATAATTATCAAGGGCCGTGCACACCGCGGGGGGTTCCGCTGTTTGTATCTGTCCCGGACACAGCGGCTCCCACAATGTGCTGCTCCTGCCGCGCACGGCTCCTCGTTCAGACCGTTCCCAAAATCATCTTTGGCACTCCGCGTCCATCTCGCCGACGTTGTACTGCGGATACTGGCGGGTAACCGTGGCGTTGCAGGGTACTCTCGTGCTAGTATAGTGCCTCACGCCCATAATCATCCCGACTCGCAGCGTTGTGGTTGAATATCGACAAACGAAGCGCTGGCGGCGCTGCGTCTTGTTGGGTACGCGTCGACTCGTTGGCCGTCTTCATGGTTGTAAGTGCCCCGCTCTGTCGCCCGGATCAACATTGCTCTCTGTTCCTGAAGAAGCTCCCGCGCACGTGGCGCGAAACGTCGGAACGTCATGCCGAACAACACGCGCGGTATGACCCAAAACACAGGGGAGAGCTCCTCAACACAACCGCGTGTCTGTATGAAGACAAAGGTCCCCCGTGTAGCCTTCACATGCTGTCGGAGTAAGTGCTGGTAGCGAGCACCTATGAAGGCCGGCACGGGACACGAGGAGGTGGGTGGCCAACAACACGCCCGGCCGCCTTTGTCTTTCCAGTGCTGGACACAACCGCGAAACTGTAGCAATACACCTTTGTTTTTTTCGGTAAAGTTTCTTATTTCTACGTGACTTTACCGAAAAAACAAAGATTAATTCCTGCAGTCACGAAAGCACCAAATCTAGTTTGTAGCAATGCACCCCCTTTGCCACTCCTCTGCACAAGAGGCAAAGGCGCAGACCTGCAACAGCTCGCTCATGCCACTGCTGGCAAAAGCGCCTCCACTCCAGCCAACTCCCCCTCGTCCATGTGTTGTTGGCCTGCCCTGCTTCCCACGCTGGGCAGCTGTCTGAGAGGCGGTGGCAGTGCCCGCATTGGACCCCAGCGGCTAGCACGCCACATGCCCATCGAGTGGAATTGGTGGCGAACCCCTTCGTTTCTGCTGGGTGGCCAGAGGCGGGGCGATCTAGCTGCCGCGCAGGGAGATCGAACCCGACGACCTCTGGGTCGCGAGTCGAAGCGTTCTCTCCACTTACACCACGGCCGCACCTCCACGCTGCCCTCCCACCGAGAGCCTCTCGATACTGGGCAGCCCTGGCAGCCCTCCCACGCGCTGATTGGGTAGCGGGTGACGTGCCCAGAGTCCCCCATTGGACTCTCTAAATAGAGAGATTAAGAGAGAGGGAGAGAAAACGAAAGAGGAAAAGCCCCGACTGCCTTTCTCTCGCTACGCTCTCAATTCTTGCCCCAGCACATCAGGACGCGAGCAGGTGGGTCACCTCGAGCGGGCTTCAAATCCCGAGCGCGCCGGTTCGACTCCATCTCCCGGCGCGGAAACTGTCTTCAATCCTCTCACGCACGCGCCAAGTCCACGCAGCAGTTTTAGTCGAATGGCCGCGTGGCGCGCGGAGTGGGTTAAGTGTGGGGGCTCGCGCCTCTACCCGGAGGTCTGGCCAGCGTGGAAGAGTAGGCCAAGGTAGCCTCGAGCGGGGCTCTCGTGTGGAGGCGCTTGCGCCAGCGGTGGCGTGAGCGAACAATTGCACTCACCCACACACTCACTCACACACTCACTCACTTACACACTCACTCACTTACACACTCACCCACTCACTCACACTCACCCACACACTCACCTACACACTCACTCACTTACACACTCACCCACTCACTCACACTCACCCACACACTCACATACACACTCACTCACACACACTCACCCACACACTCACTCACTTACACACTCACACTCACTCACCCACTCACCCACACACTCACTCACCTACACACTCACCCACTCACCCACACACTCACTCACTTACACACTCACTCACTCACACTCACTCACACTCACCCACACTCACACTCACCCACTCACCCACACACTCACTCACTCACCCACACACTCACTCACACACTCACTCACTTACACACTCACTCACTTACACACTTACTCACTTACACACTCACCCACTCACTCACCCACACACTCACCTACACACTCACTCACTTACACACTCACCCACACACTCACTCACCCACTCACCCACACACTCACTCACCTACACACTCACTCACACTCACCCACTCACCCACACACTCACTCACTTACACACTCACTCACTCACACTCACTTACACACTCACTCACACTCACTCACCCACACTCACACTCACCCACTCACTTACACACTCACCCACTCACTCACACTCACCCTCACTCACTTACACACTCACCCACACTCACACTCACCCACACACTCACTCACACACTCACCTACACACTCACTCACACTCACCCACTCACCCACGCTCACACACACAGACTCACTAACACTCACCCACTCACCCACACTCACTCACCCACACACTCACTCACCTACACACTCACTCACACTCACCCACTCACCCACACACTCACTCACCTACACACTCACACTCACCCACTCACTCACTCACACTCACCCACTCACCCTCACTCGCACTCACCCACTCACCCACACTCACACACACACTCACCTACACACTCACTCACACTCACCCACTCACCCACACTTACACACACTCACCCAGTCACTCGCACTCACCCACTCACACTCACCCACTCACCCACTCACCCACACACTCTCACTCACTCACACTCACCCACTCACTTACACACACTCTCACTCACTCACACTCACCCACTCACTTACACACACTCTCACTCACTCACACTCACCCACTCACCCACACTTACACACATTCTCACTCACTCACACTCACCCACTCACCCACACTTACACACACTCACCCACTCACTCGCACTCACCCACTCACCCACTCACTCGCACTCACCCACTCACTCACACTCACCCACTCACTCACCCACACACTCACCCACTCACCCACACTCACTCACTCACCCACACTCACCCACTCACTCACCCACTCACCCACACTCACACTCACTCACCCACTTACTCGCACTCACCCACTCACCCACACTAACCCACACTCACCCACTCACTCACCCACTCACCCACACTCACCCACTCACTCACCCACTCACTCACCCACACTCACTCACACTCACCCACTCACTCACCCACACTCACACTCACTCACCCACTTACTCGCACTCACCCACTCACTCGCACTCACCCACACTTACCCACACTCACCCACTCACTCACACACTCACTCACACTCACCCACTCACTCACACTCACCCACTCACTCTCACTCACTCACACTCACCCACACACACTCACCCACTCACTCGCACTCACCCACTCACTCACACTCACCCACTCACCCACACTAACCCACACTCACCCACATTCATCCACTCACTCACACTCACCCACACACTCTCACTCACTCACACTCACCCACACTCACCCACACTAACCCACACTCACCCACTCACTCGCACTCACCCACTCACTCACACTCATCCACTCACTCACCCACCCACTCACTCACACTCACCCACTGACTCACACTCACCCACTCACCCACACTCATCCACTCACTCACCCACTCACTCACACTCACCCACTCACTCTCACTCACACTCACTCACACTCACCCACTCACCCACACTCACACAGACTCACCCACTCACTCGAACTCACCCACTCACTCGCACTCACCCACACTAACCCACACTCATCCACACACTCACCCACTCACTCACACTCACCCACTCACTCACCCACACTCACACTCACCCACTGACTCACACTCACCCACTGACTCACACTCACCCACACTAACCCACACTCACCCACTCATTCGCACTCACCCACTCACTCACACTCATCCACTCACACTCACCCACTGACTCACACTCACCCACTGACTCACACTCACCCACTCACTCACACTCATCCACTCACTCACCACTCACTCACACTCACCCACTCACTCTCACTCACACTCACCCACTCACCCACACTCACACAGACTCACCCACTCATTCGCACTCACCCACTCACACTCACCCACTCACCCACACTAACCCACACTCACCCACTCACTCACACTCACCCACTCACTCACACTCACCCACTCACTCGCACTCACCCACACTAACCCACACTCACCCACACACTCACCCACTCACTCACACTCACCCACTCACCCACACTCACCCACTGACTCACACTCACCCACTCACTCACACTCATCCACTCACTCACCCACACACTCACCCACCATCACCCACTCACACAATCACTCACACTCACCCACCCACTCACTCACTCACCCACCCACTCACTCACCCACTCACTGATCCACCCACCCACTCACCCACCCACTCACCACACTGTGTTCACTCACCACACTGCAGGTCACAAAACAAGATGGTACAGGGATTGGTGGTATAGGCGAATTAGTGAAAGGGTCGGGGTGGACTTTTATCGTCATCGTAGCTGTCAACCCCTTGTCAGTCAGTGCTCTACCTTATTAGAAGACCAATTCAGACCGTATTAGTCTCCCCGTGCTCTTAAAAATCGCAACGTTCATCCTACAGTCCCATCACAACAGCTTAACACGTAGACTTTCGCGCCCAATATCCATAAGTTTTTTTTTTTGATCAGATGGGTTGAAACAGCTGTACGGCGAATGGGCCTGAAAACTCATTGTCCCCGTACAAGAAGAATACGGGGTAAACCGTACGGGTTGACAGCTGTTGCGTGGAAAGCAGATTCGAGCGACTGACCGTGATCGCGCTGCGCTTCGCCACCACGTGTCGGGCCCAGGCCGGCGTCTCACATCGCCGTCGGGCGATTTGGCGACGTGACGAGAGCTGTAGGCGGCGTCGCGTGCAGGGTGCCGACTGTTTGTTTCGCTGCAGAAATTCTTCGCCGTGCATCTTCATCGCTTGCTAAGCGCCGTTGCTCCAAACGTGTTGACTTTCAAACGATCGCCTTGACCTCCAGGGGCTCCCGAGGTCAAGGCTCTGAAGCTGGGGCTCATCGGGATTTCGGCAGTGCAGCTCCTAAGTTTTGGAACAACGCTTGGCCCCCTTGCTAACAAGACAGAGTCGTTAGACATATTTAAGGCCTATCTTGAAAACTCGCCTCTTTAAACGGGACGTTTACCCTGCAGGTTCTCTTCATGATCTCCGTACGTGGTGATGCACGGAGGAAACGCGCCTTGATCATGTTAATGAGTATCGTTCACATCATGTCTTGTTCTTACGACGCTGCTTTGTTGAATAATTGCAATATTCCATTGTGCCATTCATGTACCCCCCTCTCCCCTTGCCCACTGGTCCAACAGCCGCGCCTGGGGATATACATTAATGGGAAATTGGTATCGCGATTATCGTCGAATCGTGAACCGCGGTATAGCGGCAGCCCACGTGTGCCGAGTCACGTGTGGCGAAGCAGTGAGTGCTCATCAATCGCCACTCAAGAGGGCAGCAGAGGATAGGATGATACAACCCCAGTTACTAACGACGTATGAACAGTCTAAATAAATAACGCTTGACAGTACGCAACTTTCCCATAAGCATCTGGGCAAGTTCGCCAGCATTGCTTTTAGTAAAGCTTGACTCTGCTAGTGAGATATACTGAATGTATAAACCGGCCCAGTGTTGTGTGGAGCCAGTGTTGCTGAAAAAACTGCTCACCCAGAGAGGTGGCCGTGCGGCTGATGGGATGTGTTAAAAAAAATGTGCAGAGATAAATACCGTATGTCAACTTATCCACTGGGACTGTGCTTATGTTTGCTACGACAATGGTTCGACTGCTTCGAGTCGTCGACCAATGAGCAGCGCCTGGGGCTGACGATCTCTCTCCTGGGCCACAGCGGAGAGGCCGCATCTCGCATGGGGGCCTGTCTAGAGACCAGGGGGACAGCCCCTCCCGCCCCGTCAGCGTTCTCCGTGGCCCTCCTTGCTTGCAGGAGCCATGAGCAGCGGTGGCGGTGACAACGGCGGTACGGACTCGCGCGCGGAGGAGAAGGACTGCAGCCTTCCCTACTGGCAGGGCGCCTGGCAGCGCAGGCAGATTGGCTTCCACGACCCCAACGTCCACGAGTGAGGGCCGGCGGCTTCACGCCCCCCTGGGTTTTTTGTCGTTCTCGTCGCTGCTTTGTGACGCAAAATAAGGGACGGCTGTCGTGTTCTTAACACTGCTCAAAATCCTCCTGTGCTCGGGAGCACGAAAAGTAATCCGCTTTTGTACGTAATAATAAAATGCCAAGATAATATGTATAGCGAGGTGTCTTTTTATAGTTTTAGTACTATTAATAATTTTCATATTAATAATATTTTTAATATGATTTTTCATAGTACGGACCTGGTTAAAATTAATCCCTGGTGGCAACTGCACCACCCACAGGAGGCTATGGGGCAGCTACAACTGTCCTCCGCACACTCTTAGACCCCAACACTAGATGTACGGTGAACTTCTTTCGCACCGTACGTAGCCTACCACCCTAATCGGAGATTCGGGGAAAAACAGCAAACTCAACACAAAAGGCAGTGAACACAGATAACTTAACCGGGCAACATCCCATTGAGAGCAGCGGTGTCTCTTAAGGGGAGCTCCGTGTCGCAGCAGCCTTGACGGCTCGCGGCCTGTGTTGTGCTCGCTGCAGGAAGCTCATCAAGTACCTGGACGCGATGCGCAGCGGCCGGGCCAAGCTGCGCGTCTTCCTGCCCCTGTGCGGCAAAGCCGTGGACATGAAGTGGTGAGTCCGAGCGCGCTGGTGCAGTTCCACTGAGCTGCGTCGTGCCGAAAAGAAATATATATTTTATTACAAAATCAGAGGATTCACCCGATTGCTGCTCTTCTAACAAACCTCCCGGGTACTCAGGCTCGCAGACTTGGGCCACGAGGTGGTCGGAGTGGAGGGGGTGGAATCCGCCATCGTCGAGTTTTTCTCGGAGCAGAACGTGGAGTTTCGGAGGCAAACGGTGCCGTCTCTACCCGACGGGGAACTCTTCCAGGTGATTCCGCCACCCGCTCCTCACTCGGGGAGGTGTCGGGAACCGGCTGCCCGCGACTACGTGCATGTTTAACTTCTTTTGCCCCTCACGCATCCAACCGTGCTAATCGGACTTCATGTCACGTTGGTCATTGCGGGTCAGTGAAGGGCAGGTCCGGTTCTGGTATCACTTTCCACTGACGTCAGCCACAGCCAAGGGATCGAAGTCAGGTCACCAGGTTTTATAGCACAGCTATTTGTTACAATTCATGTCAGAGAATGAAATGTATTAACCATCGCAACGCCGTGTTTGTGATTTGAGCGCGCGCGTTTACAAATGTAAACTCTGACGCATCAGCGATGGAGTTTTGTGCGTGCCTTTTCGTTAAGGCTGGTTGCCCGCGAGGCCTGTTCGCATGCCGGTAAGGAGCAGCTCTACGTCCCTGCATCTGCAGGCGACGGCGGGAGTCGCCACTCAAGCACTCGGTGTTTAACCCTTCCCCGACCTTTATCGTTGTCGCAGAGTCTGGACGGCAAGATGTCGGTGTACAGGTGTGACTTCTTCAACTTTACAAGGTGCTCGGGTTCGCTTGGCGCGTCGTCGTTATGGGATTTTTTTGCACACAGTGTTGGTGTACGGTGCTTTTTTCAGGAATATTTTGCTGGTTTTTTTCCATGGATTTTCTGTTTGCACAGTCACATAGTCACTTTAAGATACTCTTTGTTTTTTTTTTTCCGGTAAAGTCACGTAGGTAAAATAAAAATAAAATAAAACAATTAAATCACGACGTTTCGGAGGCAACACAAGCTTCCGTCTTCAGGTGGAACAGTCACAGCAAGACCGAAAAAAAACAAAGAGTATGAATCCTTGCAGTCACGAAAGCTTCAAATCTAGATTCACTTTAAGATGTTTTCTTGTTCGTGTTTTTGTTTTTTGTTTGTTGCGGTTGCACCCGATTCAAGAGCCGAATGGCTCACAGGGCTATACCAAAATAAGCTGAAAAAAACTGAGGTCACTTTGCCAATTCTGCCGCCAACCTGGGATGGGGAGTTGTCGTCATTGCATACACATCATCGCCATCGATCGTCAGCCATGCTCAGTCTATTTAATAATAGGTTTTACCCTTTCTGGCAATAAAACAGTTGCAAGGAATCACGTCTGCATTAGAGGACGCCAAAAGGCGAACATCACAAACGCAATGCACTATCAGCAGGACATTGAGAGCTCGGGGTGAGCTGCAACAATCATGGGACCTCCCTTGAGACGAGGCTCTAAAGAAAGCTGTCTCTGGTGGAGACAGTTTCGAAGACGATGAATATACTATCAGAGCATGTTTTATTTTCATGTTCGCCACAAATATATGTGGTTAATGCAGACATGATTACTTGCAAAAGGTTTCTGTTTGGTGTTTTAACATCTTAACACAACTGTTTAATTGCCAGAAAGGGTCAAACCTATTATTATACTCTTTGGTTCTATTCGGCAAAGTCACGTAGGTAAAAAATTAAAACAACAAAAATCACGACGTTTCGGCCACAACACAAGCGGCCTTCATCAGGTGAAGGGACCAACCTGTCCAGCGGACAGCGTTGGAGTGAAGAAAGCCAAGCGCTGGTCGCCTCCCTTTAAGCTGTGAGGGGGCAAACGGCAAACGCCCTGACAAAGGAAATCAGCATGAAACGCACCACTGACAAAGCTTGGAATTAGCACAAGATGATAATACACCACCCTGGGAGTTTGGAATACCACTACTAGAATAAATATACTGTACAATTGAAATTTAGATTTGAAGCTTTCGTGCCTGCAAGGATCCATACTCATTGGTTCTATTAGGTAAGTCACGTAGGTAAAAAATAAAACAACCAAAATCACGACCTTGGAAGTTTGGAGTGCCACTATTTGAAATAAATATACTGTACCATTGAAATTAGTTTAATGTTTGGTTCGATTTAGAACATCTTTCCAATGGTTGCTTAATTTGAAACCATCTTCTCGATTGAAATTGTGTCTGCGTTTGTAAATCTGAATCGCCTCGTGGACAAATCTCTGATGATAACCTGTCGGTTTGCAAAGGACCTTGGTATCGGAGAAAATTATATCGTGATCACCCACAGCGTTGAAACAATGATCAGCTACGGCAGAAGAATTCGTTCTGCCGTGTTTCAAATCTGATTTGTGCTCGCGAATTCGGTCAGAGACACGTCGTTTCGTCTCCCAGCGCTGGCCGCGTCCGCGCGCGTTAACTCACGGCGGAGGTGTTACATTTGCACGCGGGGATGGCGAGAGGACACTTGGGGCGTGCGCCTCTGTGCGCGCGTCTGTGCAAAGGCAGCCAGGCATGCCGTTCGCCCGCTCCACCCCATCGTGCGCCGTGCCGCCTTCAAAGGTGCTCGAGAATAACACTTGGCCCAAAAGTTTGGGAAGGATACATGGGGGATCTTTTTCCTTGTGCGCATGGATGGGGAGCGCACTGCGCTATGAGCCCGACTCAAAGTCAACATCGGTAATGGATATATGAACCGGTCCTCGGCCTCCCCTAGTTCGACTCAGCCTTAAATGAGCACCTGGCACGACGTTCAACATCAACGCTTAGGAAACAAAGGCGGCCGGCCGTGATTCTGGCCACGCCACCCCCTCTCGTATGCCGTTCCGGCCTTCATCGGTGCTATTCGCTCACCGCACTTGCCCCAGCAGCGCGTTGAGACCACACGGGGTGTCTGTGTGTTATTGTTGTTGTTGTCATTGTTGTTGCAGTGCGGTTGCCGGTCGGTTCGACGCGATGTGGGACCGCGGGGGACTCGTTGCCATCAATGCGAGCGACCGCGAGCGGTGAGGCACCGCGGCCTGCGTCTGCCACAGCCGAGGTTGGACGCCACGGTGGCGAGGAGATGTTAACTACCTCGCCTGGTGTACAGGAGGTCATGGGTTCGATCCCTACCCGGATACCTGGATATTTGTAATTTTTATGTCTCTCTCCGTGGTCGCGTGGATTTTTGTCCGGTTTTTCCCTCCACGGTTAGAAACACGCGTTTTAGAGTATTTGGCTGCTATACATGTCCACGTGATAAGCAACTTCATTTGTGGCCAGGTGGCTTTTTAAAAAGAGCGATATAGCTCATTGGGCCTTACCTGGTAAAGTAAAAAAAAAATGTTTGCTAGTTTTTATAATTTAATAGTTTATGCGTGGGATTTTCTGGTTTCTTCCAACAGCTCAAAACACATACAGGAATACCTTGAAATTTCGTCTGGTTAGGGACCAGAGCATGGACGAATATCAAAAATAGACGAATGTCAAAGCAGAGCCTTTATTTAGCTAGCAAATTTATTTTGGCCAGCGAAAAACGTACTTGCAGATAACTACAGTAGATAACTACAATATAAAAATGTACATGCAAATAACTACAGTAACGATATAACACGTGTGCGAAACCTAAATAAACAGAAAAGAAAAATAAACAAAGCCTAAATAAATAAACAAAATTATACCCTGAAATATTTGTATTCTTGCGTAAGTAGACGATGAATATATTGGTGATTTAGGGGGAATCTAGATTCATAAAATGAATACTGTACACGCGTTTTATAATCACGAAAATAACTATGAACACTAGAATTATATACTGTTATCACAAAAATAACTATGAATTGTTCACAGTCTAATCACAGAAAAAAGTACAGTATTAATAATATATGAATAAACACAAATATAAGAGATGCTCACTGCACGACTTCTATTCAAAGACTGAACGAAAAAGACGGCGTGTGGCACAAACGTCGTGGAAGTTTGGGGATGAAATCCGACGACAGTGGAAAGCCACGTGGACGAAATTTGAAATGTGGTTATAGTTGAGAACGGCCGAAACAGCGAAGCGACGAAAGCCAAGTGGACGAAAGTGAAGGTATCGCTGTACAAGTAATACGTAACGGATATTGGTCAAACATCCCAATGCTGAGCAATTACTTGCCAATTACTCAATGGGGATTACAGAGCGACCTTTCCCCCTACTGTGAAAACTTGTCAGGAACCTTCTGAAAAAGTGCCTAGAGACTCGGCGAGGCTTTTCTGGGTAAACGAGCAGAAAAAACGAGAAGAATATAAATCTTGATTTGAAGCTTTCGTGACTGCAGGAATAATCCATACTCTTTGGTTCTTTCGGTAAAGTCACGTGGGTAGAACATGTATAGATCACGACGTTTCGATCTCAACACGAGCGACCGTCTTCAGTCTGATAATAATAATACATCACCACATTGTTATTAAGTGATATTTGTGAACATGCCCTTTGCCGAACCTGCAGGTTTGCAGCTATCATGACCGACCTCATGGCACCGGGCTGCCGATATCTTCTGGACACCTTCAACTACAATGACCTCACCTTCAAGGGTGAGCACCCAAACAGCTCGGCACAGAGCTCACGTTCACATCGGAATCTCTCCGCGTTGGCAGGAAGTTGGACCGAGTGCAGGATGTACATATACAGCCGTTGTGTCAATGTGTACATGTACCTTGAATTTATTTTGCATCGTACGGAACCAACCATGATAATCGGAGGTGCGGGGGAAGGACAACTACGGATGAGGTTCTCCCGATGCCGTTCTGGTTGTTTGACCATTCTTTTACAATGCTGGTTAAACACAAGGGAACATATAACAGTATCATGTAGTATTTTGCCACACTGCTTTCTGGGTAGTCTCCACACGCTATGCAGGGTCAATTCTGCTTAACTTCCAAGATTTGGTGAGATCACGTGCGTTCTAAGCGTTTTGGTTAAAGCTATACACGATATGGAAATATATTTAAAAAAATCTAATTTAGATTAATTCATTTCTAGATTTGAAGCTTTCGTGACTGCAAGGATGCATACTCTTTGGTTTTTTCGGTAAAGTCACGTAGATTAAATAAAATTAAAATAAAACTGCAGCTATCTTGCTGTGACTGTTTCCACCTGAAGACGGAAGCTTGTGTTGCCTCCGACACGTCGGGATTTGATTTAGTTTTATTTTATTTTAATTTTAGATTAATTTGTCAAATTTCCTAACCTGGGAGGATCTTTGAAGGTAGGGAGAAACTGCTGATCCACTTGAACCAAGGTCTCAGAATGAACGCACGATGCCAGAGGCCCAAGCAACGCACTCGGTAAACGCGATCGGCGCATCGGACGCGAGACGTGGGGCAGAGGTGCCACGCTTTGCAAACGGATCCCCTGGCAATAAGCGCAGAATGCACCATAACACCGCTGACATTTACGTTACGCCCAAAGTGAAGTTCACAAAAAAAGTGTCGATTACAGAAGCACAAATTCAGAAGGTGGTAAAACTGCACAAATGTAATTTGTTAGCACGGCCAGTGTGTAATTGCACAATAACGAGGTCACCGCTGTCTCCGTGTTTGTAGGACCACCCCATTACGTGCCTGAAAGTGAAATACGAGCTCTCTACGGTAAGACTACCATGAATAATGCACGCTGTGAAGTAAAGGGCACGCAGCCGCGCTTGTACGCACGCGGCGAACACTGACGCGACGCAGTTTGATGGACCGTGAAAATAACGCGGCACTGACGGAGTCATTTAAATTAGTTATGAAGGCAGCACGTGAAAACCACTTTTGTCTCGCCTTAAATCATTAAGCGTTTCTCAATGCTTTTCCAACCAAGGTTGGATGCGGGAATGCAGTAGCTCCGTCTAACGCAGGGTCATGATGAAGCTCGTAAATATGATCCAAGAAAAATTTAAACTGTTGGTTTAATATTGGGGAATTACCCTATAAAAAAACTGGCAAATTTATTAAAGGGTTATCCAAAACCTAGCGGTAAAAAAGAGCGATAATCGGTAAACAAAGGTAATGACTTCACACACCATTCAGATGCCTTGCCTTCCCGTGACCTCATCGTGTGATGTCATCTCACGATGTCACAGGTTCCGTGCCTTGTAATATCTCATTTTGTGACTGAGAAGGTAACGTTATAATTGCCAATTAAATACTTTAATTCTGAGGACGAACGCAAATTGGAGAGCGCTAAAGTATCCACACATCAATCCCGAGTCTCTAAAAATGGACACATCCGAGACTTAATAATTTTAGCTGGGTCTGTGACCCGGGAAAATGTCTGCACCCGACACACCACATCCAGTATACCACTGGATATGGCTGTGGCTATTAGGCACGTGCCACCCTACTTCAGTCTTCCAGCGAGTATATTTGTGGGCGATGAAGCTCCTGCTCGCTTGCCACCTGACAAAGCGCATAGCTCCTTACCACGCGGCACACTAACGTGGCGGGCGACGGTGGGGACCCGACGTGGTGTGGCTCCCCTGCGGCGTGCAGGGGAGCGATGCGATGTGGAGCTCCTGGAATCGGACAAGGAGTCCATGGCTGACCGTGCTGAAAGATGGGGCCTGGACTACATCATTGAAGTCGTCCACCTCATCACGCCCAAGTAGCGCTCGTCCGGATCGCCCCGCAACCAGGAGTAGAGATTAACAACAAGACCGCATTCGTCAATAACACTGCCTGAGAGCAGAAATACATATCAATATAAGGCGTAATTTTGGGCAGTGTCCCTTCTATTGACGAGCGTACCGAATTTGTGTTGGCGATTGCGCGCTACTGAAAGCGCGTCACAAAATAATTTGACACGAGATTACCGTACCGTAGGCACGCAACCACGACTCACCGTCTCGATGATTCGTCGCTTGACATCGATTCTTACGCTCACGATACACGCATCAAGTCGTAACGCGTGAAAATAGACTACTTATATTTTGGGTAATTTATATATGGATTTGGTTAATGTAGCAAACATGTACAAGCGAAGCTGTAAATTGATGAGCAATTCTCAAAACCAAATTTAGCAATTAGAATCAGACGTTTCGCTTGAAACTGCGCCAAGCATCTTTAGGACAAAGATCCAGTCAGTCAGAATACATTGCAGGAAGTACAAATAAGTGAAGTATACACGTGGCCAATTATGAATCACAACTGTGGCTGCGATACCGACTTGTAATTTTTTTTTTACAAATTATGTAATAGAAACCAGGACAATGAACAGCAGCAATTAGTCGACTCAGAGGTGCCGGGGACAGTGGGGAACAGGGCGTCGTGACGTGCCCACGGCTTGGTGTGGACTTGGCAGAGGTCAGCCAAGCGTGCGGTCCGAGGTTTCTTGGACGAGCGGTGACGATTTTAAAAACAAAAACATAAAATTGTCACTGAAATCGCCCGTCTTGTTTCGGAGCGTTGAGTGACCAAACCGTCCCTCTGAAATTCACCCTGCGTCCCCCCGATGCTCTCGACTGGACATCGAAACGTAACGTCACTCTTAACGTCACTCTGAACTCCACTTGACACCGCCGACAGGCACGAGGAGCAGAGCCACGGTTTCACAGGCCTAACGGAGCTTGGACAATGCACATTCTTTGTTTTGACCTCGTAGACCTGCCTGAAACTAAAAATGTACACTTGTACCACTGCACCAACAAAAGATATTAAAGAAATCAAACGTCAAAATTGCGTGTGTCTTCTATCCTGTATTTAATGAGATTAATACAACAAATACATTACGATAAGTCATGTAAACTTATTAAAAACACAACTCTTAACCTCTCCCACCCCGCTTTGTTTTGGTGACAAAATGACCCCACAAACAAGTAATGAGAGGAAGATTCGCGACAGTTTTGTTTCTCTCTCTCGCTCTCTCCGGTACGACCACGACATCGCGAGAGCGCGCCGAGGGGCGGATGCACGAAGGCTCGACTGTAGTCTCGCAAGGCCACACACGCGCGCAGTACGCACAAGCCGTCTTGTTTTCCTGCCTCGGGGCACGCTAATCGCATCGCCAGCGAGCAAACGTTTTCTTTATCCAAATCCACCAGCGGCCGTCCGTTTAGCAGAGTACAAAAATAAATACCACCTTTCTTAAACGTTGAAAATGTTTGCTCCGACTGTAGAAATTTACGCGAGTGCCCTAATTCGTTCACCTCTCCTCCCGAGCATTTAACGCCAGCGGTGTTTGGCAACGTTGAATAAGAAGGACTGCATAGACAAATTACGAAACATATTTTAAAATATATAAAAAGAAATTATAATAAAATAAAAGTAATACCATTAAACATTCTCTTAACCATTACAAGGGAAATATACATCTAGATAATACAGGCAATCAAAACACCTTGAGAATGACAATAACATTGGTCTCATTGATCTTACGTTAAGGAATTTTGACTCCAATATTATGTAACAATCGTGTAATAAGTGCAATAATGTAAGGACTGAATAAAAAAAATCAAGTGGTTTCGAGTAAGTCCGCACAATGTTAGTAGCACATTCTCAAAACATTTTGAGAGCCCCTCCCATACACAAGTAAATGTGTAAACGTACAATGTGTGTGTGTATTATACGCAAAGATCCCCCATATAGCCAAACAGGATGTCGGGGCAAGTGCTGTTAGCGAGCGTCTGTTAAGACCAGGACAGGCGAGGCGGCGGTGTTGACAGCACTACGCCTTTCCGGCTCGGTCTCCCCCAGTGCTAACGATTAAAGATTGCAATAGTTACTCATTTAAGGCTTAGTCGACATAGGGGAGAGGCCCATGACGGGTTCGGAAAGTCACCGCACAGGGCGCTAACAACCACTATGCCACGACTCCACTCATGCACAAAGACAAAGAATCCGGTGAAGCCCACACAGGCAGTTGGGGCAAGAGCTTTTCGCGAAGATCGAATACCCCAGTATACACACACACAATGTACATGAAGATACAATTCTAGTAATGCACAATTAACCACATTTTATAACCGAAACATTACCCACGGATCAGGAGTAATGCCTCAGTGCTCACGCCCAATTTGAGCCCCGTCAGATTAAACACTACAGCAAGCAACGCTTTGAGGTAGAGTTAGCAATTTTGCAGTGGTAACGTGGACCTTGGAAGACAGTCATTCCACTCATATTTACAACGAGCCTAAGGTTTAACCTTGACACCACCACCATCACAAATGTTAAGGAATGATGATGATTATTATGACTGTAATTCATAAACTATCAAATTCCCTCTGCAGTATTGCTGCCCCTATCAAACATGAAAATAATACTTTGTCTTTAGGTAACAATACAAAAAAAACACAAGCAAAGGCATTCATAAAGTATCATCCACTTTTACTTCATCGAAATGCACATCCCTTTGGATTTCCTGGGACAATTAGTCGATTTAGTCGATTAGCCAAAATTTCAATCTTGTGCATTTTTTTATGGTTGAACGCTTGGACCCCTTTAAAAATGGCGGCCACCCCCCACAGCCGCCTCCTGAAGGCAGGAAACCCCCTACAAGCCACGCCCGGCGTGATGGAGCTGATGTCACCAAGCCCTGCTCATCACCTCCCGACCAGCGGCACGTGAGGGGAGGCGTTCGCAGAGGTGACACTTTTTTTTCCTCCAACTCTTTCATGTTATCCAATTGGTCGAATAAATTGAACCAATAATAGAAAGAGTATTCCAATTACTATAGTCATCTCGATATAATACAGTAATCCGATAATGGCCCGGCTCTACCCTAATTGTGGTTATGGTTGGGAATGGTGGCAAGGTAGACAATACCTGCAAAGGAATTGTCTTGCACACCCAACACACACTCAACATTAGTCCAGAGCTCCGGGCCTTGTAGTAAACCAGGGACCTTACTTTATGAATACCTTGCACACACTGGTTAATAAGCTACACCACGAGTTGTGAACGGTTCACGCCTTATGCAACACTTAAAAAAAAAAATGGACCAGCGCAGAACAAAGACCTGCAGACTTAAAATGCCGCAGGTAATTGCATAATCAGTGTTCTTTCCACAAGCATGCAGCGAACGCTGGAGTTGGTGGTATCAGTGTGTATCGTTTATTATCGCGATCAAATTATTGCAATGTGACGCTCAATATTTACATTCTGCCTTGCATTAGGCCTGGCAATCCATCAACAGTGCACTTTCTGCACCTCGGGAACACAAACAAGTTCTGACGAACAACTTCCAACCGAGCCACACTCCCACCCCCCCCCACCCTTCAGAGCTATCACTTGTATTATAGAGTTCATTCGAAAAAATTCAAGTCAATCGGCAACATTCACCAGCACGGAAATAAGCTCGACGCGGTTATGTAATTGTACACGCAGTTCACGTACGACGATAAGGGCTACTTACACCTTGCACCCTCCTAAAGCGGCCGCGGTGATTGCGCCACGCTGGCATGCAGCGGAGGGGGAAGGACTCGACCCAGAAGCTATCCATCGCAAACCACAAAGCACGTCGTGCAAGAACCCTGTTACCAACGGGCACGGCTGCCCGACAGAGCAGCCCTGCAACTGCCTTCAGCAATCGTAGGCCCGCAACCCTTCACCCAAGTTCACTCTGTGCGTGAATGTGTCTAATCGGAACCCAATTGGGCTTAGCGTGATATAATTTTTCGCGCTGCGAGAACTCCCGATGTGATGGTTACCGCGATGTTAGTTTCCTGTAACTTTGTAATTGTATTTCACATTTGCTGTTGACTTGTTTTTGTGCTCTGCTGTGACTAAGCTTGTCAACTGCAGTTCACTCAACATGAGCTGGCCACGTCTTCTTTTCCTTGCAAATTTTACAATCTGAAACGCTTATGCACACTCCTGCCGATATGTGCACAGGAAACTATGAATTCCATTGAATCGAAAAATGACAGCATGTAATAGCCAATGCCATAAATTGCTAAAAAAACATTTTTCAAAGCACTAATTTAATGGACAATGGCTCTTTGCTTACAAATTTAAGTAACGAATTTGTCATTTCACATGGTCAGCAAATAAAATATCTAATAAATTAAATTAACACGGATAAGCGAGATCAAAATTATATTTTGCAAAATGGACGGTAGGATTACCATGTCTCTTCCACCTTACCATATTCTGTCGGGTCACCATCCCCTGAGGTGCCATCACAAGCCTGTGCCTGCCTTGCCTAAGACACCCACGCGGCAGTGTCAAAGCAATAATGGCTAATTTAATGACAGAAGCAGTGTTCAACACACACACACACTGAAACAAGAAAAAAACTATTTAAAAAAACCAAGCTGGAATAAGAAACAACTATGAATGACCTACACGAATTCCCTCATTCTTCCTTGGACGACATACATCTCTATGTGCAGCCCTTTATCAATCCACTGCTGGATGAGAGCCGTGCCGGTCACGGAGGTTATTTGATCGCGCTAATTGGTGAAGGTGGGGAGCATAGATGCGGGAGCACAGAAGTACAACACAACGTATTTTCTTGACTTCCCTCAACATTGTTGTACTGTCCACCATGTGGTCCCACAGCCACCTATGTCAACCTTACTGTGCATGGCAGTTCCCCCAACCCCAAGCACTATCCAGCCTCGCATCTACTCGGCTAACAAGATCTGATGAGATTGATCAGATGATGACGTTGTTGAAATCCATATGGCTCCCGATTCCAGCAGCCCACTTACACTGTAGACAGAGCCTGGCAACGTTGCTTATGGACACACTTTGGACCGACAGAGCAATCTCACCACCCTATCCAATGCACTTCGACCCTTAACGCAATCTCATCAATAAAAAAATATATTGTGAATTGCTAATGTATGTCGCAATGCGTATCGCCGAGAGGCACGTGAAGCAATAAGTTCCACAAGACCACGCTGATATCGCAAATCCTCACTCCGATTGGATACTGGGATGCCTCGTGTGCAATGATGGTTCAGCGGTAGCTCGCAATCGCGAGACTGTGAGATGAAATCCTGGTTGGGGATGAACTCGGTTCATCATCTAGAAAAAAATAATTACCAGGGCATCAGCAGTTGAGTTCTAGTTAGTTGCACAATGAGTCAGAAGCAGCCCGAGTAATTACTTGAATTTTGGAGTCGATAAAATGAGTACCGTTTTGTGGGGAAGTCAACACGGGCTGTCCTATGGATAGACTCGCACCCGGCCATAGAAGTGTGGAATTCCCACCAACGGCTCATGGCTGTAAACAGGAGATAAGCACTGTCTCAATGCCCAAGTAAGCAAGAAAGCACTTTTAACTTGAATGATTCACTGAATCATGAATTAAAATCGATTACGCATGCAACAAATTGTGCATGTGAGAATACATCGTTAATGATTAATGCAAATGTAGGCAGTGTGTGTTTCTTTAGGCTAACGGGTTGAGAAGAGTGAGACAGGCCATGCGAGATACGGCAGCACAAATAACAGAAGACGTGAGAGACAGAAGGGGAGAGGGGATGAATGATTACATGCGTGGTGACCAAATACCAACGACACCAACATCATGGCACTGCCTGTAATCGTGCATCCACGTTGACCATTCACTTTTCACGTCTTCCTTGCAGTGAATTACCGAACCAGCGTCACTAAACACGCTCACGTCTCACGTGTAATACACTAATACTTTACAAATTTAATTGCAAACGACACGTTTGTCAGCTTGCTCATTAACTACGCATTGCCGAAGACTAAATTGTGGTTTGAACCGCTGAAGAAAACAACAGCGTTAGACACACTATCCCACTACCCTCCAGAGGGGGCCTCTCTAGAAGGCCTCTCGAGAGCAGCTGTTCACGGAAGCCCTTCTGCCAGCAGTCACGAGAACAAGTAATATGCAGCGATGCACCGTCACGCACATTCACCTTATAGTAAATACAACAGCACAACATGTCGTTAGGAGTACTCAAACGCAAACCAAGCCAAAAACTAAAGCTAAACGAAGCAAGCTGTAACACCTGCAGTGACCTGGCAACCTGGATGCCTCTCAGCCGGTGGTGTTCCAATAGGCAGTAAGTAGTGTAGCGTACACGTAACAAGCCAATGGCACATGTGATTCCTATTGCCAAATACCCCCGGTTGTGCTGCTTGTGAAGTAAACCAAACCCTGGTCGCCACTGGGTGGCAGAAGTTCACTTTGGCCAAATCCAGAGACGGAGCAAAAACAGTCGACCGACCCACTCGCAAATACCAAAACGCAATTCTCTTTGCTGCACATTGCGCACAGTAAATCGTTTTTTAAACATTAATGTTTTTTTGGATCCCATCGGAAGATATCAAATACGGTATTGCGTCAAACTAGGTGACAACAATGTGCAATCGACTTCAATGCGAACTTAAGGTGCCAATAAGTACTGCAGCTACACGTCAGTAAGCCAGAGGAGTTAAGTTCTTACTTACAAATGTCCTGCCCTTCACTCCACAGTCGGCTCAACCTAAATGCGTGTTACAATCTTCACACATGTACGTTTTAAATGTAAACTATACACAGCGTCTTTGTTGAAAACAACAGCCGATCAAATCCAATGTGAATATCGTACCTCTTACAAACACACCAATAAATAGTGATTTACCCAAACCCAGGGCTTTTCTTTTGCAGTGTTCCTAAAGATGTGTATTATTATTTTTGGCAACGATTCTAAGGACATGCTTTACCTGTGCTGCGACCATGAGCCACAACACTCACTGTGCAGACCGCAGGCCAAAAAGTTATGGCTTAACATTGAATGCATTCTCAAGGATCACACTGTCAGAGAGTTCACATGACCTCATATTCATCACAACTCCATTCCAGATCTATTTGTTCTCCTTGTGTCCTGGCTCAGCAACCTAAACGTTTCAACAACTCTCTAGAATCCTCTGCCCAATGTTTAACTTGGCCAGCACAGCAGCAACTGTCCCCTGCATCGCAGAAAGCGGCAGCATTTCCTCAGCCAATACTTTCAACGTCCGGCTTTTGCCCGCCAAAAACACCAAGTGCAAATCTGTCCATTTCAGTTCATTTTCTGTTAATTCAGCAATATAATTAAATGGACAAATTATTCTTATTATTATTATCAGAACAGCCACTTAAGCGAGTTCCATCGCAATATATTAACATTTAAAGTTGGAACATTAAATTGTACAATATCCACGAAAATATGACGATCTTAGTACCCCTCACCTCTGCCAGCTCTAGGCAACTATTTGTGAAATTCTTTCTTACACGTTAAAAAGGTCATTAACGATTTTAAATTAGCCAACATAGATTTGTGGCAAACAAACCAATTTCAAATTAAAACAAGAGAACAGGCCAATTGACTAAGCTATGTAATAACAGATGAGTTGAGTTACACTTATCTCAATGTACAATGTGGAAATTCATGAGCTGGCATATGGAAAAAGTTGAAAAATATCAGACTGACCATGCATACACACTGCATGTTACTTACATTGGCCTTATAATACATCGCGCTAAATAGCCGACATCAGCTCAAGTAAAGCTAATATATTTTAAGAATTTAAATTAATAGTATTCCCATTCATCTTAAACCTAGCGTTCTAAAACCATCTCAGCCTAACGCTCGCTGGTTTGTTACCTTTCAACACATTAGCCTTTGAACGCTCCTATTAAAGGACTCAAACCTCAAAGCAGAAAGCCAGAGATTCATGACGAGGCCCCTTTCTTTCCAAACCATGTTCGAAACGCGCACCGTTGCACCTTGTGTGCCTGTCGGCTACAGAGTGAAGTCTCTTTGTCGTCGCCTGCAGAAGCTATCCATTCCATTCTCCATTCCTGACATGCAACTTCACTCCAGGTACAACCTTGCATCCTAGCAGTTGCTTGCAGGAGCGCTGTTCAGCCTCTCGAATGGGATTGAGGAGCGACTGACCGATGGAACTTCAGTCCGGAGCAAGCGTGCGTGACACCAATACCTGCATGTCTCATCCCAGGTGCAGACCTACACACCAAGAAAAACAATAATTATTTCTCAATGACTGTTAGAACTATATTGCAGTCACCAAATTACGATACATTTATAAAACTAATAATTTACAGCACCTTATCAACCCACTGCTGGATGAAGGCCTCTATTAGATTGCTCTATAAAATAGATAATTATTATTAAAACTTATCTGTATAACCCCCGAGAAGGAACATCTCATTTGCAAAGGTGATCCCAGAGTGCCTTGTGACACATACATGGCTAACACGTAAAGAGCACATAAACATTTTAAAATATCCACAACGGCAAATAGATTTGGAATATAGAAAAAAAAGAAAAAAGAAAAGGCAGGGCTGTCCAGAGGTTCTAAAGGCCTGGGTCTCGAGGCCCAGGGGCAGAATCCCACATGAGGCCTCCTAGTTCATAAGCGGTACAAACAGGCCCACTGTGGGGCCCTTCTTTAATGAAATCCTGTGGAAAATTTCCCCTCTGCTCCCCTCCTCCTCCCTCCCTCCCACTCTGGGCGGGCCTGAAAAGAGGGACAATACAGCCAAGGCAACAGCGTGCGTGAAAATCATGCCGCAATCACGCACGTGAATAAGTGGTCAAAAACACGGAGGTGGTGACATGGCCCAGGTGATGTGGCGACGTGGCCCAGCCGCAGCGCATTTGCCACTTGTTCCAGAGGTTTACAGCAGGTGTATTAACCATGTGAATATACGCAGCGGATGTTAAAGATCCCCTGATGGAATTCGAAAAGAGAAGGCCACTGTGTGTCATTAACGTGGTCCAAATTTGCCCGATTTAAATAAATGACCCCGAAAAGCTACTCAATTGGGATCGCACAAAGCAACTTCGCATCCTACTGGCAAGACAACATGTGTCTGTGAAAAAAAACACACACGCAGCGCCTTTGTGGAAGCCGTGCACTACAAGAACGGAGCGAATAGCAAATACGCTCGATCATCATCCGTGTTAAAATACGGTGAAGCCAAAGAGATGTGCAGCGTACTCAGTGGAAGTGCGCCGGCTCGTTCTGATCTCGCCTGCGCCGCGCCGTGCGTATCCGCCGGTGGGGGTTTCCCCGGTTGCTGCCTGCCGAGCTGTGGAGTAAATACGCACACGTACAAGTACAGCAATTCCCCATCCCCCTCTGCAAGGCTGAACACAAAACGTCAGGTGGATTCGCTGTGAGCAAGATCCTATGAAATTGAACGTGGCACGTGAAGAGGTGGTGTGGCCAGAGTCATGCCTGGCCGCCCTTTGTCTTCCTGAAACTGATGTTTACACACCGCATCAAGTTATAAATAGAGGCAGAGTCGACCTAGGGGAGACCCAGGACCAGCTCAGATATTCGTCACTGATTTTGGCTGTGCGTGGGAATTGAACTCGGATCGCCAGGTTTGTAGCGCAGTGCGCGAACTTACCCCCCCCACCCGACACAAACACAAACACACACACCCAGGAAGGCATATGGGACACTTGTACACACCAGTTTTACTTCAGTTAAGCGGTGGGAAACATTCTCGTTACTAAGAGCTGTCAAATACGTTTGGCGGACAACCACATCTTCGCACACACACATCAGTCGCTCCTGTCACTACAATATGCCCTTGCAGTGCCCTTGCAGTGACAAAAGTTAATGTATTCTTCAAATGCTGTCCGGAACTTAAGAATCTTTCAGTATGTGAAGCGAAACCTCAGACATCATGCCAAACAACAAGCGGCTCAACCTGAATGCAGGTCAGAGAGCTTGACAGGACAACCACAAAAACCTATGCAGTCCTCAAAATTAAATGGGCCAAATATACTCTGGCAGAACCCTGCTGAAAAAGTATTGAGACTTCGTCAGTGTTTATTTCCTCGATAAATTAATTACATTATTTTAATCAACTTGGGTAACACAGGAGTGAAACTTGTGCCTTACAGTATGAAGCGTCCAAGTGCAATTCCCCACTCTGACAAATTACTGTGTGGCGTTTGTATGTTCTCTCCCTGTTCTGCAGGAGTTTCCTCCAGGTTCTCCAAATCCCTCGCATAGCTAAAAAAACACAAACTGGTATTTGCTAAAACATCCCAATGTTGAAAAATGACCTACAAATTACTCAATAGGGGTCACACACAGCAGCAACAATCACACCTCCGATTATCATGGGTGGCTACGTACGGTGCAAAAGAAGTTAAACATACATACATCAATGGGCCCCCCTACTTTGAAAATTCACAGGAGACTCTTGAAAAAAAAGGTCTTGAGACTCTGTGAGGTTTAACCGGGGTAAACGAGTGTGCTAATAATAATGATAGTAATACCTGGCACTATTTGGACACATATGTAGGGTGGACAACAACAGCAACATTTAAAGTGTATTGTTCGGGAAGAATGGAAGAAAGAGAGGAAGACTTGACAACGACATAAAATACTGGTGCCAGAAAGATGTGCTCACTCCTTGAGCATTGGCACAAAACAAAGGTAAGTGGAAATTAAATACAAAATGTGCAGTGGATAGCCACAGACTATCATCCCATTGATTGTGAGTATGACGATAATAGTCGTAACTTGTGTGTAGAGGGGACAGATAGCGGAGTGCTGGCGTACCCGATAGTGAACGTGGGACGACTCGAGGCAGGGAAGGGCTGCGGCGTGGGCTGGTTCGCTCCAAACGCAAATGGAGACGAGCCTGAGGACACGCTCGCAAAGGAAACGTTTGGGTTGGAGCCCGGGTTAAACTGGAACCCACCGACTGTGCACAGCTCCACCGGTGAGTTTGCATTATTGGTTGCGGAAGACTATCGTCAGAAGATATTCTTAAAATGTGGGTCTATACCAGCAGAAACATGTGTGGAAACGTGGCATTGTATTTAGAGTAAACCCTTGTTAATTCGCCACATATGGGGCTTTGGCCTTGCCGGATTATCCAATATTCTGAATTATGTACAATGGTACTCCCCCCAGTGCCTCCTGCCAAAACATGTTTTCCAAATTTATTTTCCAAACTCTTCACACACTATACGCACTGACATACCTGCATCAATTCTATCCAAAACTTTGGAATTGTCTCGCAGACTTAGGAATTAATATTTGAGTCCCTATCAACTTATTGATGTAGGTGTAGACGACATTTCTGAGAGGGTTAGCTTGCACAGACTGCATAAACAAGGTAACGTCCAAAGCAACGGGTCTGCACTAACGCTCGCCACGCACGCCGCCACTAGACGGAGTCGTCGTTCTGGTTGCGGCGTGCGGCGTCGCTCCACGTGTGTGCCGAAATTAGACCATTCCGTACGGTAATCCGCCTCATTGCGAATTACTAATACATCGTATATACGCCAAAAGCGCAGCCGTGCCGAATCATCCCCAATTCCAAATGATCAAATAACGAAATAACAAGGCTTTACTGTACTTTGCATTCAGAGTTGATACGTATTCACTTTAAGACACATTCATTTTGTCATACAAAAGCTAAGGAAAATCACGCAGATTCGTGGACTCTTAGCGCTTTCCAACGTGCGTTTGTATTTAATTAGCAATAATGTTACGATTCAAGCCACGTAAAAGGGATGACGTCACGAGGCACAGGGCAACCCTTTGGTCAACATGGCTGGCTTTCTCCAGTCCTGAATAGCATTGGATCATCTTTACAAGTGTCATCCCCCCCTCCATTACAGATAGACAGACAGGACTTGCACATTATCCTTTAAACCTTAGTTGTAAAGCATTAAAAAGGAAACTATATGATAACATTCAGAGAAAGGTTATTTTTTATATATACCGTTGTTGGTGGGAGGAGTAGCATTGAAGGCAGGGGGTGGATTGGTCGCCTGTCCAAACTGCGACGCGAATGCTGCATTTTGATTGGCTGTCTGGCTGAACGCAGACACAGCAGCACCAAAAGCTGACGCCTGATTAGTCGCTTGCCCAAACATGGCAGCTTGGTTGGCCTGCTGTCCAAAAGCCAGCCCGTGATTGGTTGCCTGCCCAAAGGCTGGCGTCTGATTGGCCGCTTGCCCGAATACTGGCGAGGGGTTGGGTGAGCATCCAAACACAGGCGCCGGATTGCCTGTTTGTCCGAAACCTGGCTGACTGCTGGGCTGAGCACCGAAGGCTGCAGGATTGGTGTTGGACGGAAACCTAAATCCTGAAATAAAAGTAATCACAATTCAGTGCATATGTTACTTACGCCATTCGCATAGCACAAGGCTACCATAAGGGCACCAAGTTTCAGTGAAGGGTATAGTCTGCCAGGAGGGGGCGGTGTTTCTACGTGGTTTTACCCAAGGAAGCAATTTGGGAGTTATTTTCAAATTTGCAGCATGAAGTCGCCACAATTTCTTGCTAAATTCGAACAGAGATATTTAACGTTCTCTGGACAGCGGACAGCGCATATATATTTTTTGTTAATACACCTCCATCTGTCATCTGCTCATTAACCACTGGGATCCATTCGCTAGTGGGGCATCTCCAACTTTGACAAAGTGGCTGCACCTCTTCTCAACAGTGACAGGCAACGGAATACAAACCGGCATTGTTGTTGCTGTTGTTGCTTTCGGCATTTGTGAAGTTGAACAGCGGCACGGCAGTTGGGGCAGGTGCGGGAGCCGGAGCGGCAGCTCCGAATGAAAATCCAGCTGCCACTTCTGGCTTGCTGCCACCCTGCAGCCCAAAGGACAGCGCCGGCACGGTTGGTGGAGTGGCGACAGCTGACGGCGCGGTCGTGCCAAACGCGAACCCAGCCGGTTGCGTTCCTCCGCTGTTGGCAGCACCAGAAGCTCCGAACTTGAAGACCGAGGTCGGCGCTTCTGGTTTGGCAAACGTCGGAGCCGGGGCGGCGCCAGAAGGTGCGCCACCGAAAGCAAAGTTGCCACCGTTCGCACCGGCGCTGGTCCCGGCGGTCGTGGCGGTCGCCCCGAACTGGAACGGCTGGATCGTGACGCCGGCGGCGCCCTGCGGAGGCGCGTTTGTGGAGAGCGCCGCGGTGGCTGCGGACGTCACGTTGCCGAACGAGAAGATGGGCGCCTGCGCGATGGTCGTGCTGGTTTTCACGGCGCTGCTGCCGCTCCCGAACGTGAATATCGACGGGTTGGTCGTCGCCAGGTTGCCCGATGTACGGATGGCTCCGAAGTTGAAGAGTGGCGCCGCGGTCGTGGCGACGGCGTTCACGGCGCCGCCTTTAAACGTAAACGGCGACGCGGCGACGCTTGGCGCGGCAACAGGTGGGGCCGTTTGCCCAAACGTTAAGGTGGGAGCGGCCGCGTTGCCTCCAGTTCCTGAGAGGGCGCTCCCAGCCGCGGTGGAGGCCGGGAGAGGGGCGCCGGCGGTACTTTTGCCGAACGTGAAGTTGGGCACGGTGGTCCCTGCGGCGCTGCTGCTGGACGACGCCACGCCGAACACGAAAGGGTTGCCCGTGCCGCTTGCCGCAGCCGCGACGGAAACGCTCGATTCGGGTTCCGCGGAAGCCGAAGCCCCGTTCGCCAATCCGCCAAACGCCACCGTCGGCGCGACAACCGCCGTGCTGCTGGTTGTCGGCAAAGCGGGATTCCCGAAGGCGAAGGAGAGTTTGTTGACGGTGTTCGCAGCGGAGCTAGCGGCGCTGAACGTGGGGTTTAAGCCGGAGCCGCCAAGTGTGCCCAGCGGGTTTCCAATGACGACAAACGACGGCGCGGCCGCTGCGCCACCGCTTGAGTTTGCGGTGGCCGTGTTGGCGAAGGTGAAAAGGGAGCCAGCCGTGGTGCTGGGGGCGGTGTTGGTGCCGCTCACCGCCGTCGCTGCGTCCGTCTTGCCATTGGCCCGAGTGAAGGATTCGAATGTGAAGAAGGCGGAGGAAGTGGGAGCGGCTGCCGAAATCCCGCTGCTTGCGCCAGGGGCAGCGGGCGCTGGCACGGTACAGGTGGCGGACGCGGCGTGCAGCCCCGGCATCGGCGAGGAATAGGACGAAGCGGGGGCGGCCGTGCTGGTGTTCGATCTGCTGGTGGCGGCAGCGGCTGTGATTCCTGCGGAGCTAGTATCAATAAGCGAGGAGGGGTTTGTCATGAGAGCGACGCCGGGCAAGTTGATGCTGGACGCGACCGAGTTCTGTGCCAGCTGGTGCCCGTCGGTAGTATTGGGCTTCGTGTCACTGCTGCTGCTGGCTACACCGGTGCTGCCAGGCTGGGCGGCTGCGGTGGATGCTGGAGGAGGATTGCTAAGGGGCCCATCTGAAATTCAAGTTGGGAAAAAAAGCAATAAAGTTAATGAGCTTAATGTACATTGCTCATGAGTTACAAAGAAAATCACGCTAGTATTGCGACGGTAAAATATGGAATAACTAAAGCAACGGCATAATTCGTTTTAGCTGCTCGTATCGTAAATAGATCTCTCCGGATGTAAATATATAGATATAACCGACTGCCTCTGCACGTCGTTTCTGTAAAGTGCCTTGAGATGCAGTCGCATTTCAACCCTATACAAATCCGAGTTGCATAGCGCACTGTACCAGAGAACAGACACGGCAATCGCCAACCCACCCGTACAATCTTTACCAATGGCGGCCTCTCCGAATCGGAATGCCGTGCTCAAGCCCAGGCCCTGCTGCTGCAGCCCAGAGAAGTCGATCTTGAAGCCGCTCGCCGAGGATCCAAACGAGAACTGTGGCGTTTGCTTCTCCGCCGCAGACGCGGCATCTAGCGACTGCTTCCCGACCACGTCCCCCTGCTGGTCCAGCACTTGGCCCGATCCCGGCATGGGTGCGGACGCCACCCCTGTGAGACCTGACACAGCCGCGGGGGGCTGGGGTTGTTGGCCGCCACCGCCGATTCCGAACTGGAATGACATTCCGGCAGCCGCTGACGTGATTGGTTTGCTTCCGAAACAATACCCTGCCGTCGGTGCGGTGTTTGGTGGTTCGGACGTATGACCGATGGTTACAGATGTGGGCACGGCGCCATCTGAAGCGGCCTTGCTGGCACTGGGCACGACGATCTCGGAAGCCTTCGTCTGAGAAGCTGCCGAGCTCCCAGCCGTGTCGGCATCGATGTCACCGCTGCCTGCGGGGAGCCCCGGCTGTGGCGCCAGCGTTTGGGATGCGAGCGAGCTTGGTGGAATTGTGGGAGGACCCGCCGGGCTGTTCACTTCCACCTGAGCCGCGTCGTTTGCCACCTCCACGCTGGTTGTATCCCCTTCTGTGTTGCTGTCCAGCCCTGAAAGAAATAAGATTTATGGATTCATATTCGTAGGACACGTGGGTTTACTGGGGTACCAAGCATCCCAATACAGGACCCCCGTGAGAACAGATCTCGAGACTTCCCTTATTTAATATGTTTAACTAAATTCCAAACCCTTCTCACCTGTGCTGCCAGGTGGTGACGGGCCATCAGGCCGATCGTCCGAGCCCTGCCCCGCGGCGCCCGCCTTTTTTTCGGACGCGTCTCTGCCGGACGGGCGCGGCACCAGCATGGAGCGAAGCGCCAGCACGCTGGGCAGCGGCACATCGCACGCGGCGCAGCGCAGACGCCGCCCGGAGTTCCACACAAGGCACGTGTCGCACTCCCAGGCGCTGGCGGCCCTGCTCTCGCTTGAAAACGAGGACTTGCCCTTCGACTCGTCGGCGGGAGGGCAGAAAGGGTCTCCTTCCGCTCCACTGGTGGCGGCGTCTTCCGAGATTCTTGAGGAAGTTGGAGATCTCTTCAGGAGACAGAACGTTATTCTAACGCGTGTCGATCACCACATCTCACAGCCGGCAAATTCAAGAGGTCACCACAGCCGTTACTGCTTATGCTGCTACACCCTGCCCACCCTGCTTTTACAGTATTCCACCATCTGGCTTTAATGGAAGCCAGGGGTCTCAAATGCATGTGTAGGTAAACTGCCTTCCATCCATCCTGCACACATGACACCTCCATAGCAGCCTCCTCTCCCTGATTACATCAACCCATTCTTTCGACAAAGTGACATTACGGGTTCCATAACTTCAATAACAGTAATACAGCTCTAACGATCGATTTCCCAAAAAAATGTGAGCTTATTTTTTTTTTTTAAACAACGCTACGAACGAGTGCAGTAGCAATTAAGCGTTGCAGGGCGTGCAACTGTTCCAGGACCCACAGGCCGGAGGAACCCAGGCACTCGGCTACAAAGTAGAAAGGGGGGCTCCCCCACATTTAATTCCTTGCACCAGGGCCCATGCCAACCACACTCCCTCTCCGATCGCGGTCCCAAACTCTCTCAGCGGCATCGCTGCGGATCTCTTCTCGGGGCACTTACGAGCACAAACCTACCTCCGCGCATTCCACAAATGTTAACCTCCGTGAGGAACCCGCTCCTCTAGCGGACACGGGGGGGGGGGGGGGTCCACACTCACACTGGCCGGCACGAGGGTCGAGGCCGAAGCGTTGGTCACCAGGCCCTTGGTGGGCGTTGAGGATGACGAGGAGGTGGTGGAAGACGAGCCGGACATGTAACCTGGCCAGGAAGGATTATCAACATCGTCGTCATCATCTATTACAATGTACATGTACCACCGTTGACAGCACTGGTCTCAACATGTAAACCCCGAAATAAATATTTGTCATTAAGAGTACAACATGTCGCATCAAACTCGCCATGCACTGGGGTATAGGCGGATAAGTGAACAGTTATACCATGCACAAATACCACAATGCGTTTGGGTGGTTACTTGGCCAGAGCAAATATGCCATGGTCAGATATGTAAGATTGTACTGTATGTGCAAAAGAAAGAAATGCATTGAGTTAAATATACATTTATTCGTGTAAACAAAGTAATGCAATAATGAAAGATATATCATATTAAAAACATCAAGATTACTCGAACAAACATTTTCACGAAACGCATCTTTGTTAAATTAGTATTTGCAAGATCTATGTCTGATTGGTCGCTCGCTCCTGTGTGAAATGACTCACCTTTGTCAATATTTTTAAATGCTTGGGAGTTGGAAGGTGGTTCCATCTGTTCAAGGGGGACACAGAATGGATAATCATAAGAAAAAAACCTCGCACACAACTCGAGAGAATCCTCCCTCACGCCGGGAGTGCGGAACTGTCTGCCTACCGAGATGGGGCCAAATCGCACTTTCAAACCCCACTGGTGGGCCAGACGTTAACGCACGCCTGACTGTTACCCGGCAATATCGCTAAAAATAAGCAGGGCTCGTACCTTAACAGCGCAAGTGCGACGCCGGGAGCCTGCTCTGCTCCGAGTAAGAACGCCGGTGATGTTGGGTCGCAGTTCCCAGGTAGCCATGCGGCTAAGATGTATGTTGAAGATATTTCGCACCGTATTTAGCCAACCGTGCTAATCGGAGGGGCGGTATTCGTTTGTGGGCAGTTTTGAAGTGGTCAGCTTTTTGCGTGCCGTGTGGAATGAAGTCGCAGGCCGCGTGTTCCCCACTACCCCGCGTTTCAGCCTTGAAACTAAAGCTACTTTAGAACTGGAGGCGTTTTCCCCCCTTTTTTGTTAACTGTGAAGGTTTTTAAAAGAGCACATTGTGACTAACGAAAAAACAAACAATGCAGAAAACACACATATTATATAATCACAAAATAATTATTCGCGTCGCTGTGGAGAATTTAAGCAACAAAATAAATAAGCAGGCAATATGCCGCCTGCACACAACTGTCCGTCAAAAAAAATCTCTTCTGCTTTAGACATCCCAGCAGCCACAAGGGAGTGCATGGGAGATGCGGCAATGATTCAATACGCTTATATAATCAAACCACATCATTGGTACATTTTGCATTCCACACCCCATTCTTACGGCGCGAGGCTATCACGAAATTGCTTTTTTCACAGGCGATGTTAATCTGCAGTCGTACACATTGCATGAATGCAGACAAGCTGTGTAAATACACTCGCAGTGATGTCTACGCCTCCTCGCTCGTTGATAAAAGGTAATTTGCCAACCAAGCATCCCGACCGAGCCTCCGCACCACAGACGCGTCAAACACCAACCTCGATGTCGTCAAGGTCATTCACGTCGTCTGCCAGAAATGCGGTGAAGTGACCACTGCTCCTCCGCTCCGGCGTCCTCTTCACACGCTCACTCTGCTCTTCCTTCTCAGCCCTTGCTTCCGCAACCACCAAAGGTGGACTTTTGACTGTCGTCTAAGATGAGAGAAGTTTAAACATCCGTTGGAAAGGTTGGTGAGAGCGTGTCATTGTAAGACACCGGTTGATCACAGTGAGAACTATTAAAACCACACAATGTAACTATTGGCCAAACATACCAATGGTGCAAAACGACCTGCAAATAACTCATTTGGGATTACAAATAGCAACATCGCCTCCTACTGCGAACACCTGGTAGGACCCGCCTGAGTAAGTCATGAGGCTCAGTGAAGTTTCCTGGGTAAACAAGTGTAATAATAACAATATACTACATGATTTGACTGCTTACGAGCAACTCGACATGACCGCCAACCGTGAGCCTCAGAAATGCAATGGGAAAACTGTGAGAGGCCCTCACCAGGGCAAAGATAAACCGATTGTGCCATCGCTGCGCATTATGCAGCTAAACATCGAAGGGACATGCGTGTATGTATGTTGAACTTCTTTCGCATCCCCTGCTGAATGGGAACACCTCACCAGGCTGCTACAGACTGAGAGAACATCGATGCTGTTGCGTGACAAGAATCCCCTGAAGGGCGATGTTTACCCCCCTCCACCAACGTTGGGGTGAAGCATCACACCTGCTGGGAGAGCTCGCGCGCCGCCACCCTTCGCTCGCCGCGTGCCACAGGTATCTCTGCTCGGTCGAGTGGCGGGCGGCAGTACCGGCCCAACGTGCCGGGGGAGGACGCGGACCTCGTGTCCGGCTGAAGCCACATGACAGGGATGTGTAATTAGGGATGCTCTACTGGTCAATAGCCAATATTATGATTCATAATTGATTGTTGGGTTAGAAACCACGGTAATGGTCTGGCTAAACTTCTATTGTAAGACCGTGCACCGCCCGACATAGCCAAACTAATGAAGTTGTCATGCATACAAGTGTTTAACCAGGGAAGACGCTATGATCCAACACCCACCATGGAGGACGTGCTGGCGTGAGGGCTGTGCTTAGGGGTTCGCTTTGCACTGCGTTCCCTCCGAGTTTCACCGGAAGTTTCGCTCGGTGGCAGGCCTTTAAGGCACGTCCCTCTGTGCTCCGTGGGCGAGCACGAGACGCCGGCAATCTGTTTCGCAAGTAACGCGATGAAATAACTTGATTGGAATAGCGAAAAGAGCGAACGTAGCACCCGTGCTGACGGACTAATGCCCACTTGCAGGCCGGTGCTGCGTCACCTTGTGTGGCGCACAATCAGCCGTCATGAAAGGGTCCCCCGAGGTCTAAATGAGAGAAAACTGCAGGTGGGCAATGGAATGACTGATGTGATGCAAGATTCTCCGAGATGCTGGGGCATTTAAGCATCCACTAAATGCAAACCCTCTCCTTATACTTAACATTGCCATCAGCCATAATTAAACCAAAATAAATTATTTTTAAAAAGTTTCATTGAGAATGAAAAAAAACATTTATTAAAATGGAACAGCCACATGTATATTACAAGAAGAACGTTACAAAATTTAGATATAAGATACAAGATTATTCACAAGTGTGATATGAGATGTAAACAATTGTAAGATATATACCTCCATATTTATTGAAATTTTTTTTAAATTTTCAGTTAGGAAGAGCCACCATCAGCCAGACAGAACCAAATGAGAAAAGCAAATTGGAAAATTTCCGTGTGAACTAGCACAGAGAGGTCAGGATTTTCACACACACTACACTACATCGAGTTTTAGTTCCAGTCACTGCGTGTATAAGCACCTTCTTCGCACATGCAACCGGGTACAAAAGCACATTACCAGCACATTTAATCATAATTTCCCACTGAGAAACACAAAGGGAATTCACGGCAGGCTCAGAGAACCCACTATATCAAGGGCAAGGGTCCAGGCGCTAGATTGATTTGAGCGCCAATTTTGGACACTCGCTATCCGTCTAAAACACACACACCTTCTGCTGCACCGCACAACGAAGGAAATACGTCGTGTCAAAGATGTTCCCGGTACAAAATGTTACCCCCAAAAAACTTTGAGAATATTCCCTTTCTACACGAGGGAATTGCTGTCAAAGCCTATCAACTGCAGTGAGCACGCATTAGAATTCATGTATGCACCAAACCATCTGACCTCGTTACATACCCGCAGGCGTTTCAAGGGAGACGAGAAAGCAGGGGCTGTTTCTGATTGATGCTTTCTGTCATTCTTCATCTGCCAAAAAAATAAAACACTATCTCATAGCGGAAAATCAGAGCTAAACAAACCGCGGATGGTTATGAAGAACGCGAAGTGCACAACGGAGACAAAAACTTTTAAAGTATCTATATCTCACCTCGATGCACGACGCCATCAGTGGAATCTTCTTAGCGTCCTACGTGTAGTACAAAAAAACAAACAATACACGCTTACAAGTTCACGCAGCAGCACGCCATTCTTAGACTGTCACTTCACACAGGGCCCAAAAGGTGTTGGTGAACGAGACCTTGCGTAGGCGAGCACGCACGACACCAAGAGCATGCTGCTCATTAGAATGCACTGGTATACGCAGCACAGCTTTGTGCAAAGCATTAAAAGTATGTGGTTTGGCAGTCACAAATCAGTGTTTACTCTACACACTGACCAACACCCAATATGAGTTTACAATACAACAGTATTGTTTTATATGGCGTATAAGGGTCTTATACGCTGTATAAGGGTCTTATATGCTGTCCTCGAAATACTGGCATACATTATGGCCCAGGTGCCCCCAAGCATATCTGCTGTTTTAAAAAAAAACTACGGTATAGCCATCAAGATCCGATTGAGTCCATTTACAACTTTTGACATTGCTCACATTGCTTTTTAAATAATAAAAACCCCGAACATTGCTTCGAGGACACGCCATACATAGTGCATATCCTACTGTAGACATCCCTCGCAGGGAAAACACTGCGCTAGTCTGGAAAGCAGTAGGACAGGAGCGGAGTGCTCACGGCAAGAGGGGAGGACATGGTCTCCAGGGAACGGAGGATCTTCCGCACGGCCTGCTGGGCCACGTCACAGGGTGCGGCCTCGGTCCGGCCGGGACGCTCGGAGGAAGCCTGAAGTAGAAGGCAACATGAGTCCGTGTCAAGCCACGAGTCACAATTATCATAACGCCCTCCCTAACCGCATACCCTGTCTCCACCTTACTCAGCAACAAGGAATTACATGAATGTTAGGAAGTGTTACCTGTAGTTTCAGGGCTCAAGGTAATTTGCTTTACTAGGTGAGAACTCAAGAAACCAGGATGAACCTCATTTGCATGAATGACCTGGGTCACAAAGATGACAAAAGCAATAAAAAAAAAACAAATCGAGTGCAGCAACAAAGCAAATAGAAATCAGGACAAAATAACTGCGTCACATTAGAAATTGAAAATGCTGCACAAACACAAATCAATGCTAAATAATAAACGCCCCAAGGCGCAAGTCCGCTCATGCAGATTATCCCTCGACTGCTTATAGTACAACTACACATTCAGTGAGAGGCACGGTGTACAAGCAATTAAACAGTCGAGGGTATATGTAAATTGCTAACACACCTGGAATGTGCCTGATCTCATCAGATCTTTACAGCTAAATAGCCTAGGTAGTGCTTGGTTGAGTGACTAACAAGTGTGTAACTGGTGTTGTGGGGCTGCTCAGGGCCTATGCTTTGGGCAACAGAGGGCACTGCGGCGAAATCTATTGTTGTACTGTACCTCTGTGCTCCTACATCTATGCTCCCCACAGTCACAAACCCGCATGGGCCAGCATGGTGAAGTATGGTGACATGAACGCCATGACCCACATGGTGTGCGGAGGCCCTTATCCAAGAGCGGATTAACAAAGGACTGTATATTCTTGGTTCTTTCGGTAAAGTCACGTAGAAGGGAAACAATAAAATAAAAAACACGTTACATAAAATCCGTGTCCTGGTTCCGTCTGTAAAAGATTCCGGACATACAGTACCCTGGCGTCTACGAACTAAGTTGCCTCTGTGGTAGTAGTTACATTGGAGAAACCAAACGACATGTCTCGGACCGCATTCGTGAACACAAAGCAGACCTGAAACATGGTAGGACCAACACCTCGGCCGTGGCAGATCACTGTTATAATTCAGTAGGTTCACATGACATTGACTTCTCCAAGACAGAGGTTCTTTGCAAGCCATCTGGCTACCATGAGAGATTCGTTCATGAGGCTATCCATATATACAAACAGAGAATTTCAACCGAGAAGATGGATTCTGGCTTAGCAATCATTGGAAGGATTTGATCAACCATTTCGGGTCTTAATTGATTGATCACGCTTAAGGTGGCTTTCAGACCGCATCCATTATTTTTCGTCTTCCCCCTCCTCATTTCCGAACATAGATGGACTCGTCCATCTGAACAAACTGTCAAATCGCTATCCGTGGTGCTAATGTTAAAAAAACGCCACTTTTTCAAATTTTCTTGTTGTGTTTTCACACCTGATGATGATTGCTTGTGTTGCAGTCGAAACGTCGTGATAATTTTATTGTTTTATATTTTTATTGTTTCCCTTCTACGTGACTTTACCGAAAAAACCAAGAATAAGAATCCCTGCAGTCACGAACGCTTTAAATCAAAAGGACTGTATGTATACAACACATGATTGCCTCCAAACAGGCAGATTACAAATAACATTCATCGCTCCCCGCCTTCGCAAATCCACACTGTCCAGTGTGGTGAAGTAGTCCGCCAACCCTCATGACCGACACAGCATGAAGGATGCAATCATCCAGCAGTGGATTGACAGAGTTGTACATCATCATTATTATTATGACTTCATAAACATGTAGCTTCACCAGCAATTAAGAGTGAAGTCACAGTATTGGCAGGGGGTGATGTCAGCTCACTTTGAAAAGCTCTGGTGGAGCGCAGGCCGATGAAAATGCAGGTGCCGGGTTGTCAGAGGCGACACGAGTCCGCTTGTACGACACGTTCTGCTTATCCAAGCATTCGTTTGCCAGTCTCTTCGAACTCTATAAGCGACCACCGCGGCAGTTTACCTCTCAGTAACCAAAGCAAACTTGTGGAAGGTAGCAAATGCACTCGTGTACGTGGGTACCGCTGGGGCAGGAGGTGAGAACGTTCATGGTCACTTGCGAAACAAAATGAGAAGGGTAAGCCTGAGGAGGCTTGTCTCATTAAACATTACATTTTGCAAAATAAGTCTCAGATGGGATTCGCCTCCCATGTGAGAACGCATATAAAAAACAGAATTCAATATTAACATTAGCTGGCTGTTCACTCGTCTGTTGAAGCGACGGAAGAATCCAGAATGCAAAATATAATTATTACTCCTTGTGCAAAAACATCAGTCAATGATAATGTAACCAGGCCTCGGTACAATATTTTGGAATTCAAAGTAAACATCATTGGGGCTACACTGAATGTGTTATTGTCGAAAACAATAAAAGTCTTCTTGATGTTTCTTCTCTCATTAACGCTTGCGTCGTCTAAGCAGATCGCTACAAGCGGTATTGGCCTCATTTCAGCATCAAACACGAACCATACTAAAACTTATTGTGTATTCAGCATCAGGCTTCATTAGTGAACAAACCCCTGAATGCAAGACAGTGAATACAACGGCAATTTTCGTGTCAGTTGCGGTTATCAACTTCAAGCAGTGCAGCCTAGAGGCGAGCGAGCACCGCACACTGATATGGCTTCAACTTGACACACAAGAACATTTAAAAGCACAGCTTCAATTTCTCTGAAGCCCAGCGTAACTTACCAAGTGAACCGCAGCAGAGTCTTTCCTTCTGCTCATGTCGCTGGTACTCGTATTGCTGTGTCCAGGCCTCTGGGCCTCCTCACACTTGAGGGTCCATGACATGACTGTGTCTGTGATGGGACAAAAAGCAAAACTCTATGAGGGGTGGCCACACTTCCTGACCACACAGTACTCATGTCTTGGCTGTGCTGCCAGGAACAAGTCCCCTGGGCTGCTCCCACTTCCACAGATTTTTCCCGTTCCAACTAAAGTCAAAGCTGAAAGTAAAAAAATAATCTCTCTCCGTTGAGCCGCATTTGAACTACCCAGAAGCCGCATGGGGCAGTCACGCTTTCTAATATACGTTTGTCCTCGGATGTATGTAATTAGTGACGTTGTTTCAAGCTGCACAATGAGATGACGACACACGGTGAGTGTTGACATCATCAGGAGGGAAGATTAATGCGCTCCTCAGTTGTCAAGGCACCAAAGCCCAGGCGACGGATTTGTGTGAAAGTTTTAGGAAACCCTTTGCTAAATGTGGCCGATTTCCTCTCAGATAAGTTGCTAACAACAACAAAACGTAACACTAAAGTTTCATTCGTATGTGCTTGTGCAACAAAATTAAGTTCGCTCTTCCCACCAGCATCCTGTTGGCGTACCAGTGATACCTCTGTCAGAGTGGCGCGACGAGAAGCCGCTCGTAGAAGACATGTCGTCATCCTCCTCGTACTGCGTCGCAACGTCTTTGCACGGCCTGGCAGGGGGAGGCTTCTGTAGGAGTGCCTTAGCTGGGGATGCGGGGCCCCTAAAAGCGAACCCCTCTCTGAAGGACCGATGTTCAGGACGGTCGTTGCCAAGAGGCGCCCTGTGTTCAGCAGTCGAGCTGGCGCCAAGGGCATTTGTTTCTGTAACACGTAGAAGCAGTGTAAATTTACCAAGCGTGTTTTATTTCAGTCATAGTCTTGTGGAATTTTGTTTTAAGTCTCAGTCTGTGGATTTTTTGTAGTCATTCTCTTAATCCGGTCGAATAAAAGCTGGCAAAACATTGAGCCCACTTCTAGATTTGAAGCTTTCGTGATTGCAAGGATCCATACTCTTTGGTTCTATTCGGTAAAGTCACGTAGGTAAAAAATAAAACAACAAAAATCACACTTAAGCTTGGCTGTGTTTCACTCCAGCACTGTCTCGAGACAGTCTGGTCCCTTCACCTGATGAACGCCGCTTGTGTTGTGGCCGAAACGTCGTGATTTTTGTTGTTTTATTTTTTTACCTACGTGACTTTACCGAATAGAACTAAAGAGTATTGAGCCCACTCTTAGTTATCACATGTTGGTGTGAGGGCCGAACAATTTCCAACGCACCCAATTATTGAGGTCATCTAATTGGCAAATTCGGATTTGTGAAAGTTACACAATGCACAAACACTAACGTAGGCGCGGGCGGTTATTCGATCGTGGAAGATATGCGATGCTCAGGTGGTATAATACTAATTTAAAACAAATCACATTAAACACATTTAAATAGTCAAGTCCACTTCTGCCCGAGCCGAGGGGGGGGCGCTGTGCAGTACGTACGAGTGGGGCTGCTGCTACCCCTGCTGGAGGAGGGTGGGTCGAGCACGAGGGAGTCGCCCCAAGAGGCCGGCTTCTCCTCCGCCTCCTCGCAGGAGGAGCCACTGTCATCGCTCCAAGTGACCCTCGACTCGCTGTCATTGTCCGGCCGGAAAATCCCCTGGATCCACGAGCCCACTCTGCTCCTGAGCCCATTCGTCACCTGGACCACCAAACTCTGCGGTCACACAATACCAAAGTTGAGTGCATCCTCTTCTCTCGTATGATGGGGACGTTGATCAGCAATGCTTCTCATACATTCCTGTCAAGTTTGGTAAGCCAGGGAAAGGCTTCAGGAGTGGACTGATGAATAATGTATCTTAAAATTGGCATGCCAGGTGAAGTTATTTTGGAACCATTCAAATGTTAAGAACTCTCTCGCTCTCAAGGCTGACTACTCATTTAATCAACTGAACAGTCCGTACCCTCATTAACGTGGAAACAATGTGCACAGAAGCGTCTAAAACCAGAGAGTGTGACACTAACGCATAATGAATGTGACAATGTTCACTTTGAAAGCTGTCTTGCAACTTGGCATATTTTACAATGTAAATCCACTGTAGGTCACAGCAAAACATTTTAGTGCTTTATCAATCAACTGCGAGATGAAGACCTCCTCCACACGCTGTGCAGGGTCACGAGGGCTGTTTGACCGCACTTCACAACGCTGGTGAGGGGATACCCACGCCGGGTTCACACATCACTCGCACTCATGTCAGTCGTGGCCAGCAATCAAGCACGAGTCACTGGATTTGTATCAGTAGCACTAACCCCAGAACCACCTGCTCCACCACAATAAAAACTAAAATTATCTTGAAACAATGAATTTGCAACACTGGGGAAATAAACGATGATAAATATTGGAACTGGATTGATTTCTCGAGAGATGGTTCAACACGCCTGTGATACGATGCTGTGAAGGAAGGGAAGGGTTGGTGGATCAGCTATGTGGACATTTGACCTTGTTCCCCACTCGTGGATATTCTATGGGCACTCCAGTCGCCTCCCACACGAAGCCAATCATCACTGAAAATGGCCAAAATGTCAAATGCAGAACTTTTCTGAAAAAGATAAACGCTTTTAATGTTATTACAAAACCTCCCAATCAGTGAATCCTTCCATCTCATCTGCCATCATTTATCCACTGCTGGATTGATGAAGGCATCCCCTTGTCATGTGGGAGACTTGTAGACGACTTCATCCGACCATTATTATCGCCACCACCACCATCATCATCAGCAGTACAAATTCCCTGGATTGGTTTCGATGTATCCGAGTGTCATCGGCAGTCTGGCCTCTTCAATGTAGCCGGGTTGCTGTTGCCTGATATCTTGTCGGGAAATAGCCATCACACATCTCGTGTTTCCTATTGTACAGCCACCCGTCCCTCCACCGCTGGAAGGGCATTGGGTCCGACAACATTCCACTAGGCTAACGGACAGGTATTTGAAAATGTTATTTTATTTGCGTTGATAAACAGCGCACACGTAACACAATTCTTATAAGTTGTGCAATATGAAATTTAAAACCATAATTCACACGAGCATAGGCGGTTGCAACCACTCTTCGGGGACCTATACAGACTCCGGTAAACTTAGCGCGCGGTACGACCTGTGTCATCCAGCAGTCGATAGAGCGTGGCTAACGATGATACGTTGTGAAAAGTATAATTATAAACCCTTAGATGACACACGTCGGCCCTTGCTTATGCGGACTATGAAATGCAGAGCGAGGCCTGCGCGAGGCCCTGGTAGCGCGGGCCGCACCTTCTTGGCGGCGCCGCTCCCCCCGGCCGCGCTGGGCCGCTTCCTCTTCATCTCCCCCCGCGGCGCAGAGGCCGAGAGGGGTGGACAACGGAGAGGGCGGACGCGCGGAGAGAGCGAGGAGTGAGCGAAGAAGGTGGACGACAACAGGCCGCAGGAACAGGCGGCGACGGCGACTGAGAGCGCGGTTGAAAATAACTCTCTGGCAAACTACGCCTCCTCTACCAGACCACGCCCCCTCCGCTAGACCACACCCCCGTCAAGTTCCGCCCCCCCTACTACCAGACCACGCCCCCTTCTGTCAGACCACGCCCTCTCTTCGGTTTTCAGGGGTCCACGTGGTTGAAGAGAAGCCGTGGCCAGAATCAGAATCTTTACAGTGCAGTATTTTATAACGGAGGAATCCGATGAGCTATGAAGCTCTCTTTTTTTCACAGATCTCCAGTAAGGACGGGTAAGAACATTACAACAACAAACAATACAAGAACACGATAACAGTGTAAAGTACAGGAAAGGCAAACAAATTACCCCTAAACATAGAAATAAAACTAAACCATCCCCATCCCACCAGGCATCCTTCATCCAGGGAGTCCTCGCCGAGTCTCAAGGCTCATTGTCAGGAGAGTGCTGCTACATTGGGATGTTTGGCTCACTCCATCAATGGGTGTTTAGCATTTGTATGGAAACTCGAGTAGCAGGAGAAACCCCCACCACCCACACGATGGGTTTACACTCACAACGGCAATAGTCATTCGTGAATACTTACACAGTCTACAGAGCTAGCTTGGCTCTCTTCAATGTGTACCCTTCTCGATACAATAGACTATAATGTGGATTTAGATAGCGTTGAAATGTGACCGGATCCCATGAGGCTTTGCAGAAATAGTGGGCGTGTTTTATAGGAGGCAGTCGGTGATAGGCTGAGGAGAAGAGGAAGAAGATCTTGAACCTGGACTTGTATAGGGGCAGGGAGTCTACAGCACGGATGACTGTGGGAAGGGAGTTCCAGACAATACAGCCACCTTCGGCGAATGAGCCACCTCACTGGGAGAATATTGACTGAGGGCGTCAGTCGAGACATTCTTAATTACTGGAACAGAGTGCGTACAGGGGAGCAGAGTGAGATGACAGTGGATAGGTAGGAGAATGCGTGCAGGGGAGTAGAGTGAGATGAGAGGTGAGTAGGGTCGAGTCTATGGAGGATTTTTGAAACGCTGCCACCTTTTAGCTCGTGCCAAACCATGTGCCAAGCGAGGCTTTATTTAAACGATCGCATTGCAGGTGCGCAAACACTGCACTTGGCTGTGAAGACCCCAGTTTTGGAATTCCCTTTCGTTTTTGCACAATAGGCTAATGGCTTGAACCTTTCGAGCCGCGCAATTAGGCGATGACACATCTTACAAATGAGCGCGTAGGTAACTGAAACGCGCCAGCCAGCAAACACCCGTGCCATCTACTGATGGAAGTACCAAATATACGCGCAGTTTGTCAGCAGAATGGACCGATGCCGAGACGTGCAGTTCACCTGGCGTGTAACAGGACGCGATGCCACACGTTAAATGCCAGTTCATCGTTATGCCATCACTCGATCCATCCAAACGGCATCGTCCATACATTTTCAATGACAGTAAACATTTTGTAGGGAACTGTGACGCAGTGGTTGGCGCACTACTTCTAAACGCCTCCGCCTGAGTTCAATTCATGGCCACGACTAAAATATCTCGTCTCTGTTCCTGACTCTGTATATATAAATGTATTTGACAGCGCATATAACGGAGGCTGCATACATTGTAGATTGTAACGTATTTTGTACACGTTTCATTACAAGGGATTTTTCTGGGTATTTTTTTTTAATAATCAGAAAATAAATGCCGCGAGTGGCGAGAGATATGTGAGCCGCGGTCACGGCCACCTCCTTCACCAAACCGCACCGGCAGGTATGTTCAACAGTCCCCATAACTGAAAACGACTCGGGGAGCCTTCATCCAGCAGTGGATTGACAGAGCAACACGAGATAGGAGTCACTGCCACACCCCCCCCCCACCCGCTCCATCCATGAAACGAGAGACCTCTTGACCCCTTTTAGAGTGCAAATCATTCAGGGTAATATCACTCTTCTTGTCCTTTAAAACACACCCACACACACAGCAACCTCGGCACACCACACAAAATCAATCCCTCTAATAGTTTCTGCGATGCAGAGTTTATCACCACTTTAGGAGCCTCGTGCATTATTTCTCCTCTGGGCTATCTATTGGCTGCATTGAGGGCACACGCATGCGGCAGCAGCGTCACCCGGCGCGGTAATTGTCTCGTGAATCCTGGGTTCCCCACAGGGACCCCCGCCGGCTGGCGCACAGCGTAGGGTTGCCACCTGTCCTGGTTTTCCCAGGATCGCCCTCTTGCTCAGGCTATATATGATTATTATTTATGGATTGTGACGCGCTGCGCTGCCTCTTTTTATTGTAAATCAAAAGTTGAGGGTGCGACATAGGATCCGGGAACTGCGTGCACGTGTGCGTCAGAACACATTTTTGTAACTGTATTGACACCGGGCACACGTTCTGGTACGCCTTATTATCTGAAGACTACGATATTTGTCCTGGATATACTGGGCCACTTCCCAGGTAATTACAAGTCCCGGTTAAGTAATGTCCCGACTTTTGTAATTTGTGTAGTGATAATAATAAGAACGCACCACTCACGGCAACGCATAACACAAAGCACTACCATTTTCCCGTACTTTTTAGATATTCTACTTCCCAGTGCTCAATTTCAGCTGGAGCAGTCGGGGGCTGATCTCGAAAAAATATTCCCCCTGGAGAATAAGGCCAGGGCGGGGGCGGGAGGGGGGTGAGAGCCAGGGGAAAAGAGAAGGGGGTATACAATCCAATATTCCCTGATAAATTAAGCCCGACTTCTTTCCATGATAAGCCGCGCTTTTGTTTTGCACCTTAGGGGTGGCAACCCTCGTTCATCCAGCCCCACAGATGTACCGCGCGAAGCTCAGCAGGCGTCTGCCAGGGAGGCAGATGGCCCTGCTGAATGCGATAGCCTCGCGCCATCTGGAAGCACAGGGACCGAGCAATCCACCCCCAAAACTCACCACCGGCTGCCACAGTTTCATTTATTCATGCACCAGCGTTCGTTTGAAGGCTTGTGTTGTATCTGGCAGCGGGTAGAGCGGGCAGCATTGGCTGTCCATTGCTGCTGCTGATGATGATGCCCATATGATGTCTCCCTCGAGTGGGAGCGTGGCTCACATGAAGAAGAATCACTGGGTGTGTGTGTGTGTGTGTGTTGAGCTCCACAGACGCATGTGCATGACGCGCTGCCGGCGTCTGTATGAATGTTTAACTTCTTTTGCGCCGTACGTAGCCAACCACGCTGATCGGAGGTGCGGTGTGAAGGACAACACACGAAATCCACGAAGCAGTTATAAATAAATGAGTTTGTAAATCTAGATTATGTAAAAGAGGCTTCCTAATAGCGGAAGGAAGAGCGTTCCAGACGGCCGCAGAAGCGCACCTGAAAGCGCGCGATGCATTGATCGCCTTTGTTCGATGGCGAGCCAAAAGCCGTTGCTGCGAGGATGATAAGGGCGTTCGACATTCCACGTGTGTCTCGATGTTGCTGTGTCTGTCACTACGTCTGCTCTGTGTTTCCTTGTTGTTGTCTTTATGTATGTCGCTGTGTTTCGCTCCGTCTTGCTGTGTCTGTCTCTGTGTTTTTACTGCGAATTCTAAAGGCACATAGATCATTATTTACGCCCCTTTGTGTCTCTACCTGTATATGTCTGTCTGCCTCAATTTTATATCGTTTTACCGTCTCTCTGTAGCTATGTGTGCATGTTTTTCGCTGTGTTTGCTTCATGTCTGTCTAAAACTGTCTCTTCTCCATTTACCTGTGTGTCTTTGTGTCTCTCCATGTCTCTACGTGTATCTGTGCTTGTCTGTGTCTCTGTGTGCCTGTGCGTGTATCTGTTTCCGTCCCTTGGCCTACTCTTCCCCACGTCTGCTGGCACAGGACCGCACTCAGTGCTGCCGAGGCTCTGTGAGCATCAAGCAGCTCGCACGCGAGTGCTGGTGACTGCAAGGCGTGCGCTTGTTTTATATTATTACTCAGATTTCCCGGAACTGCTTGTGAACAGCTTGCACAGCGCGAGCTGTTCACTCTAAAGACACAACGGCTGCTCTGTGTGTTTAGACCACGCGCTGGTCCCGTGTCCCAACTCCTCCTTCGCATCACTCATCTCCTCTTCCTTTGATGGCTGACTCCGCAGAGACTGTGCCCTCACATAACCACTGCATAGGTGTCCACCACGCGTGTGTTTTCGGATTGTTTGGCCGCTTTTTTTAGATGATGCCCGACGTTTCGTTGCACCTGCTGGGGGCCGTCTCTGTCTGTGTGTCTGTCTGTGTCTCTCTGTATATGCCTCTCTCTCAATGAGTTTATCTGTCTCTTTGCGTGTCACTCCATGTCTCCGTCTCTCCGTGTCCGTCTCTTTCTAACCCGTTGCATGTTTGTTCACCATCGTCTGCATTTGTCTCCGTGTGTCTGTCTCCATCGCTCTTAGTGTGCGTTCTGTTCTGGAAGAAGCTCCCGGAGCGAGGCGCGAAACGTCGGGTCATCACGTCCCGCGAAAAAAAGACACCGGCACAACCCTCAAACACATCGGAGCGGGGCCATGAAATGATTCAACGAAGCAACAAAAGCGGTCCCGAGTTCAACCCAGTGCTGCCCCCTCCCCCACATCGCGTAGCCTCACTGCTGCTGCCCGGACAGTCCCCGCATCACCCCCAGCACAGTAGAAAACCCTTGTTGTTGCCTTGTTGTTACATTATTGTTCCCTTGTTCCCTTGCCGTTCCCTTATTGTTCCATTGTTGTCCCATTGTTGTTCCCTTGTTCCATTGTTGCTCCATTGTTGTTCCCTTGTCGTTCCCTTGCCGTTCCCTTATTGTTCCATTGTTGTCCCATTGTTGTTCCCTTGTTCCATTGTTGTTCCCTTGTTGTTCCCTTGTTCCCTTGTTGTTCCCTTGTTGTTCCCTAGTTGTTCCCTTGTTGTTCCCTTGTTCCATTGGTGTTTAATTGTTGTTCCATTGTTGTTCCCTTGTCGTTCCCTTGTTCTCTTGCCGTTCCCTTGTTGTTCCATTGTTGTCCCATTGTTGTTCCCTTGTTGTTCCCTTGTTGTTCCCTTGTGGTGTTCGCGAGGCTAAGATGCCCGGGGATGGCCGAACCAACGCTCGTGTG